GGAACGCATGAACACACTGCTTGCAAACGCGGAGGTGCCTGGTCTGTTCGAAGGAGACGAATTCTCGTCTTTGATGACCGCTTGCAAGGAGGGAGCCCAACGCCAAGGTCTCCTTCTCGACACACAAGAGGAACTCTACAAGTGGTTCACTTCCCAGATCGTCAAGAACCTGCATGTCGTGTTCACGATGAATCCCCCCGAGGAAGGCCTTTCTTCGAAGGCTGCAACCAGTCCTGCCCTGTTCAACAGATGTGTACTCAACTGGATGGGCGATTGGTCAGACCAGGCTCTCTTCCAAGTTGGCTCTGAACTCACGCAATCCGTCGACTTGGATAAGCCGAACTTTATTGCTCCTGACAGTATCCCCGTGGCCTACCGCGAGTTGAGCCTGCCAGCCTCTCATAGAGACACAGTCATCAACGCCATGGTTTACATCCATTACTCGCTGCAAAGATTCAACCAGCGTTTGCAGAAGCAACAAGGACGCACGACTTTTTTGACTCCGCGCCACTACCTCGACTTTGTTGCTCAGTACGTGAAGCTCTTCAACGAGAAGCGCGAAGACCTCGAGGAACAGCAGAGACACTTGAACGTTGGTCTCGAAAAACTGAGAGATACTGTCGATAAGGTCAGCGATCTTCGAGCCAGTCTTGCCCAGAAGAAGACGCAGCTGGAGAAGAAGGACACGGAAGCAAACGAGAAATTACAGAAGATGGTCGCAGACCAGCGAGAGGCAGAACAACGTAAAGCAGTTTCTCTCGAGGTCCAAGCTGCTTTGGAGAAGCAGGAGGAGGAAGTGGCTTCCCGAAGGGAAGTTGTGCTCAGTGACCTTGCTAAAGCTGAGCCTGCCGTCATTGAGGCTCAGAAGAGTGTCAGCAACATTAAGCGTCAGCATCTTACTGAAGTCCGTTCCATGGGTAATCCTCCTGCTAGCGTTCGACTTGCACTTGAAGCCGTCTGCACCCTGCTTGGCCACAAGGTCGACAGCTGGAAGACGATTCAGGGTATTATAAGAAGAGATGACTTCATTGCTAGCATCGTCAACTACGACAACGAAAGACAGATGACTAGGAATCACAGGATCAAGATGCGGAACGAATTCCTTTCCAAGGAAGACTTCACCTATGAGAGAGTCAACCGGGCTAGTAAGGCTTGCGGTCCTTTGGTGCAATGGGTCGAAGCTCAGGTGAACTACTCCGAGATCTTGGACCGTGTTGGACCTCTGCGTGAAGAGGTTGATCAGCTCGAGGAACAAGCCCTGCAGACCAAGGCCGAGGCCCAAACCATTGAGAACACCATCAAGGGTCTTGAAGACAGTATCGCTACATACAAGGCTGAATATGCTGCACTTATTAGCGAAACTCAAGCGATCAAGACGGAAATGTCCAGAGTGCAGTTCAAGGTTGATCGAAGTGTGCGCTTGCTCGACAGTCTGTCATCAGAGCGGACCCGTTGGGAGGAGGGAAGCAGGTCTTTTGAAACTCAAATCAGCACTCTTGTTGGAGATGTCCTCATTGCGGCAGCCTTCCTTGCTTATGCTGGTTTCTACGATCAACAGTTCCGTAAGGCCATGATTGATGAATGGGTCACTCACCTGACCCAAGCGGGCATCAACTTCAAGCCACACAACCCGATTACCGAGTACTTGTCCAATGCCGATGAACGTTTGGCTTGGCAGGATCACTCGCTGCCGGTTGATGACCTTTGCACCGAGAACGCCATCGTTCTGAAACGCTACAACCGGTACCCCTTGATCATCGATCCTTCGGGCCGTGTCACCGAGTTCTTGGAGAAGGAGAGCACCGACAGGAAGCTCACTGTTACTAGCTTCTTGGATGATTCGTTTGTCAAGCAACTGGAGAGTGCTTTGCGTTTCGGAAACCCCATCCTCATCCAGGATGCTGAGCATCTTGATCCTATTCTCAACCACGTTCTCAACAAGGAATACCAGAAGACGGGTGGCCGTGTTCTCATTCAACTCGGAAAGCAGGAGATCGACTTCTCGCCATCCTTCAAGCTCTTCTTGTCGACGAGAGATCCTTCTGCCACCTTCCCACCGGACGTATGCAGTCGCACAACCTTTGTCAACTTCACTGTCACGCAGAGCAGTTTGCAGACCCAGTCTCTCAACGAGGTCCTAAAGTTCGAGCGTCCAGATGTAGACGCGCGTCGTACCGATCTGGTCAAGTTGCAGGGCGAGTTCAAGATCCACCTGCGTCAGCTCGAGAAGCGACTCTTGCAAGCACTGAACGAGTCGCGCGGTAACATTCTTGACGATGACAATGTCATCGAGACCCTGGAGACTCTGAAGAAGGAGGCAGCAGAAATCTCCAAGAAGATGGTGGAAACCGAGGGAGTCATGACCGAAGTTGAAAATATCACGCTCAACTACAGCATCATTGCCCGTTCTTGCAGTGCTGTTTTCGCAGTCCTGGAGCAACTGCACCATGTCAACCATTTCTACCAGTTCTCCCTGCAGTTTTTCGTTGATATCTTCAACTCTGTTCTCTACCAGAACAAGCGCCTCGCTCAAGAAAAGGACCACGCTGCACGCGTGCAGATCATTCTTCGCGACCTCTTCGTGACAACTTACCAGCGTACTTCATTGGGACTGATCCAGAAGGACCGCATCACATTTGCTATGCTTCTTGCCCAAGCAGCCCCCTACCCTATGGACAAGAGGATCATTGATATGATCCTTGATGAGTCCATGGAGAGCGTGGACCTGTCAACTTCACCTGAACTCAAGGAGCAGGTCTTGAACAAGATTGCCAATATGTCGCTCTACAAGTCGATCTTCCCTACGATCCCATCAGAGCAATGGGAGCAGTTCTTTAGCGATGAGCTCGCGGAGAACTTGATCCCTGTCGTCTGGGAAGAGACTACAGAGAACATTGACAGGCTGCTGCGCTCATTGTTGCTTGTGAAGCTCTGCAGAATGGACAGGTTCGTGCCAACTGCGGAGCGCTTCATCGAGGCCGTCTTTGGCAGAGAGCTCTTCGGGGGAAGCACCGACTTGAAGGACATTGTTAGCCAAGTCACAGCAACCACGCCAATTGCCCTCAGCTCCAGCCCTGGTTTCGATGCCAGTTACAAGGTCGATGCTCTTGTCGAGCGCATGAACGCAACCTGTGCCAACATCGCTATGGGTTCGAACGAAGGTCTTGAGAGTGCTGATAAGGCAATCAGCAATGCAGCTGCCGCAGGTAACTGGGTTCAAGTCAAAAACGTACACCTGGCGCCGTCATGGCTGCAAAGCTTGGAGAAGAGGCTCGAGTCCCTCAAGCCTCACAAGGACTTCAGACTCTTCCTTTCGATGGAATCGAGTCCCAAGATCCCAGTCAACCTCCTCCGTGCTTCTCGCGTGCTCATGTACGAGCAGCCTGCTGGTGTGCGCGCCAACATGAAGGATTCTCTGTCCTCGTTGTCTACCCGGGCCTCCAAGGCACCGGTCGAAAAGGCTCGTGTCTATCTTCTTCTGTGCTTCTTGCACGCAGTGGTGCAGGAGCGACTCCGCTACGCCCCAAGCCTGGGCTGGAAGGGATTCTGGGAGTTCAACGACAGTGATGTAAGTCAACCACCTCAACCCCCTTTTCACAGCATCCCACTAACATTATCACTTTAGTACGAATGCTCCGCTCACATCATCGACTACTGGGTCGATACCATTGCTCAAGGCCGATCCAACGTCGCTCCTCAGAAACTGCCCTGGGACATGATCCGCACCCTCGTGACCGAGACCTACGGCGGCAAGGTCGATGACTTCGCCGACTTTAAGCAGCTCGAGAGCCTGGTGACTAATCTTCTTACACCAGCCGCTTTCGAGGACGAGCACAAGATCGTTTCTGGTGTCGAGAACGACGACTGTCTTACCCTGCCTGGTGGAACAAGCATTCGGGACTTTGTGGAATGGGTCAATAAGCTGCCGGAGCGTGAACCCCCGACGTACTTGGGTCTGCCGGCTAATGCGGAGAAATTACTCCTGGTCGGACATGGTAATAAGATGATTTCGGATCTGTCTAGAGTGACGACGCTGTTGGATGAGGGAGAGCAGTTGATGATTGAAGCTTGATTGAGGTGTGATAACAGAATTTTGGAGTTGTGTGACATCGCTTGTTTATCCTGTATTTAATAGATCTTACATTGCGTTCAATTTTAGATTGTTGGTCTACTCTATTTCTTTTAATTGTATGTTTACTGCTACCACTGCTGCTACTTTGCAAGGTTCACTAGAGTAACGGGCACCCCCCAGGAAGACCACAGACAAGCACGGTTTACATTGTAGCTTGATCTTTTAGCGTAAATCCATGCTAGAAACACACATTACTCCCAGCAGGCAAACTGTCAATGCTTAAACATCCTCTACCAACCAATGCTAAGTCTAGCTTCAGATAAACAATGCCCTATCTATGAACCCCTGTATTTCAGCGAATACTTCTCGAATGTCCGCCTTTCAGCAGAAACCCGGAGAGCTAGCCCTTGCTCCGATGCCTCTTCGTGCACCTTATGTTGAACATCCCTTGGCGGGCGATTCTCCCCAGACCGGCGAGTTTCCCTAGGCGCAGTGCCGCATGGTCGAACCTGCATGAAACCTTGTGTTTTCTTATTCTCCTCCTCCTCTTCCTTGTCTTCTTCCTGTTCCTACTTATTGTCCTCGTTCTCCTCTTCTTGTCGTACCAGGACATCTTCTTCTCCTTCCAGGTAATCATTATCAGAGTCAAAGTCTTCAGGGGCTTCTGCAGCACCACTCAGAGCCAACGCCCTGGTCAACTTCCACTGCATTTGTAAAACATCAATCGAAGGAAAGGGTAGTCTGGCGGGATTGCTCACCGTGGAACATGCCTTGGCGATCTTGAATGGTAAGATAGTCTCTATTTCTCCTTCTCTCTATATATAATTGGATGAATGAAGGGGAAAGCCGTTATATGTATCGCCTAGATACCAGCAAGATCATTTTTTGAGGTCTTTTCTAGTGGTTCGTAGGGCTTCGGTAAGAGTGTCTTTGTCGACTGTGTCCAGGCCCCGGAGTAAGGTGGACTCCACATCGAGTAGTGAGAACCGCAGTGTATGCGGGTATATTACCCTACAGAAACACCCTCGATCGGCTATCTAACCTTGAGGGAGCTTTGGGCAGTTTCAGTGCGGAGTCTATTATAACGACTGTAATAAGACAAATCATCAGCTCATTCAAGGACAACCTGGCTATTCGCGTCTCATAACAGTGGTGTGTTAGCACAAGGTTCTTCCTTGACTTCTGTTAATAACCCACTGAAGGGTTTGGGAAGGGAGATATGATTATCAATGTACGCCCTTGGATGTCGATCAGACGATAGCGTAGTGCCAGTATCTATGACTGGTGGAGACTGTTCCGTAAGATGAATTCCAATAATCGTTTCCCACTTGCAGGTGGAGTACACTGGGAATGAGATCAACCTCATGGGTAGGGTGCATTCCCTCGAACATCGTATAAGCTGGTATTCAGTTGGAATTTCCTTTACCATGGGAGCATCCTCATGCGCAGTATTTATGAAACATGCTGTTAGGCGACGCAGTGCCTTTAGTTGGAGAGGGACGTTCCCTACGCGGTTTCCTGAGGTATTATTTAATATGTCCTCTGTCGGTAGATCCATTCTCTGCCAAAGATATATTGTTAGTAACGCTGCTAAGAAGCCCACCAATGTGAAAGACATCTGTCGCGTATGTAGTTAGTAGTCACGCCTGCAATCCTATAGGAAAGGCACTGATTCAAACTCACGAGATAAGCCAGATTGAGCCGCTCACCACAAGCCTTGATGAACCAGGACAATCCATAATGATTCTGAAGTAGACTTGCATATCAACGACTACTATCGACTGGAGAGGAATGATATTTTGTTTCAAGTACCAGATTCTGCCACCCTGCTCCAAGGCGGTCAAAAAGTATACAGAATGCTGACTCTTCGTTTCAGAGTTGTTAAAAATATATCCGCTAATATCCGCCTATATCCGCACTTTTCGCAGCGAGGTCGACGAGGTTCTGCCGCTTTTAGCGGTCAGAGGAGCGGTCAGACTAGACAGAATTCGTCCAGACCAGTGCCTTTTCATTTGTTTAGCAGGACTTGGTCGTGGAGTATTCCAACCATTAACCTCATCTTAGGTCAGCCCTCAAGCATTACTAGATAGTTGTTGGGCATCTTGCTCGAGACCATTCTGAGGCGGCTTCATGAGCTTTCGGTAAAACAATTTCACTTCGTCTTCTTGAACAACAACTTCTTTTTCCCGGAGCTTTCTAAGAAATGCTGGGATGAGAAGGCCTCTCTTAGTGGCGGCAACACTTTACCCTATGTCCATCACGGTGACCAAGGCTTCTAGCATGATGAAGCCCAGCCACGAGCCGCCCAAGACCAATTTGCGTAGGTTCTGCATAACCCACCGAAATTTGGGTACAAGAGGATCTTTGTTGTACAGGGTGAGGACCTTCCGGTTCTTTTCCCAGTAGGAAGCGTATTGTGGTTGACTTCCTAGTCGATAGTGTTGACGAAACCCATGTCCTGGAAGGTAATATGGCGTAGGGTTCTTGAAGGATGAATCCTGGTCATGCCAGCGTTGCGTGAGATCTATGGTGCAACTTTCCTAATTTGTATGGTCCTTTGGGAATGAATAGGTCTGATGTGTTGCGGCAAAGTCTGGATGAGTAAGTGTAAGTTATTTGGTTGTTGTATAGATGCATGAATAGTAGAACGCCGATGTTCCGAAGATCTCCACAATATTGTGGCAAACATGCATATCCGAGAAGTTAGATGAGTAAATGCGTGATCAATTTCCAAGCGAAGCTCTTCAATCCTCCTGCAGATATAATGTTCCATATTCCGTTTCGCCGCATGTAGGCAAATCCAGCATGCGAAATATAATGGTACAACCTGGACCTCCTGCATGTACCCCAACCACCCAGGGTCGTATTCAGAGACCGAGACGTATATATATTTATAATTCTCTCTTTCTCCCAGTTGGTCTTTCTGATATATTCAGCTATTGGCGACCCCCACACATGGGGAATGCTTCACCCATGCTACCATCTCGGCCACTTCTTGTAGAGTGATGTTCAGATAGTGTGACTTTCCTCCAGGACGATGCCTGTATATCCTCTATGGAATTTTTGTACTCCTCAGATCGATGAATATGTTGTATGGTAGTAGCAATGTTTTCTACCCGATATGTGTTCTGAGCATATCTAAAACATATGATATATTTTAGATATGTCCTTCTGGTTATTATTAGTAGGGTTTTGGGCCAAGTATTGCCAGACCTCAATCCAGTAGGGCTTACAAAGTCTGATTGCAGCCACTCGCGCCAATCGTCCTCTGAAGCGAGCTTGAATAGCTGCATCAGTCCTTTGTTGCTCTTCTTGGTGAGCCTACTATGATTCCATTATAATATATAATCATCCCAAAGAATGTTGGCCTGCATCGAGTGTAAAGACCGTTATCTCTTCCCAGAACTCCGTAGATGTAGCCACTTACCCTAAGCCAGGAAGGGGTTTAGTGTAGCAGGTATGTCAATAGGATGCTCATAGTAGGCAGTGCATTAGATCGATTCCAGATCTATTTTGGTTAGGCTTCTGCATATAGGTCCTGTGATCTGCGATATTATTCAGTCGAATGTCGGGATAATTACTGCATTCCGGCAACGGCCTTGATGGCACTCACGAAGTTTTTCAATGCGGAAATCCAGCTGATATATCCAGTATCACCGGGCGAGAAATGCACATTCTCGTAAAACTGGCGCTCCTCGAGAGTTGCGTGGAGGAGGCTAGGGTGAGAGATTGCCTGGACTAGAAGAGTACGCCGAGCTGTAATGAACTTTCCATACTCGATGCTGGCACCCTGTCAAATCCTGTGTGATCAATTTCTTTTTTTTGGGAGGGCGGGGCAGGATATCTGGGACTCATATATGATTATCGTATTCATTTGAGACCAGTGCAATTGTTGCAGCCACACGTAGTGTTTGTATGATGATTAGGTTAATTGTTGTCGTAACGGAGGATGAGGGGTCCTCGAAGCTATACTAGAGATGATGGCAGTATACTATTTAATAAAAATATTATTTTCCTAACCATATATATATGGAGGAACAGAATCATGTGACAGCAATGAAACATTCTCTGAGGATAGCGAGCACCAAGCTCATCATCCGGGATATCTCTTGCATCCCTGCCAGTTCATGACTCCTGGTTGTAGTACAGTACCATATATACATATATATCATATAGCTAGATTGATTCTTCTTGATAGTAGTATTACTAGTATTCTATTCAGATATATAATAAGCCCCAAAGCTGGATATAGAGATGGAGAAGAAGGAGAAGCAAAGCGGGTTGGAAGGGGATATTTATATTGCTGCTACAGACTAAATGCACTTCCAGCACGGTGAAGAGAAGGAGTACTACTGTGAAGTTTAAAGAGTGAGAAGAATTCTACCTATTCACAAAACCTATTCCCAGCAGGTTAGCTGGGGAGTACTGAATGAAGGATGGAGAACCACTGCTAGCTTGCTTCTGCTAAATATTAAGCTTATCAGATAATAGTCAATGGCATCGTGTTCGGTTGGTTTTTAGGCGGCTTGGAAGTTTATTCTAACTTGCTGTGGCGGGATGTTTGTTCTCGACAGATGGTAGTGTAGTATATTTGATGTATGTAGGTAGTTGATGGTTGGTGCCAAATTAAGATTGTTGATAGGTTATATCTGTGCTATGCGAAAAAAAAAAAAAAAAAAAAAAAAAAAAAACATGGGGTTACACATGGTGGAATCGATGCTTTTACCATCCAGTCGGTGCTCATGCTCATTAGACTACCTACCATCTTCGATGGACAGCCATTGAGACTTGCCTGCTTCCGTCCTACTTCTAAGGAAGTAGACTACAATACCTATCCTCATCACATCTTACAACATACCCTACATTAGAAACATACTACTATTACTATTATATGTCTTCCATGGCAGGTCTTAATCCAGTCTCATTAACATATCCCAATGTAAACCAGGTCAATTCTTCCTTCCGACGAACAACCAATTCAGAAATAGCAACAAAACGAAAAAACTCCGAGAAGTTCAACAATCACGTGCTGGACTAGATAATATGCCAATCGAAAGGAGTCATGGATGACATCACCAGATGACAGCACCAGAATAACGAGACATATTGGGATTTAAGGTTGAAAGTTGACCTGGTTATCCATGAATGACATGATCGAGCTTGCTGCAGATCCTGCATTGCTCTCTCGTGCAAACCAACCGGAATGTAGCTGTAAAGGCACCGTCACCATCCTCAATCAAGCCTGCTAATACAGCATGCGCCTGATAAAGCAGGAAGTTTCTCTGGTGAAGGATTGTTGACAAGCGTTGGGCACATGCTCTCACGAACATGGGCTTTCCGTGTTGGTCTTTGTACATGAAGAGCGGTTCTAACCAAATCCGTAGAGAGTATGACCCATCTATTTCAGTGGAAAATGTTAGTATATGTCCGTCTGACGAGACTGGAAGTGGAGGCAGATCCAAGTAACCGGATTTACTTACTCTGTTCAATGCAAAAACGACCTTCGCCATCTTATGTCAGTATACGCATATGAACTAGGTAGTATGCTGGGTGCTCACATCTGTGGTACGGACAACCTAGAAGTAGTGATGTCAGTTCATGTTGTCCAAGCCATCTAATAAACTGACATTTTCATCGAAAACATACCTTGCGTTCGTGGCCAGGAGTGGTGGAGGATTCCATGACCAGAAGAATTTGCCGGATTATCTTGAACAATCAGCTGCTAGTTCCCGATATATACATATCAAATCCACGTACCTCAGTTAGGCGGTTCTTGACAGTCTTGCGGACTTCAGGATAGACATCAGCGCTAATGCGAATGACGCCACCGCGACGGGCAAGACGACTAGATCAGCGATGAGTTAGTGGTGTTATTCATGGTACACGTGTTGCTATCCTAGGAGACGCCTGTTTGATTGAGTTTGCGTACCGGAGCGAGGGGCGGGCTAGCCTTTGTTAGTGGGAAACTTGTGGTATCGTTTCTTGATTGTTTTGACTTACTGATTCCGTCTATGTTGTTCCGCAAAATCTTGCTGCAGTGGGATCCATTGTTAGTATGTTCTACTGACGTAGGACAGCGTAACTCCACAGAGAGATTCGTGAGGGGATATGATACCGAAATCGCTTCTTAGGGAGGAATCTTTTCCCTCTTCTGTCCGTTACTAGTCTCGGGTCCATGGTAACTAGATCTGTATCTACAGACAACTTGCAGAGGTGATCTGGGGGACTGGTAGACGTGATCTGGAGACGAGTTGTAGAGTAACAGGATGATGAGATCGGGAGAGGCTTGATATACTGCATCATGAACTGAGTGAATGCACCGTGCAGTTGCCATGAGTGTTAGTGCTCGGTGCATGGTGCATGAAGCAAACGGGGCCAAGGGGAATGTCATGGCAACAAGCGGGTCTGTGCAGTGAAGCATGAGGTTGAGGAAGACATGATTGAGTAACATTAGATATACCCTCTGGGAGGTTTATGAACTATTAGGGATGGATATTTGCGTAGCATAGCGTATAGGTAACGTCAACGGGAAAATATCAAACAACACTCAGAACGCCTTCGATGGGGTCCATAACCATGCCATATGCACCTGAATCGGTCTATGAGATGAACGTGGCCTCGGAGAACATGGTTCCCTCCTCGGTGACTTCGGAGTCGCCGACCTTGAGCTTCAGAGAGAGCTTCTCCTGGGGGCAGTACTAGGGTTGAAGTTAGTATGCTGCACCAGTGACATACGATTCAAAGCACATACCTGGAAGATGTATGGTCGCGTGCCGGCGACACTGCCAGCAATGGTCTTGATGAAGCCGGGCACTTCCGCCATCACGTCGATCCGGTCCAGTCGGTTGCCAAGAGCCCCGTCAAGCTCCGCATAGACTTCTTGTCCTTCCTTAGACTTGCCATCCCAGACCCACTTGATGGACTTGGGCTCAGGCCAGTCACTTTCAGCATCTTGCGATGAGTCGGTGTGAGTGGCACTGTTGTTAATACCAGCATAGATGATCTCTCCATCCTTGACGATACCGCCGACGTTGACCGTTGTCGATCCGTACGACGGAGGGGTGGTGTATTCCATCATCATGGCGGAGTAGGTAGGGGTCTGGAAGTTGACAAAGTTCCACCGCGCAGCTATGCAAATGTCAGAAACTTCGCTCTTTCAGATGTCGGCGTGGAGAGAAGCTTACCCGCGTGGTGAGGCTTCATGCCCTGAAGAGCATGGATGAACATTCCCCGACCCGTGAGGTCATACGTCTTCTCCTTGGTCGTGATGGTACCCTCAACGGCACATCGGGGCCAGAAGGCATGGCTCATCGAACCCCATGGGTTCTCGGGGTCGGTGCCAAAGTAGGACGTGCCGTCCTTGCCGATCATGAAACCAGGGGAAGAGCGCTTGAATGTCAGGTTCACCAGACTATCGTCGTTCACAGCGGACTTGATGGTATAAGTATCGCCATCCTCGTTGAGTTGGACAGCGAGGTTGTCGGCACCAAAGGAGAGCATGCTTTCATCGAACATGAAGTTGGACAGGGGATCCGAGTGCCAGTTGTGGGGTCCATCGCCTTTGAGGTTGAAGATCTTCGATGTGAACTGAGCGGTGGTGTGGAGACCTCTGTGGGAGCACGAGCAGCATTAGAAGATGAGACGAGAGTGAGGCGATGTTGAATCATTGGTAAGTAAAGGTGCAACTCACACGATGTTGCTGTAGATCAGCTGAACCATTGCCAAGGTACCATCATCGGCCATGATGTAGAAGACCTTGTTTTCGACATTGGTGTACTGGTAAGCGCGCCAGCGCAGGTCATTCTTGCTGAGCTCGGTATAAGGAGTCTCTTGGGCCTGGCGGGCGACAGATTGAATGGCTTCAGGCCCATAGATGGGCTCCTGCGTACCGGCAACGGAAGCGAGACTAGAGGCGGGGGATTTCAGTTAGCAAACAAAAACATGTATATCAGCTGATTCAGCAGAGTGAAAAGAAGAGCAAGCATACGTTGACTTGAGCCAGTTCATTATGGGCGATATGTGAGGTGTCGTGAGGAATTACAACGAACAGAGGGAAGTTGTGAAAACAAGAGAATGGGAGATGTGAGGAAAGATGGAAATCAAATCGATAGCGCGCGGGGCCACAAGGGGGGTTCGGTCGATCGTTCTATAGTAGCTTCCGGTGGTCTGGACAAATGCTGGGACGAGCAGCTGGCGAGCGGGACAAGACGGGAAGAAGAGCCCAAAGTCACACAACAATCACAGTTGGTTTTCTGCCAACAGCAAAGGATCAATGGGGCATTAATCCAAATGAACTTCCGTGCAGCAGATGAGTGAGTTGGTGGCAGGTGAAGCGCTGACCGCCAACTGAGCGAGGAATCCGGATGACGTCCAGCACTCGAATTGCAGGCGGATTTCCTGTTTGGGCTTCGCTTGTGTCCCAAACGGAAAGTAACGCCGACCCCGCGGCGCCATCCCGAATCCAGAACCCAAAGAAAACTTGGCCGCAAAAGACGCTCGCCGACTGCCGCATTGATTGTTGTCAGTTGCTGTCCGGACATTCCCATACGCTCCCTCACTTCAACTCCAATTCGCCTTCACTTTGATCTTTATCAAACGTACTCTCGACCCTCATCATCATGGCGAAGAAGGCATTGGCCAAGGATCAGATTGTGAAGCTCATCGTGGGCGCCGGTCAGGCCAGTCCCAGTCCTCCCGTCGGTCCGGCCCTGGGTAGTAAGGGTGTGAAGAGTATGGATTTTTGTAAGGTAAGCTGAGAGCACACTCCATGGACGGTTCAATTGGATTTGTCTTCTGCAAGACGTCCAATGTGAGCTATCTGCACTAGAAGGACGCGCAGGGCTGATATGGTATACTGTAGGAATTCAACGCCAGAACTGCACACATCAACACCGGTGTCCCCATTCCTGCGCGTGTCACTGTCCGCCCCGATCGTTCCTTCACATTCGACCTCCGTACTCCCACCACCACCTATTTGCTGTTGCAAGCGGCCAATGTGGAACCTCGCAAGAATCGCATCCGTGGCGCCCAGAACCCGGGCCATGAATTCATCGGCAAGATCTCCCTCAAGCATGTCTACGAAATCGCCAAGATCAAGCACTCCGAGACGCGACTGTCTGGATTGAGCCTACAGGGATTGTGCAAGAGTGTCATCGCCCAGGCCAAGTCCGTTGGCATTCAGGTTGTACCATGAGGTTATTGCGGAGCGGGCGATTGGTGATGTCGTTGTACACTATCTTGTGCCCTTACTTCCGTAAGGTTACTCCTCTTCTTGTCTTGGGCTTACGAAATTGGCGTTATGTGGAACTGGGTTTGTTACCATCTGTATCATAGGCATTGCATGTTGTATAGAAAGCGTTGGCTGGTGCCTCAAGCGATCACATGAAGTGGATTTGACTGTCTGACCATGAAGGGCTCGGCTCTTGGGTATAACGGTGGGCGTAGGTTGCCGATGATGCATTCCTGACCAGGGCCTGCGTGCGGGCTGGTTGTCACGATACCTATACGAAGTACTAAGAAGTCGGGTGGAAGCCCGCGAGTCAGCAAGAGCGATATACGCGCCTTTCTTCTTCACCTACCAATCCATGCCCATACACTTGACCAGGGGGCTTTATACACGCCCAATATTCAGCAGCGGTTTGGAAAGTGTTAGAAAAGGGATACTAGACAGTCTGTTGCTAAGCAGTCAATATTGGCGCTGGCCCCTTGCCAAGTTGGAGATCGGAGGGAAGGAAAAAAAGCTGAGCAAGACACCACAGCGTGCCCAGAAATACCGCCGAGAAAGCCAAGAGGCGGAGGACACGCAAGTTTCCTCCTAACGTCTTGGATACGCGGCCAGGTGAGAGGTCGGGGGAGGAATCGTCGTACGGTTCTGTAATGACAAGCCCCTTTCTCCCACTATTTTGCTTGGCAGGCCTGAAAGCTGTTTCTCCGCTCGAATCCTCAGCAGTGCTCTTCTTGGCCTCACAACACAGTAACTTAGTCGACGGACGGCAGAGGTTAACAATAGCAGCAAGCCAGGAAGCAGGTAGGTAATGGCCCGAGAAGATGATTCCATAATCTGCAGATGTGATGTGATGGGGCTACCCCACATTCTATACGTGCTTCTGGAAGTGTACCAGAACATCCTTGACAAGGGGCAGGTGGCGACTATCTTGAAAAAGTAAGTAGCTGGCCAGATTGGGAAATGGCGATATACACTCCTGGCTGAAACTAGCGCTCATCAGAAAATAAATTAGTTGGGAGCCTTCAGCAGCCTGATTATACTTGCAGTGGATAGCCAGCCTTTTACTTGGGTGTATGATAGTGCTTGTGAGGCGGCTGTTTCTTCATTGTTGACTTTTTATACCCCAGCCGCACTACTCTATAAGTAATAGACAGACCCAGCCGTCATTATTCATTATTATCTCCATCGAAACGGAAACTTTCCAGATCGGGCTGGGTTTACCGTCCACTGGATACCCAAAGCGGAATGAGACGCCCCACAGAAGCACTAAACCCAGAACAGCAATGGTGACGCTATCCGAACCAGGGCGCGGGTTACCTACCTGAACAGACAGATGAGGTGCTAGTTATCAAATAGTAAGGTTATAGTCCAGTAGGCATTGGGTTAAATCGGCGAGAACATTGAGCGGATAATTTCACGCGTCTCCGATCCCGAAGGCTCCGATGATTGACAGGAGGTGTGTGAGAGTTGTCCATGGACAAGGGCAGGCAGCTGACGGACGGACAGATGATCAAAGGGTGGCCGATTCATCAACTGAGTGGACCGTGGGTTCGCCCTCACTCCAATCTGCATGCATTAAACCCACGCCAGATGAGATCCAGAAGAATCTAGCGGGGTAAGCGACCAGCCCATCCATGCCTGTGGGCTGTGCGGATCGGGGAATCTGGAGGGTCGTCGTCCAATACTGTTCGCGGATGACAAACTGCCCGGCTAGACGGCACCGGCAAGCTGCTGTTCCTCCTCTTCTCGGTGCCAACTGACGTCCGGAGCAGATAGGATAGATGGATAGATAGATAGTGGAATGAATGAATGGATGATGGCAAAAGCCCGTATGCAAGCCATATAATATACCTAACAATTACTGAATCACTAATCATCGGCTTATGACGGGCGGCCGTTCGGACAACTGGCGCAGACGTTACCGGTATTTACATGCCTGCCTGCCTGCCTGCCTGCCTTACCCGTAACGGCTGTGCCTTTGATGTCATGGCAGCCGTTCTCCGGGTTTACTTGTTTGTTCTCCATCTGTAGATGGTAGACCACGTCTTGGGGGGTAATGACTTCCTACTTATGTACGCTACTTCGTTATGATTCATGATCCACACCCATCCCACATCCTCGGTTAGACAGATGCTTGCTTCAACTTCACTGTAAGAGGTGGGTAATTCCCGCACCATTACAGTCACCAGCTGCCTTTTTCCAAATCTTTTGTTTCCCCTCCTCTCCGCGGATTTCCGATTGAGAGAGTAGTCAATATCCAATCTTTGGAGCACGGGGGGAACGCTTCGCTCCGACCGACCGCCAAGTAAACACGGTACAGACTGCATGTAACTTTGTGTGGGATACATTTGTTTCTTTGGGTTGGCATTTGCAATGATGATGATGATGATGATGATGATGATGATGCTTCTTTTCTGTCCAGCCCTTCTGTTTTCTATTTTAGGCCGGGTGACCAGCTGGGTAATCTAGACCTGGGCATCCATCCCTTCCTGGGAGAAAATGGGCGTGTGGAGGAGGCTTCTAGAACGGGGGCTAAAGGGATCGAGTGGTAACGTGTAGATGGGTTTATACAACTCACCTAACCTCGTTTCAAATGCAAACATTCAATGAGGTGCAAGTATTTGAGTTGGTGGAAAGTTCAGTAAATGTGGTGGTGGTGACCGTAATTAAGAAAGAAATTATAATTAATCCACCGCCCTAAAAGAGAATTGTATTTTTCTCCCCGTCCATCCCGCCGCTATTGCCGCCGCCGTCGATTTGGCTGGTGGCTCCCAAAATCCCCCCCCAAAAGACCGCCGCCGCACCTGCTTTGCTTTTTTTGCTTTTTGACTTTCTTGTTCAGTTCGAGTTCCAAGTCTTCCCTGCTCCGGTGGAACCTCTCCGGTCTGCCTTCTCCCCTCTACTGTGTACTAGTCAGTAACTAGACTAGAACGAACTGCCTGACTAGTCTAGCTCCTGCTCTTGCTCCTCCTCCTCCTCCTCCTCCTCCTCCGTCCCTCACTATTATCTCCCTCAACTCACTCTCCCTTCTCCATCCTCGTCGTCGCTCCTCCTCGTTTCTCCACGACTGTCGGTCTCTCTCCCCTCCTCTTGACTCACCAACGCAGCCGTTCTTGGATGGGGCGAATCTCTCCCCGCCCCTCAGCATCCTCCCGCCCGTCCAAGTTCCTGCCCTGCGTCGACGTGAAATTCGAACCACACTACTTATCTCCCTCCCGCACCCCGTTTCTCGACGAAAGATTTGTTCCGTCTCGCATACCGAAACCTCCGTGCTCTCCCACTCTTGTCCCACGAACTGTCCTGAATCGTCTCCTCACCCCAAGCGACGTCGCTATTATATAGAGTATTACCGCTCTCCTTATTACTCTGCAGCCGTTGTTTCCCCATTACTGTTGAGTTCATTTTCCCGGTATCTTCCGTGGAGGGGCATGTGTCCCACCCTGTGGTCTTGACCAAGTATGACGTCTGAAGCGACGGATTTTGCCCAAGCCAATGCCAACATGAACTCCGGTAAGCACCACCCTTCCACAACAACCAATTCAGACTCTTCCCACTGACTCGGCAACTTCTCAACTTTTAGCTGCTGAAACTACCCAATCTCCTGACCAGATGACCCCTGGACAGGCGACCGAGTTTGCCGACAATGACTATAAGTTCAAGTCGCAACCCAGCCAGGTCCGGTTCTCGACCATAACGGAGGAAATCGAACCTTCGGATTCCCCGGTCCCTCCCCAAGTACCGCCGGCCGATGACACGATGAAGGATCAGGAGCAAGAGGAGGAACTGCGGTCCCTGGCTGCCAGCCTACAAAAATCACAGTTGCAGGAGACGCGGTTGCGACAGTTCTCATATGACCCGATTTCTCTTCCATCTTCTAGGGTATGTGCCCCATCTGTTTACTCACAATGGCCCTGTACGCTATCCAGCATCGACGGTGGCGTGGAAGATCATGCCGCCTCCTCCGGGACAGTCGGCTCCTCGCATGGCCCTGCATGATCTTCCAGAGCTTCCAGATCCGAACAGAAACTGACTGCTGCATCCCCCTTACAGGTTGCGTCGCGAGAGTCAAGCGACCGCAGTGGTCACGAAGCCAATGGATCAGGACTGCCCTCTCCCCGAGACTCCCCCACGGTGTCCGCTATGCAGTCACCCCCGCTTACACCAGCTGCGACTCACTCACGGGAAGCCAAGTCTACTGATACCTCGTCAACATCAAACACTACGGACAAAGGAGCCCCGGGGCAGTCCGCTGCCATGACCCCCACTACTTCCCCACCGACAAGCGCGACCCTAAAGAACAAAGCCTCCCAGAGTGCCCCCTCTTCACGACCCTCTTCAACCGACCAACTGTCGAAACAGAATAACGTCGCGCAAACATCGTCCCATCCGCTAAATTCCCCGAAACATAGGGCGCAGTTCTTCGTTGGCCCTGCGGCTGATGGAGGTGCACAGGATGAAAGCCCTCCGATGACTCCGAGGGTTGAAAGCTATACCCCTCCCGGTGCGATTACACCCGTCGGAGAGCCCAATGATCCATATGCTCGCAGCAAACGGCCCCCACCACCAAAGAACCTCGCGCAACTGGACCAACGCTTTATCTTCAATGGCAGAGATGCGAAACGTCGCACCAACACCTCCTCGTCGTTCACCCGCCCTATGTCTCCTCGGTCCGCCAGTGCAAGTGATCTCAGGTCCACCGAAAAGCGCAGCGGCTTTTTTGGCAGCAAAAAAGAGGCCAAGCCGCAGGAACCGGAAAGCAAGCCCCACGGCCACATGTCCGAGCTAAAGCGCTTCTTCAAACGGAACCACCACAAGCATAAGCGTGCTGATTCTCCCTCATCTATACCCTTCAAAAAGTCGAGCCGGTCTTCGGGCAAGAATGGCCCTTTCCACACATCGGATAGTGTTCCCTTCGCTGACGACCATGGGCTCAACTCAAAGTACGGGAAGCTAGGCAAGGTTTTGGGTTCAGGAGCAGGTGGATCCGTTAGGTTGCTCAAGCGTAACAGCGACGGCGTGACCTTCGCTGTCAAGCAGTTTCGTGATCGCCATTCTTGGGAGAGCATGAAGGAGTATTCGAAGAAGGTGACTGCGGAATTTTGCATCGGCTCGACTCTTCATCACGGCAATATCATCGAGACACTGGATATCATCCAAGAAGGCAGCCATTGGTACGAGGTGATGGAGTATGCTCCGTTCGATTTGTTCGCGATTGTCATGACAGGAAAGATGGTGAAAGATGAGATTGCCTGCGCCTTCAAGCAGATACTCAGCGGAGTGGCCTACTTGCACGGAATGGGTTTGGCCCACAGGGATCTGAAATTGGACAACGTGGTCGTCAATGAACATGGCATCATGAAGCTTATCGACTTTGGGAGTGCGGTGGTTTTCCGGTACCCCTTTGAGAATGATATCGTTCCTGCTTCTGGTAAGTCGGGCCCCGCTGATCGATATGGGTGAGTTGGGCTTTCACCTTCTAACGCGTGGCAGGCATCGTCGGCTCTGATCCCTATTTGGCTCCGGAGGTGTACGATGAAAAGAAATACGATCCCCGCCCCACGGACGTCTGGTCTCTGGCCATCATCTTCTGCTGCATGACCTTGCGCCGATTTCCCTGGAAGCAGCCCCGTGTCAGCGACAACTCTTACCGACTCTTCGTCTCCCCGCCCACTCCCGGCACACCAGTTCCTGATACAGACCCCAAACGTCACCGAGTCGTTAAATCGTCTCCTGACCTCCAATCGGCGGCTCACGAACAAAAGACCCCGCAGGTTGTTGACCCCAAGAAGGGGCCCATCGATCAACCCGTGCAGGCTAATGGACGTCAGGAGCCCCCGAAGAGTACTGCTCAGACAGGGCCTACCGCTGGAGAAGAGAACCGTCCTCCGGAGAGTCCACAGGAACGTACACCTACCAACAAGACCGCGGTAGAGGACAAGAACGGCCCTACTCACAAGCCCACTCGCACCACAAGCAAAGAAGCCCCCCCTCTTCCCGCTTCATCCCAGCCTTCTGGCCAACGCCAGGAAGTAATCAAGGGTCCCTGGAGACTTTTGCGACTTCTGCCACGCGAGAGCCGGTATATCGTCGGGCGCATGTTGAAGGTGGGCGTCAATGAACGCGCAACCCTCGATGACGTCCTAACCGACGAATGGGTTCGCAACATCAAGGCATGCCAGCAGGAGCTTTCTGGTGAGGTCATCCGGGCCCCTGGCCATACCCATGTCCTGGAACCACCATCGGCCAGTGTTCCCGTTCCCAGCAAGGCCAAGTGATCTACTTCCTCCACTAGGTGTATGCGCTAGTGTTGGATCTCCGTCCCCGTTTCTATGTCTTATCATGTCTTATAATTTCCCTGAACCGATTCATCCTACATCTTTCTTCCCATTCTCGTTTGGCACTTTTCTTTCTACCTGATTCCCTACGGCCATGATGTTGGTCCGTTTCTGGGCGGGCTGTCATCATGATCTGGCTTGTTACTTTCTCGACGGTGGGATTCCAACTCGGCCAAATATACACCTGGAATCCACAGTAATCACCTCCCTTGTCCACTGTTTTGTTTATTTTCTCACTGCGCTTGTGCTGTTGGAAAGAGGATGTGGGTTTCCTATGCTTCTGGTGTTTTCTCATTCGATCGAGGCGTTGAGGTCACTGTGTTGTGGAGCGGGGCTGCTCAGGCAAATCACTCTCCCCTATAGAGGGTCGGCTGCTAGGTTTTCTCCCTGTGAAATGCTGTTTCGCATGTTCCTTGCTGCGATTTCGTTCGCTTTGGTGCTTTTGGCTTCCGCATCTGCCTCGGGAGGGTTTTGTCGTTTGCGCATCTGTCATGCCTCAGAGCCTTGTTTTTTCACCCAAATTGTCCTTTCACTGTAACTTCATGGAGAACAACTACTTTAGTAGATACTATAAATAAACGAGCGACTGTATACCTGCTCATTTTGACGTTTTGTTTTGCTCCTTGTAGTTTCGTAGCAGCTGTAACACCTCGGAAGCAGTTGACGTAAGGCAGGAGATGCGGAGATTGCGGAGTTTAGACCGGGGCGATAATCGGAGCCCATCAAAGGCTTCTTCCCACGCGACCGGCTCAACAGATCCTGGACTTCATCTTCCACCACCCTCCCACCCACCAATTCTACCTGATCATGGCTCAACCAGGTGAACCGGAGCCATTGGTCTCCTCCCTATGGACGCGATCCCTAATTGTACGTCCTCCCCCTTCTCCCTGGCTGCACGGCCACCCTCCATCCTCCAGCCAACCAACTAACCAACCACTCACTCACTCAGTCCGGAGCCATTGCCGGCCTCACCGTTGACTGCTCCCTCTACCCCCTCGACACGATCAAAACCCGCCTCCAAAAAGCGCGCACACAAGGCCCTTCCACCACATCCGCAGCCGCATCCAGCCTCTCCCTCCGCCAAACCATCCGCGGCATCTACGCCGGTCTTCCCTCCGTGCTCTTCGGCTCCGCCCCGTCCGCCGCATCCTTCTTCATCGTCTACGATGGCGTGAAACGATACCTCCTCCCGTCCCCCTCCTCTAACCCCAAGGATACCCCATCTCGCTCCCACATCATCCTCACGCACTCCCTCGCCTCCTCAATGGGCGAAATCGCCGCCTGCGCCGTCCGCGTCCCCACCGAAGTCGTGAAACAGCGCGCCCAAGCCGGTCTCTTCGGCGGCTCGAGTCTCCTCGCCTTCAAGGATATCCTCGCCCTCCGGAATGCTCCGAATGGTGGGGTGGGCCAGGTCCTCGGCGAGTTGTATCGTGGTGCCGGGATTACGATTGCCAGGGAGATTCCGTTCACCGTGTTGCAGTTTACTATGTGGGAGAGTTTGAAGGAGGGGTATGCGAAGAAGGTCGGTGGTGGTGATGGGACTGGGGTTGTGCCCGCGTCGACGAGTGCTATGTTTGGGAGTGTTGCCGGAGCTATTTCGGCGGGTTTGACGACCCCGTTGGATGTTGTTAAGACTAGGGTTATGCTTGCGAGACGCGGTGGGGATGGTGAGAGGGTTAGGGTGAGGGATGTCGTTAGGGAGGTTTATAAGGAGGGTCTTGGGGCGTTTTGGAGGGGGATTGGGCCGAGGGTTGCGTGGATTGGGATTGGTGGGGCGGTGTTTTTGGGGAGTTATCAGTGGGCGTGGAATACGTTGGAGGGGAAGAGGGAGGGGGAGAGGGAGAGGGAGAGGTTGGAGAGGGAGGTGGTTTGATGGGTTGTTAGTCCTGTATATAGTTCTGTGGTGGGTGGGTGGTGGTTTGTATACTAATTAGGTTATGGATGTTGGGGTGGTGGTGGTATACTTATAGACTAGATGGATGGGATTGTTCTATAGAATGTTTTATGTTTCGATTGATGGTAGCATTTAGCTTTGTTTTTTCTCTATGGAGTTCTCCCTCAACATCCACGCCATCTCCTCTACTTGTTCTGGAGTGAGGAGCTCTTTCATCTCCTCCAACGACAAGAAGTCATGATCCTCTATCGCGAACCCGGGCTCAACCGTCTACACACAGCGTCAACCATCTATATTTCTTGAATATTGTCTGATTGCAAACAACCTACCTCAGTGATTAACAGCCCCCTCTCCTGCCCATCGTCATACTCATATTCCTTTTCAGGCAACAAATGGCTCCCCTTCCACTTGCCACCCTCCACCACCCACTCCACCTTCTCCCCTCTTTCCACGTCGTGTCCCACCACAAACTCCTCTACAGGCGCCTTTCCCCCTTTCCGCTCATCGGCGTGAATCACCACATATCGCCCCCGTCCACGATGTAGTGTATGCACGGTTCGACTCTTGTTCCGGTGGAACGCGCCGAGCGGCGACCCCGGCGTCAGCATGTAGTGGATGCGGGTACTAGCGGAGCGGGTGGCCGTGCCGTTGGCTATGGGGATTTCTTGTGGATGGCGGAAGGTCTCCTGGTAGTAGCCGCCTTCGGGATGTGGCTGGAGGTCGAGAGATTGGATAGTTCGGGTGGCAGAGGGGGGTTCTTTGGTGGGTTGGGAGGAAGGGGGGAATGGTGGGTGGGTTCTGGTCATGGTTTAGATGGTGTAGTATTGTGATGGAGGTGGTTTCTTTGTTCAAGATGCTGGAGACTGTTGGATGTAAGCTGTGAGGTGGTATTCAGTGGAGTTATTATGCGTTTTGTTAGTGAACGGAGTTGGGGCAGATTATTTAAGTAGTATAGTGGATGAAAGGTGGATTGAGATGATATCAGAAAGGAAGAGAATGGTCCTTGGCTATTGCTGCATCAAGTAGTTGATTGATTCAGGGCATTAAGTGAAGATTTAAGTTGTCTAGATGGCCATTTGACCTCTCGTGTATAGTTCAGGTTCTGTGATATCATGGTGGAGATTAGTGCCGGTAACTGGGAACTCAAATCCGACTCTCAGCATGGTGAGAACAGAAGAGGGTAAATAGGAATAGCCTGTAGAATCCACATCGTATTTGAATGGCTGCTCATCAGTAGATCAAAGTGAAGATCAAAAGCAGGAGGGGGGAGAGAAGAAGGTGGAAGACGAGCAGATCCCCGAGGGAAGCCGGGGCTCGTGCCTCCCGCCAGAAAGGGAAGGAACGAAGTGAGCCCATCGTCAGTAACATCTCCCATTTCCATCATCCCCCATCCGCCATCCTTCCAGGCAACAAACTTCCCTCTTCTCCTCCTCCTTCTTCTCCCCGTCCTGCTCGCCCTCCTTTTCTGCTCTCTGTCAGTTTATATTCATTCCTTATTGTCTCGTCTCTCTTCCCCTTCGGGCCTGTTTCCACTCCCTACCACTCGGGGAATGTTCCCCTCCCCTCTGTCACTGCGTGCCTGAGCGATCGTCGCTTCTGCCTCCGCATCGTCCCTTGCACCTCCGCATTTCCTCTTCCACTGCATTTTCTCTCCCCGCCCACTGCATGGCCCGAAAATCAAGCCACCAGAGGGTCACTTATGGTATGTCTATTGTCTGAAGTCGGTCTGCTGGGATTTACTGCCATCTACTCCCTGGTTACACCACGGCTGGGTTCCGCGCTTATCTGATCCTCCCACTTATGCGCCAAAGTGGACTCGAGACTGACATTCAATCTCTTCTCTCCCCTCTAGTCCTCCCTCTGCCTGATGCCCCTGGTGGGCATAGACTAGGCGTTAATGGTCTGACGGTCGATACGGACAATTCCATCCTGTGAGCCTTCCCCGTCCTCTTGCGCCAGTTGGTCCTCCGCAAACCCGGCTGTGATAAACTCCGCCCGTTCCCGAGTCAAAGCCACGCCAGTTCTAACTCCACATTCTTGCAAAGGTATTCCGCTGGTCGCGATGGTGTTGTATGCTCGTGGGACCTCAACCGCCCCCTCTCCGGCGCATCGGCGTCGAAATCCGGTTCGACAACCTTCAGAAACCAAGTCCAGGCTCACAGCCATTGGATCAACGACATTGTCTTGACTAAGAACAACTCGGCGCTCGTTTCCGCATCGTCCGATACCACGGTGCGATTATGGAGACCGCACTCGGAAATCACGGAGGTGCCGCATCCCATCGGCAAACATGCCGACTACGTGAAAGCCTTGGCAACCCCCGGAAATCACTCCTCATGGGTGGCATCAGGCGGCCTGGATCACAAGCTCTATCTATGGGATTTGAATGGCGGCGGTGAGGTCCTTGGCATCGATGCGTGCGGGGAGGATCGGACGGCAAAGGGTTCGGTCTATGCACTAGGCGCTGTATCGTCCGTCCTGGCCAGTGGTGGACCGGAAAGCGTGGTCAGAGTCTGGGATCCGAAATCCGGAAAATTGATCACGAAGTTCGTGGGCCATACCGACAATATTCGAGATATCCTCATTAATCAAGATGGCGATACCATTATGACCGCGTCCTCCGACCAGACGGTCAAGGTTTGGTCGCTGACAGCAGGAAGATGCATGCACACCTTGACAATGCACAACGACAGTGTCTGGTCGCTTTATTCGAATCATCCTCAGCTGTCGGTGTTCTATTCGAGTGATCGATCCGGCTTGGTCGCCAAGACGGACACGAGGCACTCTGCGGATATCGAGCAAGGTGTCTGCGTTGCAGCGCTGCAGGAGCACGAGGGCGTTATCAACGTCGTAGCTGCCGGAGACTATATCTGGACAGCAACACCGAAGTCTAGTATCAATCGGTGGAGGGATATTGATACCACAGCCGAGATAGAAGCCCCAGCTTCAGGGGAACGAAAGTCCAGCGCTGAAAAGGATGCGGCTAAAGGAATGCCCAAGAAGATACCATACGAATCGGTTCTCTTACTATCAAACACATCTACGTTCCCTAATTCGAGAGTTCCTCACGACGCGGCGCCAGGCGGCGCATCACATGCACAGGGCCAAGCTTCCGGCTCAGACATGGAGGATGAACTGGGATTGACCCTGCCCGTCCAGTCCTTGCCAGAGGAGACTATCGAAGGACAGCACGGATTGATCAAACACTTCATGTTAAATGACCGCAAACGGACTTTGACCCAAGATTCTGCGGGTGAGGTTGTCTTATGGGATCTTCTCAAGGTATGCTATGATCTTGGTCGGGACCGAACAAATGCTGATAGCTACAGTGTAAACCTATTCAATCCTTTGGCAAGCGGCATATGGATGATGTGGCCTCTGAGATTAACACCACGGAGAGTATTGCTCACTGGTGCACGATCGACATCCGCACCGGAAGGTTATCAGTGATTCTGGAGCCAGGACGCTGCTTTGACGCGGAGATATACGCCGACGAAACAGACATAGAAGATAGTTCGCAGTTCCGCGACGACCAGAGAAGTATGACAACAACTCTACAGTTGCTGCGTGATCGAGTGCTGATGACGAGCAGTCAACCTAGGCAAATGGATATTGCGCTGGCTCTTTGCATCACTGGTCGATGAGCACGTTCGGCGTGATGCCCAGTATCGTGCCATGGCAGTTGCAAGAGCGGAGGAAATGGCTAAACTGACCACAACGAGTGCCTCTGCGCCAATGGATATACCGTCAGCAGATGGTTCAAGGCGGCCGTTAGGTCTGCAGACTCCTATAGATGCCTCATTCTCAACCTTCCGGTCCGGATACGACACTCTTGGTAGCCCTACGACGCCCGGCTTCGGTATCGGCTACGCAACAAGTCCGGGGACGTTAGGGTCACCCGTGCTACCACCACATAGCTACAACAACAATAGCTACTTTGGAACATCTATCGGCGAGACTTCGGACTTTCTGTCATCACAGCAAAACCCGGACCTAACTCGAACATCTTTCTCGGACCGGTCGAGCGATTACTTTTCCTCCTCATCCAAGCCCCCGGGTCTGACTCCGCTAGACACAGAGAAGGCGCCAGCGACACCCGGAGAGCCGACGCCAACTGCTCTGCCTCAATCACCGGTCGAGCCTGACAAAGAGGAACGAAAGCGGGGAGGATCTATATTTGGGAAGAAATTTCGGATGGATTTCCCCAAGCGAATGGGCCGGTCCTCGTCGGAAGCCAAGCCCCAGATCCAAGAAGAGAAGATTGAAGAATCGGACAAGTCGTCTGTCAAGGAAGAGAAGGTTTTTGAAACCAATCTGGGTGGCTTCATCGAGCGAACCCGGCACGAGTACGAGGAATGGCTGTCTGCCAACCCGGGGCAGGAGTTGGTGTCTGCCTTTGCTCCTAGTCCTGACAACGAGACACCCGAACTGCAGATACCTCCTCGCACGGCCGTATTCATCCAAGAGGAATCTGGCGACACGGCAGTGGCTTCAGACTTGTACAGGGGTACTGTGGCAGGAATTAGTCAGGAGATTGACAAGTTGGAGAAGTCCATCCCGTTATGGCTTGCGGACTTGCTGCTCAAGGTATGAACACCCCTCCTTTGAATATGGCATCCAGCTAATATAGGTAGAATCAAATGCCATTGAAAGAGCCAGTGAAGATTGCGTTTACGCTGAAACCTTACGACGATCTTCTGCCGCCTGTGGTCAAGCCAGAGTATGTACAGTGTACCCGTGGAAGAGCTGTGACTAATCAGGACAGGCCGGCTACGAGCGCAAACGCGAACAACAATCGACTCAACGCCAATCGCATGCTTCGAGCCAAGAAGATCCTTGCCTATGTTGCAGAACGGATCGACCCCCCTAACCCCGATGAGCCCGAAGAGGATGCGATGAAGCCGGAAGAGTATCTGGAGTTGTATTGCCAGAAGATGGTATGTAGCTTTAGTGTCCATGTACAAGTGGAAATGCTAACCAAAACAGCTGATTCCGCCAAACATGACTCTTGCGACAATTCGGGCACACATCTGGCGCTCGTCTGGGGATATGCTACTGTATTACAAAGCGAACGGAAAGAAGGAGATCAAAACCACTCCCGACGGAGAGAGCAACCACCTTGAGGGTGGCTCTCATCGATTCCTTGATCCCGCAAGCGCCGGCGGCGAAGCTGGAAGCGTGCCCCCAGGGAGCATCCACTCGCTGACAGCCTCAGGGTCGGGTGCTGCCTCGATCAGCAATACCTGATGCGTATGGTATTAATTCTCTGTGTATATTGGTGTTGGCATACCGAGTGTATGGCTGTACATAAGCAATAACAAGTTAGCGTAAATCAACCAGTTCTACGGATATGTTGAATGAATGCATGCACATCAGACTATACTAAGAGGTGGGATTGACATCTGCATGAATAGATGATCTTCATGCATGACCACGGGTTCGGAGACTATTTTGGTTATCTGCAGTGTTAACGGAGCTCTCACGTGCTGTCACGGGTCTAGATAATATTCATTCAATGGGGGAGGAGGTTCGAGAGAAGAACGGAAAACAAAGTATAGTACTATCATTTCCTTTTATCTTCAAGATCTTTGATTGGTAAATCTACAGGAGACTTCCAATGTAACAGGATTATCATGCAATCTCTAACCCCACTGTAAAATATATAAAGGCACCATCACATCCTGATATGGCTACCAACAGTAATAGTGTATTATCGCCCCCTCATCCCCGCTTCTCTTCCCAACTAACCCACATACCAACTTAACTACTAGCAACATCATGTCCAAATCATCATCTCGATTCACCCCCTCCTTTCGCTTCCACAAACAACGAACATCTAATAGTACCACCCCCTCAACCCAACCCACCCCAGAAACAATATCCGATCCCGATCCCCAACCCCAACCGCAGACCCAGACCCAAATCATGAACCCCAACTTCAACCTCACCATCGAAACCATCCACGCCCCCTCTACCACCCCGCCCAAACCAACCAGCATCACAATCTTCCTCGCCGGCAGCACTCCCCCTTCACCCACAACCACCAACAAAGACTCATCCAATCCAATCCGCATCTCCTCCTTCTCCTCCTCTTCCTCCCGACGAGACCACCAACAACAACCACCCCCAACTTGGCGCGATACCTTCTCCACCCACCTAGCCCACCACTTCCTCCCAAAGCCACAGCCACAAACACACCCAGACAACACCAACACCAACACCAATACTACCCCCCAAACCATCCACCTAACAATCCTCGACCCCTTCCGTCCAGACTGGGACAGCTCGTGGCGCGAAGACCCATCTTTCCCGCCATTCAAGGAACAGGTCTCGTGGGAGATGGAGCAGCGGGAACGGGCTGATATCGTGCTGTTTCACTTTGATCCTGCGAGTATGGCGCCGATTAGTTTGTTAGAATTGGGGCTGTGTATGCGGGAGCCCGGCAAGGTGGTGGTTGTTTGTCCCAGGGGGTATTGGAAGAGTGGGAATGTGAGGTTGGTTTGTGAGAGGTTTGGGGTGCAGGTGGTGGAGGGGTTGGAGGAGGGGGTGGGGGCTGTGGGGGAGTTTGTTGAGAGAATTAGGGTTGGGAAGGAGAGGGAGAGGGAGGGTTGTTGATTGCTGGTTGTTGGATGGTGATGGGGGGAGTTTTGGAAGAAATTTGTGGAATGGTTGTTCATGGTTTAGGGGCTCTGTTTGGGTATTGGGGGAGTATTATAGATGATACTACATGATAAATTCTGGTCTTGGTCAATGGAATTGCTGTACCATAGCCCGATATAATATATAAGTTTAGAGAGTTTGGAAGTAGATTATGTAGCTGAGCGAGGCAGTAGTGAGTATAATGTCTCTACAGCAGACAAGCAGACCATGGCTAGAAAGCGGCAACACGATTAGCCTCAAGTAGGGGATAAGTTGCTGTTTTGTTCAAACTTTCGATTTCATTCTCCATGCACTGGAGCCTGAATGGTGATATGTCGAACACTGATATTAAAAGATGCTGGAGATACCGAAAACCACATTAAGATCTTTCTGCATTTTATAAGGGCAGTATTTGCTTCAAGATATCTTGTTTCCTCTCCTTTAGAAATATGAGCATGGAACAAACACTCTCCCCTGTTGTAGATGATGAAATGAACATCACCATAACTATATATAACCCATTGTACACCACCATTCAACGGAAGAAGAAAGCCGTTGGAGTAGGGTAAGGGATGTGCAACACGCTGGGAATGAAATCCACATATGCTGCTCGTTCTGAATTCCGCAACCGACCCTCAACATATCTTGATGGCTACCAAGAAGCAGCGGATCTATGTAAAGTCTAGTTTGAGAGGTGTGCTTGGAATCAAACATTATGATCCGTCTGTGTCGTATTTATACTTCTTATAAAGATTCACGAGAGATAGAATTGATAGAAAAACCGCCAAGTCAGGAGGAATTAGTGGCCTTTCATTGAGTATAACTCCCTGGAAGGGGGTGTTTTGACCGAGCCGCTAAAGTAGTATCCTTCTATCTGGTGGAGGTGAGGCTTTTCTTTGTCTTGCATTAACCACTTGGAGCGTATTTACACAGAAAAAAGCAGATGCTATTATCTGTAGCAGACGGGATGAATGGCTAGATGACAAGCTATCTTCCAGTTCGAAATTCGTAATCTCCTGGGAAAGCCCTATATTACTCATGTCACATAGAACAACAGATGTTCTTGACAGCGAGAATAAGCCGTTTCGAATCGGACTTTTGGCATTGAAGCGGACTCTCGCGTATTCTACTTTCCCATTCTAGTCCAAGAAGACTACTACTACCTAATCCTCCCTTTCAGGACTAATCTTCTCTCTGTCTATCCAGTCAAAAACCAACACCCCATGTATGACAAACGCATAGCTGAGGGTTCAGCAAGGTCCGAAATAGTCTCTGTCTTGATGTGAACAGCCGCACCGTGAACCCCCATCCGAGGTTCCATTACGTCGCAGATGGCAGTTGAGTTTGAATTGAGAACAGCATTGGCAATCGTTGGATAGGAGGAAAGGTAGCAATATTAGAGACCGAAGAGAATGGGTAAGGGTGGTAGCCCTAATAGGGAAGAGGTAGATGTAACTGTGAGAGGATATGGTGACAGTACTGATGGATGTGGTAGTGGTAGTAGTGATAGTTGATAGTAGTATTGACAGACCAAGAGACACCATGACCTGATGGATGGTAATTTTCGCTTGGTCTTCTTGGTAGTATTCTCTTCAATCGTGATAGAAGCAGTTGTGCTAACGGTATAGATGGTAGCAATAGTAGTCGTGGCAGTCACCGGCGCACGAGCACGGAGCGTCTGCTGGTACAGACTTAGCGCTTGAGATTGCTTTATGTAGGTCCACATCTCAGTCAAACGTGCAGAGTGTTGCAGGATCACCACATCCTCGTTATCTGCTCCTGAGTCTGAGAAGACGGAGACACCCATGGAGTCCTGCGACATGGATGATAGAGCAATGTTAACCAATCCTATGGTTCAACTAGGGAGACGATGCGAGATGAACCTCCTGGATAGTACAGGGATCCTCAGATGAGGCTGGGATCATACAAAACCCGCCCAGGACAAGGTATATCCTTGAGCTGCGCGTTGTCTCTAACTGGCTTGTCGGAATCACTGTAGCATGACAGTGGCCTGCTGGCGCCTCTTGTCTATTGTCAAGACTCAAAGATTCTGTTCAGGCAGTCAGTCGTCAGTGTGTGGACGATTTCGAAGCAGCCATGGGGTAATTTGTATCTGTTTCTCTAGAGATTATATTTTCTGGTCCTTTCTGAATGAACCCCTTGTGTTCGACGGTGTCATGTCATCATGGTGCCGGGAGGTGTACCAGTATGAAACGCTTGCGAATTAGTAGGAGCATTCAGCATCACACCAACGATTATGCGCTATATCCGTGCTCGTTTACTTGGCGCGGCGCTGGAGCGTGTTTCCTTATATGCTGCTCGACGGCCACGCCGCATGTTGTTTCAGCAAGGTCACATATCTTGTAATATATATAATTCTTTCCGACCAGACCTTCGGAGAACCCCACCTGAACATATGGAATCTCTGTGTATATATTCAGCAAACGCATAGAAAGCACAGTGGGCGAAACTGAGCGTTACTCCAAATACACATAGGTAATACAGAGGCGCATCAACGTATTCGGCCATTGCATAAGAGCCCGGGAGTGCGGCAAGATTATGACGGTTACCGAGAGAAGGCCTTTTCATGGCGTTTATATAATGGAAGACGTCGCTGGTTAAAAACCGACCGTATCCATTGTCTCTGGAAATCAAGGGACTAGCACCCACATGGGCTAGTGTAGACGCTGTTAAACCCTAGATTGTCCATATCACCAGGACTATAATTGTCAATGGATTCGTGATATGTGAACATGTATTGTCGCATCTGTGACGTTGGAGACGTAGAAGCGATAGTATATAGACTTAATCATATCTGATGACTGATAGTGCATGTGGAAGAGGCGCTATCCGGTCACATCTTTTTGATTATATTGAGACATAAACCAGTCATGCGTGGTCGCTGCAATATGGGCACATGGTTTTGGTCTTGGGGCTTTCATCTTCATATTTTCTGCGAAAGCTGTTGCAATTGGGGGTAGAGATTGACTATTGTGTCCCACAGAACTTCTACCTCTACACGACTCCCCATTCTGTTGGTTTCATGAGCGCCAAAAGCCCATGGGGGTTCTCCCTCCCAGGGTCTTCACCTGTATATAGATGGCTTGTTTGATGACAATGCTGAAGAGGATGATAGCTGAGGGAAACGGCAGTCCTTTATATAAGGTGGTTGCTCGTTGAAAGGCTTCCAGATTGTGTAGGGAGCTTCCGATAATATGGGGAAGAGATCAGAAGGCAGAGACAGCGGGATTCTCCGGTAGTGCATGTAGAAACACGCAGAATGGATTTCTCCGCTGTTGTTAAGACTTTGTGGAAGTCTGTAACATACTGCTTAACAGATGGCGTACTAGGAGTCTGGATTTATCTGAACCGATCTTCCTGATTCTATTAGGCTCTCTGAGTTACCATGTTCATCCCGTAATTCTGGGTTCAAGATTTCGAGATACTGCAGCCAATGTTCAGGACCATTAGTAGTGACCCGAGTCAAAACTAACCAAGCCTATGAGCTTTTGATAATCGGGAGGAGGAGTGATACAATAATCCATCGTTATCATCACTTGAGGCCAGCCTTCCAATATTGTTCCATCATCTGCCTAGCAGTTAAAGGCTTGATTTCCGGGAACATTTCGTTCAAACTCCCCTGCCTAGAAATCCGCGCCTGACCCGTAGTCATCCAAGTCTCAACGATGGCCAAGAACCACTGAAGTCTGTCTTTGGGAAACTTGCTGTACGATTTGACATGACCGGGTAATTCGGTAATTTTTGATGCCTTGAGCTTGGTGACGTCAAACTTCACCCCCTTTACCTCCTCGGCAAGCTTCAACAACTCATTGAATGTCATTTCGTCACCGACAATGCGAAGCTCCCGTGGCCACTCTTCGAGGTCCAAGGCAGCAACAACGAAGCGCACAATGTCGAAAGTGTATGTGAAAGTAACTAGCATATTGCCATCCCCTGGAATGGCTGCCTTGTTGTTCTCCACATCAAGCACCAGCACACTGTGGGGATGGTATGACTTCAGTGTTGGCGGTGCGATGTATTCCAGAAAAGTGCCGTTATAGACAGGGGCCCATTCGAGGTTACTATTTTCGAGGGCCTTGAAAGAGGCAAAGTAGTGTTCGAGAGGCGGAAGAACAGAGACGTCACTGCGCAAGTTAGAGGTCATGGTATGAACAGAAAGTTGGAAACTCACTCTTCGGGATAAGGAATTGCAAAAGAGCTAGGAATAAATCTCTTTGTTACTGAAGACGCTTCAGCAGCTTTGATGAGATTTAGTTGCGACTCTGCGAGAGAGGTAGCGTTGATGCCAAAGGCGCTGATGACCGTGTGGATGTTGTGTTCTTCCAGGAATAACTTGAGTGAATTGATATCTTCATAATTGACTTAGAATGTCGGGGCAGGTAGCTGGTCATCTTTCCTGGGCACCTAGGAAGGATAAGATTATTTGCACTACACAGCTGTAGTAAGCTAAACTGACTTACACTTCGTGTGAGGGCGAATGGCCGATGGCGGGTCTGGGAAGCCATCACCTCCAGCAGGGTACGCCCGACAGCACCTGTCGCGCCCGCAATAGCAACATTGACCATCCTGAGACAAATTTGCCAAGAACCCGATGCCAAATTATTATGACTGCGATCTGTTCAGTAATGTGGAAGGGCACAGAGCCCTTTAATATACTTGTGTTTGGTGAAACAATGACGGAGTTAACGACCGGAGATAGGGCTGAGATGACAGTTGGACCAGCTTGGCCGACTAGTCCCAAAATTGTCGGCCCACATCATTCCCTAAATTGCAGAACCGAATGCTTCCCTCTAGTCTATTGGATCAAAGGACTTAGAGTGTGAAGCACTATGATTCTGAAATCGAGTAGGGGGATGTTCGTGGACATATGCATCACGTGATTCACAGCAAGGAATGCCACACACGTGACAATGAAATACCTTGCGCTTTACTTGTTTGGGCGCTGTTTCCTTTGTATCAGCCACTTTATGTGACCTCCTCCTTACGGGCATCGTCCCTGATTGACGGCCTAATGTGATGCTTCTCTTATCAACTAATCGCAGTATCCTTCTAATGCCACTGCTGAGATTTTTCTCAAGATGGGAAATCATAAACAAGCACAACCGTATGAACTCTTAGTTGACCTATTTCTGTCAGAAGAGACTTTGGACGTCACAACCACCCGCGACTCCTCCATCATCAACATTAAGGAGGTAGTGAGACGGAGTCCCAGGTTAAAACGATTTGCTGGGCATGCAGATGACTTTGTTAAGCCTGTGTTCATCGACAAGGGTCAGCAAGGGTTTGTTTTCCGGTTTGAACACAACAAGCAAGATCTCTGCTTGAAGTTGGTAGGTTTCATAAACATACCTAAACTAAGAATCATTGTTCTGACTAAATATACATACAGTTCTATGACTACCAAGCACCATACACTGTCCAAGAAAGAACCTTGGCCTTCATCTGCCCGTTTGCATGTGAAGCACGTGCCTTTGCGCGTCTATGCGATTTGCACGAAAATGGTCACTGGGCAGTGCAGTGTCATGGGTGGATGTATCTGACTGATTGCCAACTTCAGCAGCTTCGAAGAGTAAGTGGAAGAGAAAGGCATGATTCAAGCTGGAATAACGCCCGCTGGGCGATTGTCAAAGACTTCATCCCCGAGGAGCCACTAAGCCGACAAGATGAAGGGTTCCAGCAAATCATTTCCAATTTTGTCATTCCGAGACGCGGTTATATTATGCCCCAGGATGTCAAGAAAGATAACTATAGAGGTACATTAATCGTAGATCTGGGGTCTACTTTCACCTTTCCATTTTATCGGTCCTATGCAAGCCTGTACGAGTTCAATGCCATCTACAGGAGCATAGATGAATATGGGGTACCTGAATGGGATGGATGCCATTGAAGGCCCCAGACATCGCGGAAAACACAATATGATGTAGATGCACAGACGACAAGAATTTGCGCACGGAAATGCCCAAATATAAGCGAGTGTGGCACACCGCTCACCAGTTGTCTGCGAGCTACCATCCTCTATTTCCATGGCCCCAAGACCTACGTTCCTGCCCTACGTCTATAGCTTCAGAATGAAGGTCAACTTCAACTGGCCAAACTGCCTGAGAAAAACAGATTTCAGTTATAGACGGCTTTATCATCTGTCACTTTACAGCTTTCACATTACTCAGCTCTGTTCTTGCATTACCATTCCCCTCTTCGATTACTGATCCACTCGGGTGGTTTCTGAACCTGGGAGTGTGTCGAGGCTGTTACTAATTACCTACCAATTGGGCCTCTGTGGAGGTTTTGGTTTAGTCAGAATGTATCATGTGTGATCGATACAAAGCTCACTGACCTTGAAGTGGGCGAAGACGATTATTTGATGAATTACAATAACCCATATCCTTCAGAGCCACCGGTGTCAGTATGAAAATACTAGCATCCGAGAAGCAACAAACATGATTCGTGAAAGACAGGACCCAGAGCTGCACCGAGGTCCGGCAAGGGTCAGAGAGTCCACATCCAGAAAAACTCAAATAGTTTCAATTTAGCCATGTGCATCAAAGTTAGGACATAAGCTGCGATAAAACAATGTCCGTTGTGGGCAGTTCTAAGAGCTTGACTAGACATATTAATCCAGCACGAGAAACAGTAGAAACAACAACTGGCTCCTTAAATTCCCAGTCCACGCAAATCAGACAACATGAACCATGGAGGTGATTATAGTAACCACGCTGGTCAACCGAACAACACTGTATTTCGATCTTCCATTACTACCACTCTCGTTTCTGCTTACCTTTCATGCTTATTTGCCCATAGCAAATGATGAAATTCAGGCACGTCAGCCCCATCCAGCATGTCTTGAAGCTGGCGTATCCCAAGACCCAAAAGACGAATTCGACATGGTGACGGGTTCTGTTTCAGCCTCAGGTTCTGCCTCTGGAGGAGGAGGAGCCTCAGTCAATCTATCATCGCTCACCACTGGCATATCCCAAGACCCAAAAGATGAACTGGACCTGGGAGCGGGCTCGGGCTCGGGGTCCGCCGGAGGCACAGGTTCAGGCTCTGGAACAGCAGGGTTTATTTCTGGAACGGGGATTTCGAAATCTTTACCCGGGATAGGAAGCCCATTTTTGATCAGGCTCTTTTCCCTCTTCTTCCTGTCTTTGGTGGAGAGACTGTTCCAGTTGTTATAGAGAGGGTTATCTGTTATTTGAGGAGCTATAACGATACGCCTAAAAGTAGGCTCTGGATCTTGCTCTAGCTCCGGTTCTGGAGCTGGTATCGCCACTTCTGTATCGGGTTCGAGTAGTGGCTCAGGATAACATGCAGGCTCAGGCTCAGGCTCATTCGCAAACTCGGGCTCGCACACAGGCTCGCATACAGGCTCGCACACAGGCTCACGAGGAGGCTCAAGCTCATAAGCAGGATCATGTTCACAAGCAGGCTCAGGCTCACGAGGAGGCTCAGGCTCATACGCAGGCTCAGGCTCACAGTCAGACTCAAGTATAGGATCAGGCACAGGCTCATGACCTCCCCTTGAATTGCCCAAGCTCCTCATTCTGTCTTGCTCCCTTTCATAGAGTGCCAAGACCTCATCAACAACGAAATTATCGAAACTTCGACTATTTCCAACCTCAAAGTCCTTTATGATCTGTCGCAGCTTTCCTTCCTTCTTTATAAATGCCACTCTCAACTGGTCTCGAACAAAACCCTCAAGCCACGTGCGTCCAGAATGTTCATCGAGAAGGCTGCCGTACACACATCTTATGGCACGTAGAATATCGTCTATTGACAATCTCTCGGCAAATCGGGCCATAAAGTGCTGTGCCATGCTTAGTAGCCCTGGGATCTCGTACCGAACGGCAGCCTGATATACATAGGCTGCGCACTGGAACTCTTCTCTATCACGAGTGTTGAGTATTGTGGGGATGTCTTCCGCTGACTGAGGGATGCTGAGTGGGGTTTTAAGTGTCTCATACAGTCCAGTGTACAAGTAATGAATGAAGGTATGGGCACTTTGCGGCTCAATGCACAGCCGGTGATAATGGCGCTCACTCCCCCAGTATTCATTGTGCATAACCTCCGGTTCGAATTGCAAAGTTTTATATGGTCGGAGGTACTGCTGTGGAATCCTGTAGTAGTTGTCGTTCACCTTGAGAGTGATGATGGGAGTCGTATAAGGACTACATTTCAATGTTAGCATCGGCTCAATAGCACTGAAGGTATGGGTCTAATAGACCATGAAGAGAAGGTACGATAATGGAAAAGGAGAGGCATGGCCCTTACCATTCAGCTACCTGGGCATACTCTTCGAGCTCTGGAATAACTAGGTCCGTGGGTTGCTCAGGCAAGTCATCCTCAAGAGGGGCAATGACTGTGTTGGATATCCCCTTGTTCTTCTTCTTCTTTTTATCATGACTTTCAGCCATGGTGATGGTCGTGTCGGGAATTTTGTCCACAAGCAACGGTGGTGGCCTCTAAAAGTCTGAGTGGACACCTTTATATCTGGGATCCCAGGCGGTAATAAACAGCGCCAAATTCCAGGTGCTACCGCGGGGATGAATCCAGCCCCTAGACGCAACGGACACGTCATACTTTATCGCTGCATGCAAGGCTACGATGCTCGAGACATGTTGGTGTGTGTTGGCACGCAAGATAGTTGCGGGGTTCCATACTGCTGGAACGAGGCAGCCTGTAAGAGCGGCAGCATGGCATACATCTTTGGCTCAAGAGCCATGCATGAAACTGCGAAGCGCCAGCTGATACTATTGCCTACAGTAGCACCCTGTGAGCTATACAACGAAACTGTTGGTGGTGTTGTACTTCCATTTCAGGACAGCTGGAACAAATTCAGCCTTGCGTGCTTTCTGCCGGTGGGGTATTGCATGACATTGTCTCAAGGGACTCCAGGAAATACTCCCAGAAGCTGAGAGCCTATCGATATGAGTGACTAGCAGATAGCCAAGCGCTTAGGTGGAGTACATGAAGCATAGCATCTAGGTGCCATCATCATAGCTGTTGGACGGCTCAGCATAACCGGAAGGAACCCCGATCATGTTGTCCGATATCTATTGGGTCTGCTAAGGATGCAGGCTTGCTGGAAGTATTTCTGGCTGTGGTAGCCAACGTACTGATGCCGTTATGCCACCTTGCCCGGCAGGGTTGCCCGAGGCTGTACACATACCCCGCCGGACACCCCTGCTAGGCGCCTGCGCCAACTTGCATCTGCCTGCTGCGGCGGCAAAGGAATAATATCTTGACGTCCAATCAATTTAACGATTGTGGCCAGCGATGTCTAGAATACCGCTAACGCCTTTTTGTATAGTAGACAGCCTTGTTAGGGTTCCCTTTGGGCTCATCCGGCACAGCCACTCCCCAGCCACACATAGGCGCTGGGGAGAAGAAATGACGATACTTTGCAGATGGGTGTCCAATATATAGTGAAGCAATAAGCCAGGTTAATTACCATAGGAGTGGCCTGCCTGAAAAGCTTCTTCTCTGCAGTCTACGCACCTTTTTCAGCTCTAGGCATTCTATTCTTCGGTTCTGTTCTTCGGTAGGATCATTAAAATATACACCTCTCCTCCCATTACTGCCAACCCTATCAGATCTGCCCCTATTACATCAGCCCAGTTATGCCAGAAGCTCCAAAATACGAACAACGACAGGTCTTTCTTGCCTGTAGTGCTATATTCAGCGGTGCGAATGCAAGCATACGAAAAACGAAGGCTATCCGCACACGCTTGGAAATGCATGAGAGCTCCTTGAGAAGGTTGATTCCAGGTTACAATCTCACTAGGGTAGTGTCGATTGCCAAGCTTCTTCTAGAGAAAGGCCTTTTCGGTTCGAAGGCCAAGGCTGAAGCTTATTTTCCTGGTCTCTTTGACCCGTGTCCCGTACGGCAGACGCTGAATGCGGTGCTTGAACAGGAAGCGTCTCGCTCAAATGAAGAAGTGCTCGAGGTGGTTTCACAATCGTACGAAGAACACGGGAGTGAAGGAGAAGACGACCGAGGAGACGCTGTTGCAGTTCCAGCCCCTGGACTAGCAGATGTTGATTTCCAGGTTGAGCAAGACATGAAGGTTGAGCAAGACATGAAGGTTGAGCAGGGCATGAAGGTTGAGCAGGACAATGATTCAGGTATGAAATGTGTAGATGGCGGGATGTCCTCTTCTATTCATCAATAACGTGGATTTCGCAGATGAAACATTGACCCCTGAGAGACCCCCAGCCTCGCTATTCCCATTGTACCTGCCCTATCATGCCCAGCATCGAATCTTGACCAATGCGCAGCAAGTCCTAGAGGAGTGCATATTCGACTTCATGAAGAAGTGGCTCCCTAACTATCTTGAAAGGAACGGATGGGAGTGTGCTGCAGCTGTTGAGCTGACCAAGTGGACGAAGCATCCTTTCCGATGGACATCCCAGATACCAGAAGAGGCTCTGCACCCAACAGACCTTAAAATCGAGTCGATCCTGTCGAAAATAGTGAAAGTGCGCCATACTGCTGTACATCGACTTCCGACGACTGCACGCGGGGTTTGCGATCTTGTTGGGATTGCCAAGCAGTTGACTGAAACTCTTGGAGATACCCCACGCACTTCACAGCTTGAGAACCTCCATCATGATCTGCAGGATAAGATCCAAATCCTCGAGTTCAACAAGAATGTTCTGGAAGAAAATCTAGCTTGTCATCTCAGAAACATTGAGGCAGAACGCGAACTTTTGACTCGTCGGGAGGAGAGGCTGAGAGCCAAGACAGTCGAGGATGATAGGGAAAATAAGCTTATGATGGGCCTCTTGTTAGAGGAGTCGATGGAACAGATATTCAGAGTTGAGGAGGTTCAGTCGGAGACTGGGCGAAAGTGGTTGCGTCTTGGCAACAAATGGACATCCTTGACTGGAACCGTTGCGGGCTGGGCTCAAGACAGACTGGCTAAAAACGCTTTAGCGCTTCGTCTCGGGATCTTTGCTCTCTTCTGTTTTATTATGGTGTTCGTATGTGTGGTAGGGGGGCGCTTCATGTATTTAATTCGCATTTTGTAGGACAGATGAGCGATGATCGGATTTAGCATTGAAGAGCACTGCCGTATTCATTATCCTAGCGACTGATCAGTGGGCGTAACTCCCCATGGATGGACAGTACTTGGTCACAGGTACCGCACAGCATAGGCTGGGAGATACCGTGAACATATCATCGAAACACCTATTCTTGAGCCGCGAGACTATTGTAGGTCAAGAGAGAAGATCAATGAAAACGCTAGGAAAAAAGAGGTCCTTGCTTTAATGGGAATGAATTGTCCAAAGGACTTGATGTCCTTGTACTTCCAATTGTGATCTCCATGGTGATCACCGTCCCATCACAGTCGACTTCCAATTTCCAAAGGTGTGGCTTAGACACTGTGAGTATCTGGTTGGACGCAACGCCGGGCGACGTGCTGTGACGGCGTGGCCCTAACGCAGTCGGTTCCCTTTGGTGACACAAACCAGGAGGGGAACTACTACTAGTGATATGAGGCCCACTGGTACTAGTTGATGAATCCTATTGGATAACAATATAGTGTTGTTATGTACATAGCCTCGTAGAACGGCTCGTCGACTTCAGGTTGGAGTGGGCATAGCCGCCCAATTCCGGTGCAGTCTAGCCTATTGGCCATAGTGCAAAGACTAATTTACTAGCTGGGCGTCGTGATGAGAGACATTGTAGCATAGAATACTGTCTGGCGAAGCACAAGGCTGGCGCTAACTGACCCCAGCACTAACAGCCTGACCACTAACCTTTGGGCCTAGTGAAACAACAAAAGAGGCAAGTGCTGTGCCGCTCATCCATGGGTGTCTGAAGGTGCCGCTCTTGGACGGGTTGAGGCAGCGTTATTCTAAACCCCTTTCTTTAGTAGTGTAAAATATAATGCCGCCGGCGCTCCTTCCTCTCCGTATTTCTCACTCGAAGCTTCTCTCCTTGCCATCATATCTGCAGTTTGCTTCCAGTATCGGTGCTTTCACATGTCTGATCCAGTCACGGGCCGAGAAAGGGCCCGCAAGTTGGTCCAGGGGATCTCCGAGAGACATGAATATCTCGGAGAAGATGTTCTCAGTCTGATGTCGGACGAGGTCCGTCGCCAAGTCGAGGAAGCGATGCTAAGGAAAGATGAGATGATTGGGTCTTCTGTGGTGACGTTAGCAGCTCTTCCTGGGTTTACTTACTAGTCATTTCTGACAAACGCCACCAGATTGTCCAAGAACCTTTACAATAGCAGCGCGCGCTTCGTTTTCGAGCTGGTGCAAAACGCCGATGATAATCACTACACGGTAGCCAGAGGGCGCGGAACTGTTCCCTCGCTTGCCCTCCACGTCTACCCGCGTCGTATTGTCGTAGACTGCAATGAGGATGGCTTCACACATGAAAACCTTGTGGCGATCTGCGATGTCGGAAGGAGCTCCAAGACAGGTGCACAAGGTTACATTGGTGAGAAAGGCATTGGCTTCAAATCAGTCTTTATGGTAGCCTGGAAAGTGCATATTCAGTCTGGTGACTTTTCCTTCTCGTTCCGCCATAAGCCAGGAGGTTCGGGAATGGGGATGATCTCCCCAATTTGGGAGGACGTTGAGGAACAGCTGCAGAGACCGATGACCCAAATCACTCTCTATCTCCATGAGGATACGGCTCCGCGTGAAACCGCTATGCAACAATTTCGTGATCTTCAGGACACCCTGCTGTTGTTCACAAAGAACCTCCAACGGCTAGAAGTCTCTATGTATGACGATAATGAAGAGCAAATATCGTCAACGGTGTTTGCAATTAGCAGCCAGAACGAAAATCACAAGGTGCTGAGAAAAACAGTCATTCGAGATGGTACAACGGAGGAACTCGCGCGGAACTACCACTTGACCAAATACATCGCGCACGGCCTTCCTCGAAGTGAGAATCGTACATATACTGACGAGGAAGAGGGGGCCCTGGCGTATAGTAGAGCAGACATCATACTCGCATTTCCAGTGAGCCAGGATTTTGTACCGATCATTGAACCACAGGATGTTTTTGCCTTCCTTCCCGTCCGCAGTATGGGGTTTACCGTAAGCATTCTACAGTGAGATGCTTTTTTATGAATGTCTGCGTTGACCTTGCCTGGCAGTTTTTGATCCACTCAGACTTCGTTACCGATGCAAGCCGACAGGATATCGTCCGCTCTTCGGCGCGAAATCGCAAGCTACGAACTGAAATCGCCAACGCCTTCAATACAGCGATCTTAGAGATGTGCAAGCATCCTGCATTACGATATACATGGATGCGCTACCTTCCTAAACGCGACGGACATCATTGGGATCTTTTCTGGGTGGACCTGTTGGATGAGTTGAAGTCACGATTGATATCGAGTCCGATTATACATGGCCGTACCAGTGGACTTTGGTATCCCATCGAGCAGATGCGGCGTCTATGGGACTTTTGGTATGATAAATCTGGAGACCCTCTCTTTCCAGATTTGCCACGGGAACAGTATATTTCTGCCCATTATGCGGAAGAAGACATTGCGCGGCTCATGGATTATGGGCTAAGCTTTATGGCAATGTCTGACATGATTGCAAGGGCTAGGATGGACCTTCAATCCACACATTCCAAAATGAAGAACAGGGAGACCAGCGAGGACTGGCACTCTCTTGCTGCGACAGCCCTCAGCCATTCCTTTCGCTTGGGATTTGATACCTGTATGGAGGAGGTCAAAGCTCTGCCCTTGATTCCTCTGACAACGGGCAAATGGGTGTCTATCAAGAAGCGGGCTGTCTACCTTTCATCTATTAGTGGTATCGAGATCCCCAGCAGCCTTGGAATTGACCTTGTAACTCCACGGGCAGCGAGTAACCCACAGCGTAAACAGCTGTTCAAGGATCTAGGGGTCCAGCAGGCATCTGTCGATTTCGTTCGGAAGTTGATCAAGGAGAAGTCTTCGGGGCTTTTTGCTACTCCCATGTGGAGGGAACGTCTGCTTTTCTTGTATTTCACAGAACGTCTCGGTTCCACTAGCTCTCAGGCTCTACTCATGGAATTATTCAACGGTAAGGGCCCGGCATTTTTCGATCATAAGGGTCAGATAAAACAGCCAAAGTTCGACCCGGTCTACTTTCCCAATGATGATCCATATGGTGCGAAGGCACTGCTGGAACCCATTCAAGGCGGAGCTCCAGGCTTAAACGTCTCGTTCATTAACGAGGAGATATATTTACGTGATCCTCCATCGTGTCCTCCAAATGAGCAACGAACATGGATCGAGTGGCTACAACAGGTATTCCATGTCCGGGAGACCGTCTCACTCATAGAACCGAGGGATTGCCTGTCAAAAGCCAGACTAGGGCGAGAATGCCTTTATGTCGCGCAGCACCGACCGGAAAAATTCATGGGGCTGCTTTTAACCTGTTGGGCGGTCGACGGGTCTAGGATCATTCGACAGCCAGAACTGGTGGATGAGATTCGCAAGTTCAAGGTACTCTGCGAAAATGGCTCGAGATATCCATTGGGCAGTACCTACATTCCCATCCCGGACCGGAGGGCGACGGTTTCAAGGTTCCTGAAGGACCAGAAGTTCTTCCCGTGGTTGCAATTGGATCAGCCCATGGATGGAGGGAGCCTTACACAGCAGTGGATAGTATTGACAAAGGCTCTTGACTTTGGTCATCCCAAATCTCAAACTCACTTTTATCTTGACATACTGGATTATCTAGATTATGCTCTGCAAGATGGGGCCTCTGAAGCGAGCCAGATGTTTGACCTTTATGTCCACATGCAGATGGAATGCCATGCCAATCCGTCTGCTGCAGATGCAGTTAGGTATACTTTAACCACCCAGACAGTTCTTGGAGATTGCTAATTAAACATAGGGACGGTCTGTATAAGCGCGACAGATACATTTGGATTCCGCTGCATACCTGTGCAAATCTGGATTATTGTCTTTGGGAAGCACCACACCATATGGCGAGCAAGTACCCCCTCAAGGCACTGTTTACAGAATACTGTCGGCAAAACCAGGCAGATGCTGTGTATCTCAAAGACTTCTTTCAAAAGACGCTCAAAATCCCCGATGTTAGAGCGGATGATCTCGTGGTCGAGCTGGCGAAGCTGAAGTCTGACAAGTGTAGCGATTTTGACCAAATCAGCTCAGTATATTTGAATCTGCATCGAATGTTCAAAAGGCTGTCTCCAAGGACATTGACGACTTACCGGTAAGTTTTTTACTTACCTCATAATAGAGATTTTGGCTTATTCCTTCAGAAAACGGTTTTCTGAAGATGCTCTCATCTATGTGCCCCCCAATTGGTACACCACGCCGGAGTGCCTTTGGTCAACGGCTACCTCTATTCCTGGTCGCATTGCACTCAATGACCATTACCAGGACTTGCAAGAACTGTTTGTCCATTATTTGGAAGTTCAGACCCTGACCATGCAAATGGTCGTCGAAAAGCTGCGAGACCAGGGTCGGGCGGGCTCGTCTTCCGTGGCCGAGGTCAAAAGCACGATTTGGACCTTGAACTCTTTACTCCAGGGTCAACAGGCAGATATAGCACCTGCTGAGCAGGTGATAAACTATGCTGTATTTCCTGTTCGGTTTCCGCACGGTGGTGTGCAGCTTCAGACTTCTGCGAGTGTGTTTGCAATTGCAGATCGCAAGCACCTCTTCAGTTACTTTAGTTCGAAGGCCAACCTGCTAGATTTTGAGGTCGATGAAGTCCCACGCCTTGAGCCATTCATCCAATGGACTGGACTGAATGGCCGCTACTTATCGTTGTGTATCAAGGAGATCACAATGGTGGGGGGAGACCACGCTCGAGATTTATCTAATCCTGACCGCGACATTTCTCAAAAGGCACACGGGCTCCTTCGGTAGGTTATGCACTTCCAAAACACAATGTTTGTTGCCTTATCTGACCATGATATTACTATAGCGTTGCAGTCCATCTCAAGAGCCCTCGAGTAGCTCAGGATGAATATGTTTTTTATGAGGCCCTCAAATCAATCAGCATGAAAGAAACCAACGGGATCTCATCTGAGCTTCATCTCAATCAGGATGGGAGGGATATCAAGGTAGAAGTTTCTAGGAGTGAATTGCACCTCGATGACCGAGATGGCCAGCTCACTGTGTATATTCCACAAGACAAGCGAACTCAAGAAATCTGTTTTCTTGGCCGCATTCCACTGGCTCTGCTGCAGTGGATGATGACCAACCCATTAACACAGATTACCCACGAGTTCAGCGACAGCTTCGTCACTATCATCCAGACCCTCCTGCATGCTAAGAGCAAGTACGTCTCGGATCTTTTGGACCTCGCTGGTATTATGTCCATTGCGAGGGCAGACGACACAGTTGTTACGGCAGAGAATGAAAGCCAGCAAACACAAGAGATTGAAGATCAGCAATCGCACAGCGATTTATCATCGGCTGCCGTTAGTAACAGCTCAATTATTGTCCAGCATACCCCTCAGCGTGATGGGCCCGTACATACGCCACCTCGACCGAGACAAGACTCTTGGGTGTCAGAAACTACTGTTGTCTCTGCCTCAATGCGGTCCCTCCCTGTAGCTCGCCCATCTCCAGTGCTCCTACAGAATTATACAAACACGACAGCCGACCCCGAATACTACCAATTGCTTTCATCTGTGCTCGCGTCTGCTAGGAATGCCATATTCCCCAGCCAAGGTACCTTCGACATGGCAGGTCTGGACGACTCAATCACATCGGTTGCATTCTCCGAGACCATTCGTCTGCGGGCCTCTGACCAGTTTGAACGGGACTTCAAGGTCGGTGCAGCCGGAGAACTATTCGTAAGTCATCTTATCTATACTTTTACCAATAAGAATATATATTGATCGCAGCAGGTATTCGAACTCCTCTCAAGACTAGACCCACCCCTACCTGCCTTCACCCGCGACAACTGGCAAAGCGTGATTCGCAGATTCGTCACAATTCTCCCCGAGTATTCCAACATGACAGCATGGCATGGTCGTGAGACAGCAGATATTACCTACGATGATCAGGATGGAGTTCTCACCTCCCTCTTCATAGACAAAGGATACCTACGGGATGATGTGTGGAGGGGAAAGACACCTCGGTTCTACATAGAAGTCAAATCTTCTACTGCGGACAACCGTACGCCTTTCTTCATGAGCAAGCACCAGTACCGACGGGTAAGAGAAGCTACAAATCTGTTCCAGTCATATGACTTTTCTGACCTATAGCAGATGCAAGAGATGTCCAACGGCGAGACACAGTCTGATAACATGGACATGGTGTATGTGATCTTCCGAGTGTATAATCTAGGACAGCAGGGCATGAGGATGAAGGTTTACGTGGATCCAGAAATGATGCGCGTGAAAGAGGAGTTACTATTTACTGCCGAGGGGTGGTCGGTTGTTCCGGCTTGATGATATGTTTCGAGAGTGGCATTTGTATTTTCATGACCTTTATGGGGAAGTTTGTTATATTGCGTTTCCGACTCAGAAGTAGAATCTACTTGCTCTGTACTGAGGTACCTTTCATTCTTCTAGGTATATCATTCCTTCCGAATTTAGTTTTTGCATTTGTTAATAAGATAATAAGGAGCAGTTACCGCGCTTTGTGTGTTCATGACGTTGACAAATGCATTAGTAGGTAGGAATGGAAATATATAACCAAAGAAATCTATCGAAGGTTGCACCGGCGAACATTGCAAATATCTAGATATTCTAAATCATCAAACCCAGCAATCTGATCAAGGGCTCTTCACCTCTTTATCCATCAACACCCCAACCACCTTCTTGACCGACTCCCTCGCCAGCATGGCTTCCTGCCAGCGTGTGAAATGAGGAAACTCCTCGGGACGCCACGCCTGATCGCCTTCACGACCAGCCATGAAGAACGCAATCTGCATATTCCACATAACGAACGCCAGGTCTGCGTACGTGCACTTGTCGCCCACGAGCCAATCGCGCTCCTTCAAAACAGAGTCTAACACGCCCGCTACACGCTTGACCTCGGCACCGTAGCGCACCTTGGCGCTTTCGGGGGATTCACCGTAGATTTTCTCATGGAAGATATTGAACCTTTAGATAAGGACATGAAAAGTGTCAGAGGATCGATAATTGGGCGCAAAAATCTGGGTAGGAAGCTTTAACTTACCATGCAGATTGTCCAAAGTACGGGCCCTGTCCCGAGGCCTGAAAGTAAGACCACTGGATCAATTGATATTGTTCCGGGAATGTATCGTAGGATATTTTGTGGTCTTTGTCGTAGGTATCGATGAGGTACTGGACAATGGCACCTGATTCCCAGAGAGTAAGACCGGTGTTGGGATCGATGATAGCTATGAATCGAGTTTCATCAGGACCTGCAGTAATAATGGCGTGTTGTGGAGGAACGGATAGATTCTACATACCGGGAACTCGGCCGTTAGGGTTCACATCGGTAAAGGGCTTGGTCTTCAGGCCGTCGAGTTCGACCCATGAGGACTCATATGGAAGGTTAAGTTCCTCGAGGATTATGAGGACTTTGGAGGGGTTGGGTACTTGGTCTGGATTTCGTGTTTCCGGTTCTTAGTATTGCTTTCTTTGACGTAGTGGGCATACCACTCAAGGGTGAGATAGAGAGACGGAACATACTTCGCCAGAAAAGCTTGATGGGCTGCAAGGAAGTCATGTTGGAACTGTTGTGTTCTATTTCTAATTTCGTTTTCGGGAATTGAGGGTCAAGGGCGCTTGAATTGGAGAGTGAGGATAATAGCAGTGATGGCGTTGCGAGGAACAAGGGCTATTATGTGTAAAAGGCCAGGCTGGACTGGTCGCCAAAAAATCGAGTTTACCGCGTGGTGGAGCGGATGTTTACACTAACGCATCAGAAGCACTTTAGCTTGAGATAGAGGGGTTACTTCGCCTCATTTCTTTGTTCCAGCATGTATGGGAGGGTCGGTCCAGGAATTTCCCGCCCAACGCACCGATGGACCAGCGGACCGAGATCCTTAGCAGATCCAGATATACTACACGCAAAAGTCACAGACAGGAATTAGGTGATCCCAGGTGCGGAGGAAGGACGGTATCTAGTTCGCCTTGTCTCGATCAATCTAGAGCGAGGTACCCCTGGCACCATAGAGCTGCAACTAGCCTGATCAGGCAGGTATACTACATGAACTGTTATTTTAGGTGCGGAGTAGGATGCTATCTACTAACGAGCCTGTCATGTCTGGGCCGCTTTCAATTAGCTACCAGTCGCAGGCCCGTGCGGCAAATAGAACCACTATGCCCTCTGCTTGGGCTGTCAGAACGAGAACCACATAGGGTACTCCGTATGTGGGTCCCTCGGTTCTGGGGCGCTGTATGTCCTGAACCTACTGTGGCATGCCCTGTGTAAAATACGGCGTAGTTAAGGGACATATTTAGTGCTTATTGTGGGGGCAACATCACTTTCTTGTTTCCATTCAACCCCCGCGTCTTACTTAGTGTCAGCGAACTAGTATGCTTAGCCCTCATGCTAGTTTAGAACGTAAACTCCGCCTCTCGCTAATCATGTTGCGATCGTTACCGATTATGCCCGGTGTACAGAGAGGCTGCCTCACCCCGTACTTTTCAACTTCCTCGCCGGTTGTATGTTCCAATTTTTTTTTTTTTTTTTGTTCTCAGTATCTCGCCGTCCAACACCCCTCTCCTCCTTCACCACAAGGCAATGGCTCTTTTCATCTTTGCGACCATCCTGCTTATCCTCGTAAGTGCTCATCTCCATTTCCGGGAATTGTGCAAGTCAAACTAACTAGAAAGTCAGTATCTCACCACCCTCATCATTTATAATCTATTTCTCCATCCTCTCGCCCGCTACCCCGGCCCTACCCTCTGGCGTGCATTCCGTTTCCCCTTTATTCTCACCAATATCAGCGGCCAACTTCCTCATCGTATACATGACTTACACACCCAGTATGGTGACATTGTCCGTGTTGCACCTGATGAACTCTCGTTCATAGACGCGCGCGCCTGGCGGGACATCTACACCTCAGACCGTGAATCTGTCCGCCCGCATCAATACAAAGACCAACCGCCCGGCAAGAAAGCACCGAATCTAATTGCCTGCTCGGAGGCTGATCATGCTCGTCTTCGCAAGAACCTGGCACCGGGCTTTTCGGAGAAATTCACTGCACTTCAGGAACCGATTCTACAAAAATATATAGATGCACTTTTTGCTAAGCTGGACGCAAAGATTACGAGCAGTGGGGGCGACAGTGCCACCCAAAGTGCTGATTTAGACCTCGTGGAATGGATCAATTACCTCGCCTTCGACGTGATAGGTGATCTCACCTGGGGTAGCTCATTTGGGTGCCTCGAGGGTCTGCGGTACCATCCCTGGGTGCAGACAGTTAGCCAGTTTAAAGCTGCCATCGTTGTTGGCTCGATGAAATTCTATCCTCTGCTTTATCGTTTCATGATGGCTATCACCCCAGCGGATGCCCTGAAGCCAGTTATGGAGATGTGGAAGGTCACGGATGAAAAGGTGGCGGAGCGAGTAGCCACCACTACTCCTAGTACTGCCACGCGACCGGACTTCGTGGGAATAATGATGGCATCGGGTGCCATGACACAGGAGGAGATGGAAGTGAACTCCATGCTGATCATCGCAGCGGGGAGTGAGTCAATAACGACCATTATTACGGGAGTCATCAACTATCTTCTGCGGGACCAGAGGACCCTCCGTGAATTGGTAAACCTGCTCCATGACTCCTTCCCTACGGAAAAGGATATTACAGCCATCCGGCTGAAATCTCTCCCATATCTCGACGCAGTTTTGATGGAGGGCATGCGCCTATGCCCAACTATTCCAGATGCCATGCGAAGACAGGTCCCGCGGGGTGGAGCCAGGGTGGCTGGGCAATTTGTGCCGGAAGGGATGATTGTCTCAATCCCTCCGTTTGCTAGTTACCGCGCACCCCGCAATTTCACAGGGCCGGGTGAGTTTGCCCCGAGACGGTGGCTGGGAGAAGATATCAGCAAGCAGAAAGAAGCTTTCAATCCATTTTCACTGGGGTCACATAATTGCCCAGGCCAGAATTTGGCTTGGATGGAGCTACGGCTCATTCTGGCACGGTTGTTGTGGAGGTATGATCTAGCGGGGGTGGATGTGCCGGCCTGGGAGAAGCAAGGGATTTGGTGGTTTTGGGATAAGAAACCTCTTATCGTGAGGGTTAGAAGGGCTCAATAGGGGGGTTGATGTGATGGATAAGATTTCCGCTCGTGGATCCACCTCCGGGGTTAAGAATTACTGGCTATGATTCGGTCATATCAGATCCGCTTATGATCCGCCAGGTCGCCGAACTCATGCTGCAAACATGTTTTCTCCTACAATTCAGTCAAACCCGGATACACCTGACCAAAGCGAGGAATACGCAGCCCCAGGGCCATGGAGACAGACACTGGAGATGCAAGATAGAGAAAAATGAGTTTCTCCTTAAGTCAGCAGGGAACAACACACGCCTTAAAAGAATCAAATACATTGGAAGCAAGAGTATGGACAAATAACAGAGAGGGAGCAGTAAGTCACAAATAGCTGGCTAGACAGGTGACTGGATAAATGCGATACTCATATGCAATATCAGTCTTGCCTTTCGTCTTACTTCGCTTTGCTTTCTTATATGTCTTATTTTGTTTAGCTACGGCAACTAATTTTGCTACATCGTACCTTGCGTTGTTTCTACGTACTTCACCGCGAGATTGGAGAAATCTGACAGCATTACGGGCATTATTCTTTTCTTCAAGCAGTTAAGCACTAACGCAAAATTCCGTCATACCACCTCATATAATGATATTATTTGACAGGATATGACAACATCATCACGGGTCCATGGTAACTATTTCCGCCGACGCATTCACCGGTCATTTGCAAACCTCTCCAGCCAATAGAAGCTCTTGAATCCTCGAGATATTGGAAGAATCGCCAAAATCCACTTTGCTCCCCTGGCCAATAGCGACGCGTCGCTCCAATGTGTGGGACGCGACTTGTGAATGTGAGGAAGGATGGGGTAATCGAAGGGAAAAGGAGGATACGGTGGATGATACGTCAAATGCTCATCATCTGTTGGGGCATCTATCTGAGTCACCCGTGCTGCTTGGTGGCCATCAACATATCATTTTAGTCTACTTGGCAAATGTTCCAACATCATCTAAGTAAATATACTCTCAGCTGTAGCACTTATATAGTATAACATAAGGGGGTCTTCTATCGTTATATATCTTACAGTCCTAGTCAGAACTTATTTATTTAGCCTGATAGCCTGATAATGTAGTCTATCACCGTATAACACGGTATCCCTACTCCAGAAGTTCTTTCTTCTCACATAAAACTCTAGTAAAATAGTACTTATTTAGAGTTTAATTTACTGTCTAGGTACCCTTTGAATCTAATAAAAATAATTAATACTAGTCTTTTATGTAGTACCGCGACTGCTGGCATGTAATTTTAATCAAGATTTACGAATAAAAGATTATTATTATTAGTATCCTATTCAGAATTTTGTACAAGTTAATTATTATTATAATTATTAAATATATTTATATTCTTCCAAGTTACTGGTTCAGTCTTTCAGTTATTGATCAATATTTCTCAACGCTGTACTAATATATGTTAGAGCCCTCTTTCTTTCTTTCCTCCTTTCCTTTTCGGCGTTTTCTTCTTTTTTGATAGCTACGATAGTCTATTGAACGTTTCGGGTCTTATCCCTTACAAGAGGCTATGAACTGCATTCAAAGACAGGACTATTGCAAGGCGATATCTCTATCGGGAACCTTATTCTTAGCAATGACCACGCTGGACATTGGCCGGCCGTTCTTATCGATTTGGACCTCGCCATCCGGGAACAGAGAGAAGCGTTTTCTGTAGCAAAAGGGAAAACGGGAACAAGGGCATTTATGGCTATTGGATTGCTTTGGCGAGAAACACACATTCATGCATGGTCTGTGTGACGGCGAGTGACGTCTCAGGGTCACGTGACTTCTGTTTTGTTTGCTTTATTTGCCTGTCTCATATGGCTTGCTTATCTTTGTATAATCATATATTCTTCCTGAGCTTCTTTCTTTCTTTCCTCATACTAGAAATTCTTATTAAATAATATTAAATTTAATTATTTAAACAGCTTTTACATAATTTCTAATATTACTTTATCTTCTATTTCTTAAATTAATATTATACACTGCCAGCTACCTAGCTTGGCAGCCGGTATCACTTCTTATATATATTTAATAATACTAAACACAGCTAAGACAGAACAATCTGACTGAGACCTGAACTAAGATAATCAGCAAAAATATTTATAATAACCAGAAAAAGCTATACTAAATTAGTACTATATATTATGAATTCTTAATAATACCTGATAATTCTACTAAGAAGAAAGTCTGATAATAAGAAAAATATTATTTATAACCAGTTCTATGAACTGTATATAAAGAATCCTGATAAAATCTTTAATATAATTTTCTATATTATAGAAAAGATAAAAATAAAAATATATAAGATTATCCGCCAGCAAGACAAGCTTAATAATAACTGTAATAAATTAATATATAAATATAATTTATATATTATTTAATTTTTTTAATTTAATAACCAGAGCAGCTGAGCAGCTGAGACTTCTGAATCTAAGAAATTAATAAAAATCCCTGATCTACTTCTTTTAATAATAATAAAACTATCAGCTTTAAAAACTAGCTTTTTATAATATAGTAGAAGCTGGAAACTAATACAGATTACCTGAGTATAATTATTATCTGATGAGTTTATATAACCAGCTACTATAAAAATAATACTAAAAAATATTTAATTTCCTAATTTTATTCTGATATTCTAAATCTCTATACAGATATGATTAATATGCTTGAATATCTGAAAATTATTTATATTAATTTAAATAAATCTTACAACGCGCGCTAATAGTATTAGAAGTTTAAAATAATAATTAATAATAAGTTTTATAATTTTATATTTATATTCTACTATCTTGCCATAAAGGCAGGTATTACTAAAATTTATTAAAAAAAAAATTTCTATTAATATCTTCTGTTTAAGTTACAGAAGCTGATAATATTCTACTTTAATAATAATAATATAATATTCAAGTAATATATCAGAGAGTATATCTAATTATCAGACTTAATTAATAATATAATAAAATATTATAGTAAAATAAGTATCCCGAATCACCAGCTGTTTATATTAATTATTATTATTATTATAATTATAATCTTCTTTATTCTGGCTAAAATTTTTTATAATACTAGCCGCGCTACTAGCATAAAGCCAGAGAAATGTACTTGTATAATAACTGAAGAATACTGTTTTATTTACTAAAAATAAGAATACTTAGCCTGGGATTATTTAAAAAAGAAAATAAGTTAAATCAAGCTATTAAAAATAATGGAAAATAGTAATTTAATAAAAGATAGTATTTAAAAGAAATCTTCTTTCTAGACAAAATAAATATTAATATTAATTTATTAGATTTATAAGATCTGCTAGGCTAAGAGAATGAAAGCTTTATTATTAAAATTCTAATATTAAATAATAAACTAACAGTATCTACATGTATTCTTGCTGATACTAGAATTAATACTTATACTTATATAAATACTACCTTTACTATTCAGATAATCTACTGATTCTAAATTAATATTATTTCTTTTAAAATTAATTATATTATTACAGACTTTGATAATAAGATTATAATATTTCTAATTTATACTATCTGACTTATACTTATGGTTGATAAATACTAGTTTTATAATATACTATTTCTGATACTTAAATTAGGCCGCCATGATATTATCCTAAAATAAATATAATTTATAAAATAAGAAATCTTACTAGATTACCAGTAAGATAAGCTAATATAATCTAACTATCTTTCCCTATAAGATAAAGTCAAGGCTGGACTATTATAATAAATCTTTTAGAATATTTTATTATAATATTTAATCAATCAAAGTTACCAGTAAGATACTATTTAATAAGACTATAACTTCTAAAGAATAATTAATATCCTATTATAGATATTCTCTTCTAAAATAAAGTCTGAAGTATTCTGAATCTATCAAAATACTCTACAGGAAATCTTAACTAAAATATACTAAAATCTAGTAAATCAGAATTTTCAATATTAAATTCTTAGAGCTCTCCAGAGCCCCTAAAAAAGAAATATTTTTAAAAAAATTAAGATAACTTTTATCAGGGCCACCATCTTTTATAAATATTTTTAAAATCCTGAATTAAAAATATTTATTACATCCCTGAACATGATCAAGAAGGCTATTATAAAAAAGATAGATTCTAATAATAAAATATTTAAATTTATTAAGAAAGAAGAGATAAAGCAGACTCTTTCTAAGTATTATTATAATCTAGTAAATATCTTCTTTAAAAAAAAAATTAGATATTTTATCTGTTTTTTGACTCTATAACTATTATATTTAACTAAAAAAAAGTAATCTATTAGAAACAGCCCTCCTTTATAAGATAATCCTAGAAAAACTTAAAGCTGCCTGTGATTATATTATTAAAAATTTAAAAAAAAGATTTATTATATTTAATATAGTCCTGTTCATCTCTCTTATCCTGATAGTAAAGAAGCCCGGAGAAGAATTATATTTATATATTAATTATTAGAAGCTTAATATCTTAATCTGTAAGGATTTTTATTTTATTTTTTTAATTAATAAGATAATAAACCGCCTCCAGAATATAAAAATATTTATAAAACTTAATATCTGTTAAGGTTTCCACTATATTTATATAAATTCTAAATCTAAAGACTTAACTACTTTCTAAATCTGTTATAGAATCTTCAAGTATTAAGTATTATTATTCAGACTTATAAATAAACTGGCAGCTTTCTAGTATCTCATTAATAAGATCTTTATAGACTTTCTAGATAAGTTTATCATAATATATATAGATAATATACTGATCTTCAGTAAAAATAAGATAGAGTATAAGTTTTATATCTATCAGATTCTTAAGTACTTTCAGACAACTGGATTCCAGGCAGTAATCTATAAATATAAGTTTTATATAATAAAAACTAGATTTCTAGATTTTATTATTACTACTATAGATATTCAGATTAATTCTGTAAAAACTACTGTAATTACAGAATAATAATATCTGACTACTATTAAAAAAATCTAATTATTTTTTAGATTCTATAATTTCTATTAATATTTTATAAGAAACTATAGCTAGATTATTAAGCCCATGAATCAGCTCACCTAGAAAAATACTTTATTTATTTAAAACTAGTTTTATAAGATAGCCTTCCAGGCTTTAAAACAGGTCCTGATATTAGTTCCTGTATTAATCTACTATAATTTATCTAGATTTATATATATTAAAATTAATACAGCTAATAGAATAATTACAGAAGTTCTTTACTAGCAGGTTAAGAATATATAATATTTTATAATTTATTATTTAAAGACTATATCTTTACCTGAATATAACTATAATATTTATAATAAGAAAATATTAATTATTATATATATTCTCACAGAATAGAAAGCAGAACTGGAAAATCTATAGTAATTAAAAAAATTTATAATTCTCATAGACTACTGAGTCCTGGAATATTTTATAACTATTAAAAAACTTAATATTCAGCAGGCCTGCTGGGCAGAAATATTATTTTAATATTATTTTATTATTAAATATTAACTAGGAAAGAATAATATACTAGCTAACTATCTTATATAAAAAGAAATTAATTTAGAAGTAGCCAGTAACTACTATTACCAAATACTACTAAAGCCTGAGTTTCTAAAACCCGGTGTAGTTTTTAATCTAGTACTAATAATTTCTATAAAATAAAATCTTTATATTATAAATTATATTCTAGAAATAAATTATATCTATCTCTTCTTGGAAGACCTCCGGGAGTAAGTCTATTAATAAAAAATTAATTATTTTCTGTAAAATAAGCTGCTTTTATATTAAAATAAACTAGTAATTTTTAATAAAGATGATTTACAGATCTAGCTATTAAATAAAATTTATTAATAATTATTACTAGCTCATCCTGGGCGAATAAAGATAATAATATTAATTAAATATTAATACTTCTAGAATACTTAGAATAAAGATATTTAATACTATATAAATAACTACTTAATTTGTAAAAAAAGAAATATATATTAAGATTTACTATTTAATTTACTCTAATTCTTTCTGATCCCTGATCAGCCATGATAATATATATTTATAGACTTTTATTTCTTCCCGAAGAATTATTATAGGTTTAATATTATTTTTATCATAATAAACTGCCTTAGTAAATATATAGTATTTATTTTCTGTATAAAATAGATTTTTATATAAGATATAATCTATCTGTTTATTAACTAAGTTTATACCTGGATAAGATTTCCTGACATTATTATCTCTGATTAAAAAGATTAATTTATAACTGATTTTTAGAATAAATTATACTAAATTTTATAAATTAAGTTAAAATTTTTAACAGTATATTATCTACAGATTAACAGATAAATAAAAATTATTAACTAATATACAGCCTAGCAATTTATCCTATTTATTAATTATTTTTAGGATAACTGATTAGAACTGCTACTACTTATTAACTTTATTATTACAGTTTTGCTCTATGAATCTACCAGGTTATTTTTATTTATAATTAAAAAAAAATATAAATTCTAAATATTATTTAATTAGACTTTTTTAGTAAACCTGTTACTGTATACTATTATCTGAGATTAAATCTGAGAATTTATTTACTATATAAAGCAGATCTGGATCTTTATATAAGATAAAATTTAGAAAATATAAGACTAGTAGATATAATAAGCTAACTAATTTTACTGCCCTGTTAATTTTAATATTAATAATAAAATCTTTATTAATATTTATAACTAGAGATGGGGCCAGCCCTCGCGAAAGTTATCAGAAAACTGGTATAATTCTGTACTTATTATTAATAAGATTAGTAATATATATAAAATTTATTTTCTTAAGAATATATATATATATTCTGTTTTTTATTCTAAGAAGCTCTGCTTATATAATATATTTAATTTATTATTAAAATAAATCTAAGACACTGCCGTACCCATTAAAGTTAATAATTAGATAAAATAAAAGATTAAAAATATTCTAGCCAGTTATCTGTAATACAGTTATTTTTAATATAAAGTTAAATAACTAATATCTGATACAGCTGATTATATCTGGTATTTAATAGAAAATTTCAAGAATATCTTCTTCTATCTTTAAAATTATTATATAAAATATCTTATTTATCCCGGATCTTCCAAGTGCCTCCTGTAATAGTTAGCAGCTGTAGAGACTGATGAATTTATATTAGAGTATAAAGAAGATAACTTATTACTGGCTGAGGACAGCCAGATCTAAACAGAAAGATAATATAACAGCAAGTGATATCTCAGGATTATATAATTTCTGTTTTATTTACTTTATTTGCCTGTCTTATATAGTTTACTTATCTTTATATGATTATATATTCTCTCTGAGCTTCTTCCTTTCTTTCCTCATACTAGAAATTCTCGTTAGATAGCACCGAATTTGATTATTTAAACGGCTTCCACAGTCTGGAGTCTTTCTTCTGGATTTGTATACATGGAAGCTCTGGCGAGGAGAACCGTAAATTTGAGAGATGGGATTACCTCGATGGAGAGAAACTGGCGTATCAGATTTTGGGAATCATATCCGATGAAACCGTGTGGTGAGTGGTTGAAGGCCGAGGCTGCTTGACGCGTCGAATTTCTTGAGGGGCGATCGGGTCGATTCGATTGAGCTAGTCCACTCCCTACACTACGTTGAAACACAAGGCTGAGGAAACATGAGGCCAAACGCGGTTGGTTGATTGATGCTATCAAGGCCACACAGCCAGAGATGCGAAGGCCAACAAAGGGTTGAGGCCGTGGCCAAAGTGATCAGCACGACAAACTACCTTCGAACTAGTCTTTCGCCCAAAAGCGGGGTAAGGAAGAGCGAACGATCGGAGACTAGACAATTTCAACTGATCGGGCCTCTCCCAGAGGATTACCATTGTATTTCTGAACCTTCCAAAGCCACAGTGGACCGCAGCTTGAACCAATATTATAATTGGTCGATAAGCCGGATTGTTGGGGCGGGAATTACCTAATATGGTTAAGGTAGTGTTCACCCGGCGGCTCCAGGGAAGCACTAAAATCAGTAAGCAATGGGGGCTGAAAGGAAAGGCCCGGGCCTTTGAGCCATTAAAGTATATCGGCTGGATCTATGTCGTTGGTCTCTACTCCGATAAGGCCTACCAGGTATTCGAGGGTATTTTAGTAGATTTTAGTGATCGAGCGATCAGCAGCTGATCGAACGTTATAACTAGAAGCATCCCTTAAGTCTACCTGAGCACCCCGGGAGCACGCATTTAATCCCTGGCTAAAGGGCCAACAGGGAATATTCTACTAAAAAAGTCCAGTCTCAGTCAGGCAAATTACCACTACGTACTAATTCAGATGGGTGTATCGGCTAGTACCCTTATTGAGCAGGGGGCAGCGGAGCCCGCGACTGAAAAATTCCTAGTTATTTAACTGGCCGCCAGTGTCTACCAGAGGTCGGAGAGTATTTCTTTTACCCAGGTGGTTGCTGTTCAAGACACTGTAACACGATTCCCAGGCACCTAGTTAATTGGAAATTGTATGTTTTATTGCAGTTGGAAGATGGTGAGCGGCGATCGAAAGCTCCGCGCGGCATGCGACCGCTGCCACGAACTCAAGAACCGGTGCACTCGCACTGGTGGGCCTGACAGTCGGTGCGACCGGTGTGAGAGACTCAATATTGACTGCGTGTACAGCACCACTGGGCGCATGGGCCGTCCCCGAGTGTCTGAGAACCAGAAGGGAGTCACGTCCGACAGTCATAGTCATGCGAGACACTCTAAACGACGGGCCTTCCAGCCCGGGAAGCAGCGTGGTGCTACTGCAGTGCCGCTTCCTGTTGATCCTAATGATCCAGTTTGTACAGACGCAGCTGCAGCTGCACACAATATATCTGGCTGTGCCAGTCCTAGAAGTGGCCCTGATAGTGGTCGTGGTCCGGGTGGTCACGGCAATCTCGAACCAGTGTTCGGGCTACCTCTTCTCTTCCCCGAAGGTAAGGTACACACCACATCTGCAGACTCTGCATGCAGCAATTGAATTGAACAGCTAACTAGTGTGATTAGTGATACCCGGCGACAATCTGAACTGGAACCTAGGCATGTATTCCCCGGACTTTGCGCACCCGGCTCATGACGATTCCAACGGGCGAGCACAGAAACGGACATGCACACCAAGAACATCATCAAGCCCAGAACCCGCAAAATCAATCCAAGGCGGTTTCCGATTTCTCTGACTCCGGCCTGGGGACGTCAGAACAAGGGACAGCCTCTACTGCTAGGATCACCAGTGCAGACGAGCTCCTACGGCTGCAGTCTCACCTGAGCAATCTGTTAACATGCGCGAGCGAATCACCCATAGGGCAAAAGCCGGCTCTTGACAAAGTCCTGATGGCCTGCAAAGAACTGCTAGAGCTGCTCCCCGTCCCAGACTATCGCCCTGGCTCAGACTACAGTACTGCAAGTAATAGTGGGACTGAGACCGAAGTCTCATTCGCCATAGCCAGCGTCAATGCTGGACATCCCGATTGCTGTCACGGCTTCGGTGAGCCGACTCAAATAGGAGGAGGGCCGTTCGACCCACCGAGGATAAACTACATCACCGTATTACAAGTCGCGACATTGTACGCATACGCCCTGCAGCTGCTGGACATTGCCGTGGATAATCTCAAGACCCGCGCTGGGAATCTGGCGCCCATTAGCCTGGGTACTTTCAACCTTGCATCTCAGCCAGCCATGAGTACCTCTGTGGGTGCTTACATGATTTCTAGCATGGTTCATCAACTGCGTGATGCTATTAGTCTGTTGATGCCTGGATATCAGCATCAGAAGGGTTCTCCACCTCCGCATATATTATCACCACGAAGTGGCTTGGGGGCAGTGGCTGCGGCTGCGAACAATTCGATACAAGCTGCGGTGAATATGGTTTCTGAGAAGGAAGCATCTTTACTTGAGAAATCGGCACAGGTTATGACCAATCCGTAGTTACGAATTGCTGTTGGAACATGTTTTATGATATTGTATGTGCTACTTTATACTCCAATACAAAGAATCACTTGACAGGCTTCTCTATTTGCCGTTATATCGCAGTGTGAACAGGTACCATTTTAAACAGGAGGTCTAGGCTCTTGTCACGTATTCTTTGTACGACAATTGTTACGAATTTATTGTCTTCCGATCTGTGAAGAAACCAACAACTATTCCGCTAAATCAGTAAACTGACATCCTTCATCAGTAGAAGTCGCCGGTCCGGTAAATGCCCTGTCCCAGCGAGACCGGAGGTTAAGTAATACAGCACACACACGGCGTCTTATCAATGACTACGCTTCTTGTATTATGAAAACACTATATCACGCAACCGGCTTGGCGTGCGGGGATACTAGTTGGAGCTATTCAGCTCCCGAGCCTTTAAATGAGCAACCTGAGGGCTATAGAATGATATAGCTAGGGATGCAATAGGCTCTGTATATCTTAACTTTTTATTTCCTGAAATATTAATATTTGGCAGTACTATAGATAAGCGTATCCAAAGACTTTAAAAGATTGAAGGTAGAGGATCAGATCTATAGTCTTGACCAAAAAAAATAGGACTGGTTGCCCATGCGGACGATGGCATGTTTCTGCGTAATTCTTGCAACGCACTGTATCTGCCACCGACAGCCGATAATAACAAACTTGAGCTTTTTGATGATTGCTTATAGCACCTTAAACCAGCTACTCCTCCCGGGACCCCACTCCCCTATGAAGAAAATCTAACTGACTGACAGGTTTCTTTTCTATTGCATTTCGCTTCGCTGCGCCGACTTCCACACCTCCAAGACCGCCGCCGCGACCCGCTCCACATCCCCAAGCGCTGTAGGAACCTGATGCGCCCCGGCAAACTCTACTACTACCGCCCGCTCAGCCTTATAGCAAGTGCGCAAGAGTCGCTTGCTGTCGGCGAGCCAAGGGTCCCGCAGGCCCTGCACGTGGACGGAAGGGATTGCGATGCAATCCTTGGGGCTATCGACCTCCTCGGTCAACTCGGAGGTAGAAGAGGAGGCGGAAGGGGAGGAGGGGGAGGGGGAAATGGGAGAGTCTGCGCTGCAGCCCGCGGGGCACCCATCACCACCGTCATCACCACCAGCATCAGCATAATCCGTAAGCATCAAAGCCGGACACGTCCCCGCGATGAGAACAGCAAATTGCACCGAGGCTCCCAGCTCGGCATCTAGACACACCCCCGTCGCGACCCGCGTCCCCTGACTGAATCCCAGCACGCCGACGACCCTCCCCCTTCCTCCTGCTGCTGCTACTCCCGGCCCGCTTTCGCTTTTCGGCGTATACCCCAGCCTCTCCCCTTCCTGCCCCTTCTCCTGCTCCTCCCGCTGTGGCGGGGGAGGCCTCAGCGCATCCCGCACCAACCGCCGCACGACGCGGCGCTCCCGGACGACCTCCGCGCCGGCGAGATCGAACTGGTCAACGGCGCTGCCGTCGCAGTGCCACCGACGGAAAGGCGCTAGGTCCTGAAACACGGGGCCGACGCCGGGACCCGGGCACGCCGCTTCGAAGGGGGCGTCCAGGAACTCGAAGTGGAAGTGGGGAGCGAGGGAGCGCACGATCCCGCGCGCCTGCAACCGGAAGATGAGGCCGTTGGTGCCCGCGCCGTGGAAGCAGAGGATGGTCGGGCGTGGGGCAGGGGTTGGCTGTTGCTGGCTACCGGCTCTCGTGGTAGTGGTGGTGGCTGATTGGGATGACATCGTATTACAAGTAAATGCAATGCTGGATGTCATAAAAGTTCGTTGAACTGGTGAAATTCTTGTGTGAATATTTAAGCATTGGCGCAATTGATCAGAAGAAAGTGAAGAGAAGAGAAAAGTGGAGTTCAATCCCGGTGCAGGTGCTCAGTCGGAAGGAAATTTGCATACTTCAATGGAACCGGCCTGGGAGAGCCGGCGACTTTTAGGAAGGTAAGGCAAGAAGAGGCCGGCGGCGACCATCTCCGAACTGCAAGACAGCTTGGGGACTACTCCAACAGTCTTAGCCTTTTTGCCCTCTGTGAATATTGCCCGCAATTCCGCTCCTTTGCCCTTTCATCTTGGGAAAGGGATCAAAACGGGCAAAGCAGGTGGACAACATGGGCCCTGAAAGGGTAGAACTGTCAATAATTGTTTTATTCCAACACCACTTGTATTAACGCACTAGACCTCAACGATAAAAGACGCTTACAGCGTGCAGCAGCGCAACGGAAAACATTGATTCATATATTACAGTACATGTGATAAGCTCAGAGCCAGCCAAGGCTGGACTTCGAAACTTCCTTCCCCCCGGGTCAGCATCTCTCATCCGGAGCTCTTCAGCCCATCATGATCCGAGCAATCCGAGTCTTGCACAGTGGTAGGCGGGCTTTGCATCGAAACCAGATCATACGAGGCAGACAGGGATAAATCAGCTAGCGGGGACTCACGGCCACCCCGCTCCGGGAAGTTCGGACCCGAAGCGTCTGAAACCGTAGCAGTAGCGTTAGCTAGCAGGTCCCCTGGAAGCTTCCCTAGGATATCCGTCACCAGGTCCAGGATCGAAGCGCCGCCCAGGATCTTGAGTACGGGCAAGTCCACCGACAGCTCCTTGGCGGCCCAGGTGCGGACTTCGACGGCGACCAGAGAGTCGATGCCGAGGTCGACCAGAGGTGTCTCCGGAGATAATGGGTCAGTCGCCGACAGAAAGAGCGAAGCCCGCAGTTTACTTCCCAAGGCAACTTAAAACAAAGGGAAAATAAAAGTTAGAAATGAGCAGTGATTCTTTCCTTCTTTTTAAGGTAGACCGGAAGACGAAGGTAGGGGGGGTGCATCATCACTTACCTTGGATAAGGGTCGACACCTCCTGCGGCGAGGTAGCATCCTGCAGCTGAATCCAGACGGGAACCTGGGCAATGGAGCGCCCATTCTCGCCGAGCGTGGAGACAGTTGAGGAGGTGGTTTGGTCGCGCACCAAGAGTCCAAACTTAGGGTTGGCGGCCCAGAAGGCGGTTTCCGCCTGCGCCATCCCAATGGGCGCCAGGCCCGTGATGAGCTCCGAGCCGGGCGCCGTCCCCGGTAGGCCGGCAACCACCGCCTCTGCGAACAGCTGATGCAAATCCGGCTCGGACATGGGGATGGTGCCGGTGCGGTTCATGAGCCGCTCCGTTTGCTCCTTGGTCAGTCGTCCTTCGCTCTTGGTCTCACGTTCCACGTAGCCGACCCCGATGACCCGGGAGATATCGATGACCGACCCGGCGAGGCCGCGGCGGCGCCGGTTGTTCACCAGCGCCTTCATGAAACAGTTGGCCGCCGAGTAGGCCGCCTGGCCCATGTTGCCGGTCGTCCCGACGATCGACGAGAAGGCGATGAACCAGTCCAGCGCATGGTCCGCGAACGCGCTGTCGAGATTCACGGTGCCGTCCACCTTGGGTTTCAGGACCGTGTGGAGGTCATCGAAGGACATCGTCGCCACGGGAGTGTCGCGAAGCACAAGGGCACCATTAGCAACGCCGGCAATCCGGGGCATCTTGCTTTCGATCGCGCTGAGTGTCGATTGAACTGACGCATACCGGGTCAGGTCACTGGACAAAAACGATCACTCTGTCAGTAAGATTTCGGATAGGATGTAGTTGGGCAGTTCACGTACCATGTAAAGTACTCGATGTGCGCTCCACGGGCTTGACACAACTTCTGCCATTCAGGGCAGACTATCGGGTTGCGGCTACTGAGAGCGATGTGCCTCGCACCGCGTTGGATCATGAAATCAGCCAGGGACTGCCCCATGTCTCCCGCCAGGCCCGCCAACCAGTAGGTCCTATCACCCTGGAAGAGGTCATTCCTCACGGTGATTGGCTCCACTAAGACCGAAACGGACTGATGTGGGTCCCATTGAATCAACACTAGGCTTGACTCTGAGGGCTGCTTTGTCACGGCTTCTCCAACAGTGAGAGTGTCGAGTGGCGCACCGTCTGGAACTCCATTCAGTTGGGACTGTTCAAACGCCGAGACTCGTTCAAGAAGCAGCCCAACGCTCTCAGGGACAGGAATTGACATTGGTGATGCCGTGCTGCGGACAAGATTAGAAAAGCCAAGTTTCTGGCCGGCCTGAGGTCGCAATGAGGCAATTCTGGTCCCAAGTCCATACTTGGACGCAGCAGTGGAAGATAGATCGATAATCAACGCAACGTCGCGCGGAATAAGTGCATCAATAATGCGCGCAGGAGTTCTTTCGTGTACATAGATCCAGTTTCTTCTCTTCGCATTACTTGGCTTGCATGTTGTGAACACAATCGACTGACCCTCGACAACCGTTCGACCAGACAGCAAAGACGCAAGGCCAGGGTCGGGCTCGTGAATGAGCAGTGTACCCGCAGCGGGCCTCAATCTCAGGATATGCTGGCGAACAAGATCAGCAACCACAAACGACATGAATTGCGCGTCGATAAGGTCGTTGTTGTCTACGGTGACCAGCATTGACTGCGGCACAGTGACAATGGAGGAATTATCGGTGGACAAGCACAGAACCTTCTCGCATGTACCCTGGCAGATTCCAAGGCACAGGAAGTAATAGCCATCATTGGCTTTGATTGCAGAGAGAAGCGAATACTCGACCTGAACCGTACGGTAGTCTTTGTGAGGCTCGGGAGCATCGTGCTTCTCCCGAAGCACGTAGGCGCCCCCATCATATTCAAGCCGGAGATCATTGGTTCCCAGGGTAGTTTCTCTCATAATCGGTCGACGGAACGAATTGTATCGGTCATTCTGCTCGGCCTGAGGTTGCACACGAACCATGTGCAGCCTGTTCTTGGCAAGGATCAATTCTGGCTCTGGAGTCCAAAGGATCGCCTCCTGCTTCTCCTTCGGCATTGCGGAATGGAACTGCATCTGGAGCAGGAGCCGTGCGATGACTGCTGAAGTCCCTTCATCTGACACATCGTCAACGTCCAAAGATTGAATCTTGGTTTCTGGTATTTCGTATACGAGAGAGCGCAGCAGACCAAGGGCAATTCCGGCGTAAGGCCTCTCCAGGCGACTGCCAGTGGTCACCCACAATAGGCCAGATAGAGACAAAACCAGGGTCTTGAAGCTCTGCCAAAGTGGTTCATCCAGCCTTTCAAAAAGCAAGCCATCACAGTCCAGGAGGCTCAATGCGAAGGCCCTTGGTGGTATAGTCGGAAGGTGTTTCAAATCCCGGATTGTAATAACATGTTTGAAAAATGGCTCTAGAAGCGGCACCAAGACCTGAACAAGGCGGGAGGTGCTGTCGCGCGAGCCGCCCAAAATCACCAGGTCGCTCGACGCAGCGGAAGTCCGTGGAAAATGCTGGGGTTCTCGAAGTTTGCTCAGAGTGGCGTCGACCGCCTGCGTCACGAACACCGATCCAGGCATCTGGACCTTGTCGGGCATAGGGGTGTAAGTCTCGATGCCAGAGAACTCCGTGGTCCGGAAGAGCGAGTCCCACTGCTCGAGCGTGACCGTCGGCGCATAGCGTCGGCCATCGTCTTTGCCCACCCACCATCCGGGCAGTCCACCCATCACCAATCCAATGCGGAAAACATCGTTCCCGACGATTTCCATGAGAACCAAGAACCCGCCGGGCCGGAGGAGCTTTCGAACATTGTGGAGGGTGTGCTCCAAGCAGGCAGTAGCGTGAAGAACGTTGGCAGCCAGCACCAGATCGTAAGAGTGTTCTTCGAATCCCTGAGTTGTCGGGTCGCGCTCTATGTCCAGGACCTTGTAGTTTAGGCGGCTGCTGAACCTCTGAAACCTGCTCTGCGCCTTTTCGAAGAAGCCACTCGAGATGTCGGTATACGTATATGATGCAAACGCGTCGCCCACCTTTTCTAGGATCGCTTGTGTGGCACCGCCCGTGCCAGCACCAATCTCGCAAATCTTCATGTGAGGGAACTTGCATGTCAGCTGGAGTATTGTTCCGGAGATCAACTCGTTCAGCCAGTCAAATCCGATAGCATGCGTATAGTAATTGTCCAAATAATTGTTCTGCGTCATGTACTCGAGAATGTTGGTCTCGCCTGTAAGCACGGATGGGCGCGGAAGGTTCTCTCCGACAGCCCTCGTGAGATTGAAGTCAGGGTCTTGCTCGCCGTATCTGAATGCTTATCAGTTTGAATGAATCTAGTCTCAACCTTGACGTGGCATACCCTCTTATTATCGCCTGGATATCGTCTTCACTATCATTCAACCATGACTGTGGAGCATAAGGATGAGCGCCGTCGCGAACAAGACCAACGACCCTCGAGGCATTGTCGAGGAGGGACTGGCGGTACCAAGGCAAATCCAGGCGCAGGTCCAGATCGACAGCCTGATGAAGGCTCTTCAGATAGTAGAACGCTACGCGTTCAGCGTCCAACGCCTTTTGTCGCTCCGGTGCGCTTGGCTGCCTATCCCCCAAAACCAACCCGCCGTCGGGTTGGTCGACGTATTCGACACATTGTTGGAAAAGACAGCGATCGTTCTGCTCACTGGCCGCTGCGAAGGGGGAGAAACTCAGTCCTTCAAACTCGATGATCTTGCTGTCAAAATCGGCAGAATAGACATCCACATCCCCCGTGATGAAATCATCCCGAGGATCAGTCACCGTGCAATCAAATGCCACCTCCGAAGTCATGTGCGGTCCGCACCGTGATGGATTGAGCGTGATCCGTCGACATGCAGTTGGCGCGCGCATTGACCATAAGCGCCCGTCACCCGGGGCACTATACGCAGCAAAGAGGCCTTGAAGAGCATTATCCAGCATTCCGGGATGGAAGAGAAGCTGGGTCTCATCGGGGCCCGTGCATGGGTTGGTAATCGCACCGCTTGAATGCCCTAGGCGACGTGCCAGCTTCGTCAACCCCCGGAATGGACCATCATACATGTATCCTAGGTCATTCCGCATGGCCGAGTAGAAACGGTCGATATCCAGGGCCGACAAAGGTGCTTTGGGCGGAGTTCGTGGCGGGAAAAGATCAGTTTGCGGGCTGCCGAGAATGATACGGACGTCGCCCGAGGTGTTCAACGTCATCGAGGCCGAGTCCTTGTTGCTCGCGGAGTATGTGTTGTATCTGGCCTCAATAACGTCGTCCTCTCCTTCTGGTGCCCTGGAAATGTTGGTCAGGGTCACTACGAGGTCCGTCCCGAGGTGATCGTTGATCGCAATCGCCTTTCGGATCTTCAGATCACGGAGCTCAATCAGCTGGACCTGGCGGTCCTGCGCAATCTGCAAGGCAGCCTCCATGGCAAGAGCAATATACCCAGTTCCAGGGAAGACTGTTTGCCCTTGCAGAGCATGGCAAGAAAGCCATGGTAGCTCCTGGGTTTTGAGCACGTTCCGCCACCTCCATTCATTCTCGGTGCTGTCTTCGGTGCGGACACCCAGCAGGTCGTGAAAGCCACCAGGTAGGGTACGGAAGAGCTTGGTCGAGCGCGATTCGGCCCAGAGCAAACGATCATGGCTCCATGCGTACTGAGGTAGGTCTTCCAGGTTCTGGAAACTGTCCGGCTGGTAGATTTCCTGCTCTAATCCTGCCAGGTCCACTGCATGATCACCAAATGCTGTCCACAAGGATGCAAGGATAGTTTGATATGCGATTATGTCATCCATACCGCGTCGCAATGTACCTGTATAAGGCACGTCTTTCCCGGTTGTTTGCCGGATTGTTTCTCTGACTGGTCCCATCAAGGCGGGATGAGGGCCAACCTCGACAATGTAGTCCAGAGACTTCTGAGAAAAGCCCTCCACACATTTTTCGACGGCGGTCGCAAATTGAACAGTATTTCGCATGTTCTCAACCCAATACTTATCCTCTAGTTTATCATGGATATTGACCACGTGGCCTGCATGCACACTGGAGTACCACTGTGGAGCATCCGCATTGGGGGCATAGATCTGTATTTGTTGATCCTGCAAAGCAGCAAGGTAGGCCTCCTTGACCGAGCTCAAATGGTGTGAGTGATATGCAGTGTCAACCTTCAAGATTCGAGTAAATTTTCCTTCCTCGTCGAAAACCTTTTTAGCATGATGAATGGCCTCCTCGTCGCCCGAAAGTGTCACACTATCCGGCGAATTATGAGCGGCAATACAAATCCGCCCTCGAAAGTCGTCTAGATCGCAGAGATCCTTTGCGTCAGCGATTGAAGTCCCAACTGCCATCATCCTGCCGTTTTCTCCGTTAGGTCCACAAGCCGACTTTGCAAAATGACCCCGGAGGTAAGCTATGCGGATGGCGTCGTCCGCAGAGATGAAGCCCGCGGCATACGCAGCGGTAATCTCGCCTGACGAGTGACCGACAACCGCACTGAACCTAATCCCAGCAGCGGAAAGCAGGTCCACAAGTAAGACCTGCACTGCCGTGCAGAGCGGTTGCGATATCTCTGCTTGTTGGACGCGGGAGCTCCCATCCACCAAGAGCTCCCTGACCAAGCTCCACCGTGGCATGTATTCTTCCGGCAAAGCACCGAGTGATCTGTCCAATCTCTCTACCAATGCCATAGCCCTTGGCACGCGGTTGATAAGTTGCTTTCCCATCGCGGCCCACTGTGCGCCCTGTCCAGTGAAGACACCAAGGATAGAAGGTTTGCGAGCGGAGGAGTACGATCCAAGAGAGCTATCATTTCCCTCTGCAGCCTGCTGCAGTACTGAACTGATCCCCTCCCGCAGCTGATTTTGAGTTGTCGCTGCTAATGCAACTCTGACTCCCAGAGATGACCTTTTCGTGATCAAGGTGTGAGCAAGGTTCTTCAGATCGACCTCCGCGTTCCGCTCGAGATAAGACAGATACGATCTCAAAAGGGCTAGAAGAGAGCCCTTGGACGCAGCAGAGAAAGCGTGTGGAATGACGGAAACGGCTGGTTGGTCATGCGTAGTTGGTGCTCTGTCAAGACATTTAGGGCGTATCTCTTCATAGTTCTCGAGGATAGCATGTGCATTCGTCCCACCAAACCCGAAGCTGTTCACACTGGCTCTCCGGGGATGCGTATCCGGCAGAGCGGGCCAGGCTTGAGGCCTCGTCGGGATACGCAGATTCGCCACAAAGGGCTCCAATGCGGGGTTGAGGCGACTGAAGAGCATGTTCGGTGGCACAACGCCGTGCTTCAGGGCCAAGCACACTTTGATGAGCCCCGCAAGGCCAGCCGTCCCCTCCGTGTGGCCGATCACCGTCTTCACCGAGCCGACCAGCATGGCAGACTGCGGATTGTCGCTCTCCACCCTCTCTGCCCCCGAGTAAAAGGCTTGGCTCAGGGCCTCAGCCTCCTGGGGGTCACCGGCGGGTGTGCCCGTGCCGTGGGCTTCGAAATACTGACAGCGATCTTGTGGCTTAGTTGGATCCAGGCCGGCGCGGGCATACGTGTCTCTGATGAGCGCGGCCTGCGCGACGGCGCTGGGCATCGTGATCCCTTTGGTGCGGCCATCCTGATTGACGCCCGTCTCGCGGATCACACCCTCGATCCGGTCCCCGTCCTGGATTGCGGCGCTGAGAGACTTGAGCATGACTGCGGCAACACCTTCTCCACGGGCATACCCATCCGCATCCGCGTCCCACATGCGCGAACGGCCTGTCGGGGACAGCATGTTGAGTTTACTTTCCGAAACGTAGGGCAGAGGCGATAACAGGAGATTGGTCCCCGCAGCGAAGGCAACCCGAGAACGCTTGGAGCGCAACGTCTGGACCGCTTCGTGAAGAGCGACGAGACTCGAGGAACACGCAGTATCAATCGTCATAGATGGCCCGTGCCAGTCAAAAAAGTAGGAGATCCGGCTAGAGGCGTTGCTGTTGGCTACCCCTGTCGCGTTATATGTCGGAATCGTGTTCAAGTCATGGGCTTGTAGAACATAGTAATCGCTGCACATCAGGCCGACATATACTGCGGTGTCGGAATCGGTAAGCTTGGCGATTGACGTTCCGGAAGACTCCAAGGCTTCATATACAACCTCCAGTAGCAGACGATGCTGGGGGTCCATCGCTTCGGCTTCGGCTGGGGCGATACCAAAGAATTGGGTATCAAAATGGCGGATGTCCTCAGAGAGAAAGTAGGACCGTCGAACATTGGTAGTTCCGTGATGTTTCCCATCCGCATGATAGAACCTCTGCGAGTTGAAGCGATCGCCCGGAATCTCCTGCGAGACATCTCGCGGATCGTGCAGAAGATCCCAAAATTTGGACGGCGAGCTTGACTCGCCAGGGAAGCGGCACCCCATGCCCACAATGGCGATGGGCTCAGGATGAGGCACAGATGTCATATTGAATGGAACTAGCTGTTTTTCTTTTGCCTGTAGCAGGATGGTGGCACTTTCCTGCTCCCTAAGGACCACAGTGTGACTGAGCATATATACTGCAGTGATGTTACAGTAAGAAATTAGTAGAATGGTTCTAGCAATCGAGACAAATACGCCGGGTCCGGTCCGGCAGACTATCATTCTAAAACCTCCGTCCGGGGCGGCGACTTTGCGAATAAGCAGCATATCGAGCATTGCTTGTTTCAATATTACATACCCAGACCGTAAATTCCTTTGTTGGCTTATTTGCAAAGTATAGCTACACCTAGTAAGTATATATGTACGCTACTTTCATCTTCATCTGCCACCGGCCCACAGACCCCCTACTCACAGGAAACGGTATAAACCAGCTTCTTACCGGAGACCTTTTTTGAACGTAGGAGCTCCAGTCCCGCCAAAACTCCCTCGAAGCCCCCTTCCATGCGCTGAATGGGATGCGTCTTCAAGAGGCCCTCATCCAAGAGCTTCTGGGCAATCGTAAACCATTCAAGTGCGAACCTTCGCGTTTCCGAACATCCCTCCCGGGCAAAGGGCGCTGCCCACCCGATAGGCTTTCCCAGCAGCGTCGGCCCCAGCACCCAATCCGGCTGGACCGTGGGGCGTGTATGCAGAGATGCCGGGTAGGGTTCCAGCCCAGTATACTTGCCGCCCGACCGGCCCAGGCACTTGTAGCAGAACGCCATAGTCTCGGGCTCGGAGATGCAGTCCAAGACATACTTGAGCCCGTTCTTGGTCGACGCCCGGATATCTGTGACACAGTGAGGCGCCTTGTAATCGAACACCGCGTCAGCCCCGTACGACCGAACCAGATTGAAGTTCCGCGGCGAGCACGTCGCGATGGGCCGATACCCGGATCTAGTAGTAAACAATTGCCCATGAGCGTAGAAGTATAGGTAGGGAGGGGGGTTTGGTCTCACAGTTTCAAGATTTGGATGGCCATCGTCCCCGTGGCTGTACTCCCACCATACACCAACACGGTCATGGGAGTCTGGACCGGATGCAGTGGACTGCCGGGAAGGGCGAGCGACGTGAAGAGGGCCAGCCCGATGGTCCCGATGGCAGTGCCCATCGAGGCGCCAGCTTCGAAAGACATGTCAGGGGGGATTTTGAGGGTCACGACATCACTGGCGCCTACATATTGCGCGAAGGCGCCCACCGTAGGGGTCAAGGAGTGCATACCCATCACCGCCCCACAGACGCGGTCCCCAACTTGGAGGTCGGCCGCAGTCGTCACTTTGCTCCCTAGAGCCACAATCGTGCCGGCAAAGTCCATGCCGGCGATGGCATTAACAGTGAACAGCTTTCCCACAAGCTTGGTGTCGATCGGATTCAATCCCACTGCTTCGTTCCGCACAAGGATCATATCGTCCTCCAATTCTGGGACCTTGGTCTCATGGCTGATTCCGAGAAACCCGGAGGGCATGCCGACGATCGCGGTTTGCGTCGGGGGCATTCTGAAGTCGGTCATATTCGTGGGCGATGGTATGAAAAGGTTATTCCACTGTAGGAGTGGGAATCAAGCTATCCCCTGTTCTGGAAATTTGGCTTTTTGCTTTTTTTTTAAAGTATTGTACCTCTGATCATCAGAGGCCGTACGGGGACCGGCTACTTATAGAACAAAACAGCCCTATTGCCGCCGGCTCCGGGGACTTTATACTTTACTTTCGCCTCTGCCAAACGTATTAAACCACAGAGTTGGAGAAAGTGTCTGCAAAGAGGGGGATGGACCATATTCAACCCAATCATCATGTTCTCTTTTCTTACCTGCTGGCTGGGTCTTACTCTAGGAGCGCTCATTTACCTAGGATATGGCTTTCTTTACAAGCTTGACGTTGCCTTCCAGCCTGGGAAGGCCATGGTCTTCCTTGTACTTCTGGCTGCAGGGCGGGTCACCTACGCCCTAGTGTTGTACCCCAAGTACTTCACACCGTTCAAGCATCTGCCAACACCGCCTGTAAGACCACCCGTTCAGCTCGCGGATTCGAATTGATGATGGAAATATCATTGACATATTCCACCCTCTCAAGCGCCGCTGGCTTCTTACCGGCAATCAGACCTCCCTTTTTAGGGAGTTCCCGTGGGACGTCGCACGTCGATGGTCAGAAACTATCCCCAACAATGGTCTCATCCGGTACTACGTCGCGCTCTCCAACGAAAGGTTGCTTGTCACCAGCCCCAAGGGTCTCAGTGAAGTGCTAGTCCACGGTGCGTATGACTACACCAAGACCAATCTCGCGCGATTTGCCATCCAACGGTTCACGGGTAACGGTCTGGGCTTTCTGGACGGGGAAGAGCATCGGGTGAGTCGTATCCGTCCATCTTCCCTTGGGTAACCATCTCGTTTGACGTACTTCCGCTCCCCGCAGATGCAGAAGAAAGGCCTGTTGCCCGCTTTTGCCACCGGCCACGTCAAACGCCTGATTCCCAAATTCTGGGCGAAAGCCGCTCTGATGGTTTCGTTGATCGAGCGGTCCCTAGAGGACGACAGCAGCAAGGACCAACGACAGAAGTCTGACAGTCCGGTCGTTCAGCTCCACCACTGGGGCACGCGCGCAACCCTCGACATTATCGGCGTGGTGGGAATGGGCTATGATTTCGACACGCTCACCCATCCGCACAACGAGCTCAGCGAGCAGTACCGGAAGATGTTTCTGGAGCCATCCAATGCCTTCAATTGGCTGGAGCTGTTGGGCAACTACATCGACTTCCGCATCCTGCTGACCTTGCCCGTGAGGAAGAATCGCGAGCTCACGCAGGGTTCCCAGTATATCCGCCAAGTGGCTGAGAGGGTGATTCACCACAAGGTCCAAAAGCGGCAGCGACAGTCCGAGGAAAGTCCCCCGGACGATGACATCGTAGCCATAGCCCTGGCCAGTGGAACCTTCACCGAGCAACAACTCGTGGACCACGTGATGACCTTCCTGGTCGCCGGCCACGAATCGACCGCCACAGCCTTTGAATGGGCCATGTACGAGCTTGGTCGACGGCCCGCTATGCAGTCACGACTGCGGGAGGAAATCCGCACCCACATATCTTCCATGCAAGTAGAAGGAAGAGGAACAACTACCGCGGCTGGCACCCACCTAGCGACCACCATCGAATCACTACCCTATCTCAACGCCGTGTGCAGCGAGGTCCTGAGATTTTACCCATTCGTCCCCTTCGCTACACGGGTGGCCAGTCGCGACAATATCATCCAGGGCACGTTCGTCCCCAAGGGCACTGTCGTGGCTTTCGCCGCCCACGCCACGAACCACGATGCAGCCCTGTGGGGCCTCGATGCGGACCGCTTCGACCCGGAGCGGTGGATGCGGCCCCAGCAAGGGAAATCCGGCGGCGCGACGAGCAACTTCGCCTCTTTGACATTTTCCGCGGGGCCGAAGAGCTGCATCGGCCAGGGGTGGACGCGGGCGGAGCTAGCATGCCTGGTGGGTGCGACGGTGGGTCGATTCGAGATCTCGCTGCTTGACCCAATGGACAACCATCTGAAGAGAGGGAAAACCATGAAGCTGCGGAATGGTGTGCGTGCGCGGGTTAAGGTAGTGGACGGATGGTAATTTTCGCCTGATCGGTCAATGATAGTCAATGGGGCTTTGCTCAAGAAACAATACCCGTACTCTCTGAGTAGGATCGTAAATTTGAATTTGTCAGGATCCTCTTAAGCTTTGCGTGTATAGTTCCAACGACCCTCCGGTGAAAATATCAATCACACCCGATTAAGAGCTCAGAACTCGGCCATTCCAAGCGTTAACGGCCTTTAAGCTGACCGACGGGTGATGGAGGCAATCCGTCAATGTCAACCGGAAGAGATAGCCAGATACAGTCCCCGCTCATTTCCTGACTGAGGCCGTACAAACAATATCGGTAAGGGCGCTTTCTGACCAAATTGCTAGCACCTAAACACCCTAGAAAGGAGATTTAGCCGGCGAGATTCGAACCCCCTGCAAGCATGCCGGCCGACCCCCAAAGTCGCCGGTTCTCTATTAGCCGGTCATTGAAAGAAGGGCTGATTGATCGCTCTAGCATAACAGGCCGAGCTGGACTAAACTACCTACCCATTAGTTACCTACAACTCACCCCTCGAATCTTCGGAGAGCTTTGAAAGTTCCTCAACTAACTTGTTGGAACCGTGTTTTCTGCCATTCAATTTTTTTTTTTTTTTTTTTTTTTTTTTCCGCAGCGTAATTGGCCACCACAACTATGCGAATCTTCACAATCGCAACGAGTGTTCTCGCAGCCATCAAATCCGCCTGGACCCGGGGGAGTCCATTCGCGGCGGCCACGGCTCTCTTCCCCACCAACGACGAAGGGAAATATGTCATTCAGGCCGAAGGCATCCGTCTGGCATTTACCAACCATGGAGGGGCGTTAACCAACTTGTGGATTAATGATACCCACGGTCAGGAGATTGATATTGTCATGGGCTTTGACCAGGCAGATTATTACCCAAGATATGAAGGCAACCCATTCTTGAACGGGGCCATAGGTAAAGTACAACTTTCGCTCGCTGAGGGCCCTCTTCACATATATCCTTCTAATGTGAGATTATATCTGTCTCCTGTGTAGGTCGATACGCGGGCATCATCAGCAACGCTCAGTTTGAATTGGGAGGCGTCAATCATCAGGTCTCCGCCAACGCCCACACGAGTAAGGGTAATGTCCCCATGACCTGGAACGGCGGGGAGCACAGCTGGGGGCGGACAACGCTGGACATCGGGTCCCACACGGAGAACAGCATTACCTTCGTCCTGTTCGACCGCAGCTGGAACGGGTTCCCGGGGACGGCGGCTTCGTGTCTCACGCACACGGTAACGCCGTACGAGTGGCGCATCGCCTTTGGGGTGACGCCGACCCGCAAGCCGTCCCCGATCAATATGAGCCAGCAAGTATTCTGGAACCTGGATGGCCTTTCCGGGAACTCCTCTTCATCGTCGGCCCAAACAATCTTAGAACATGAACTGCACCTGCCATTCTCGGGGCTGCGGATCGGGACGGATGACGAGGGGATCCCGACGGGAGATCTCAAAGCCAACAAGAAAGGTTCGCCGTATGACTTTTGGTCAGCACCGAAGACGGTGGGGCATTATGGCATAGGGAAGCCCGGTAGTCGTGGCTACGATGATACCTTCCTCATCTCCCGATTTCAGCCGTGGAAAAAGGAAGATCATCCCGTGGCGTCACTTTCATCAGCACGTTCGGGGATCAAGGTCGAACTTTATACGGACCAGGAAGCCTTGCATGTCCACACCTGGAATAATAAACCAGGTGTGTTTCTCTATTGCCCCCCTATAAATGCCCTTGAGCTTAGTAGTAGTAACTGATATATTTCTATTGTCACACAGATCAAGTACCACTCAAACGAAAGCAAGGTACTGGTATAGTGCCGGAGTATGGAGCGATCTCACTGGAAATGCAAGACTGGACTGACGGAATCAATAATCCCCAGTGGCAACGAGAGTCAAAGACAGTCTGGGGGATGGACGGCCTTTATACTACATTTTCGACATATAAGTTCAATGTTGACGGAGCAGCACGGTAAACTGAAGTTTCATTTCATCCAAGAATTATAGCAGCGCAGAGCTTTGAAGCTTCTATCACCTGGCGCAATTTTCACATGTCAAGCCAGTGTCCCAGGAAAAGAGAATTGATGGCGTTATCGCATCGATGAAGGCTACTGAATGTACACCGGTCAGCGATGGGGAAGTGAGACCGGAAAGGTTCCGTTTCGCAGGCGCGGTGATAGGTTGCGAATCTAGTTAAGGTTTACCATAGTTTAATAAGATTGAAGCAAACATAATTCAGCCAGCGTAATCCGGTGGACAGGGGTATGAAAGTCACATTGCTTTCAATGCATGTAGGCTAGATCTACAGTGAACTGCTGCTCCATCGGTAGCCCTATCCAGGTCAAATCTTGCAACATGTGTTGCCATACGGTAGCATCCCAATCTTCAACTACCGCTGCAGACTCTGTGGCTCGAGGGGAATCTTCGGGTATTGGTTGTGGTAGCATATGAGGGTTCTCAGCGTCCTGGGTGTTTGGTGTATCTCCTTGAACTTGTGTTGATTGGGGCTGTATCCGACTGCTCTCTAACCATGAGAGCATGGATCCAATCACTGCACGGCAATTATCCCAAACATCGTTTCTTCGTGACATTGCCTCCATTTTCTGCATAGCAGCAAGGCCGAGGTTGTGGATATCTTTGTTATAGACTTCGACTGCCTTGCCTTTTGTCGCGGCATCCGAAAGCAAGCAAAGCTTCGATAAAACAAGAAGGCCGTACCAGATGGATGTGTAACTGAACATAGGAAGATTAGGTGTGACCGAAGCCGGCGATGCAAGGAATACCGTCACAATGTTGAACGCGGAACGCGCAATGGTGAGCAGTTGCTGTTTCTCATACTGGCAATGGACATCTCTTTGTCGCCGAAGAGCATGCCCGAGAACAATAGCAGGAATAGCGTTGAGCTCCAAACGCAGGGACCCTAGTCAGGTCAGTAAATGGCGAAACTAGTCAGTCTCAGATAGACACACAGGTATTACATTGTGCTTCCTGTACAAGAAGATGCTCGATTTGATTCTCAAGCACATTCATAGACTGGAACAGCTCGTCCTTGCTCATTGCACGGATAGGGTCTTCGATCTCTACCTCCGATTGCTGAGCAAGTAACTGGATCTTAATTAGTGCTTTTAGAGACTGGTCAGTGGGATACTCCGCCCTTTGCCCTAAGCTATCAGCACAGTATTCAACCCAGTCTGTATGTTTCATAGTCAGCTGTCGCCGGAATATCGAGGCTCTTATTCTGTTAGTTAATATCACTGTACCGCGATTTAGAAGCTCTCACTTGGAACATAAATAATGGCACCCTAAGAAGGCACGCTGCCCATCAGGAGTCAGATAGAGTACTTGTCCTTTGTGTAACTCCTCCGTCCCTTTTCCATTATGAGAGATACACTGCATTTTGAAGTTGTTGTATCTGTCAAGTCCCAAATCAACAACGATGGCCATAGCCATCTGAAGAAGCATGTACACCTGGGTATGATAGATGCGCCAATGATAGTGATACCATGCAATATGAACCAGTAACCCCCGAAGTAAATCCATGTCCCTCTCCATATTCATTACTATCCGGGTAGAGACGACAGTTCGAGCTTCAAATTCCAATTTCTGCTGTAGAGTGGGCTTGTGCTCGAGGCAAGCTGTTATTATACACAAGAGGAGGAATGGAGATTGCTTGCGCAATTCAACAAAGCTCACTTCAGGTATAATAACGAATGGAAACTGGGGCATCAAGTCAGTGCGGAACTTCAAGAGAAGTTCTTCACCTTCAGTGATATTGAGAAGTCCCCGGGTAATAAAATCGTCGAACGGTTCAGGTACAGGGCTGGGCTGTGACGAAGTATTACTGATGGTAGAAGGGAATGGCGTTTCTGTTATAGGTGACAGCTCCATCCTCGGGGCCTAGTTGAAACAGTTGAGATAGTCTTCTGGCAGGAAAGGGGAGGCATCAGTTTGAATAGGATACCTTATCAGTATATAGTTGAGCAGCAAGTGTATCGACCTGATGCTGGATGACATCGACGCGGCTATTTCTGGAGAGAGGGAGAGAACGTTACCCGGCAGCCTACCCCAACACAGGTGTATATGGTTATTGGGCTAACCTGATGCTTGTATTCCTACGCGAGCCGTCTGGAAAAGCACAGTGTCGGTCGAGTCTCGCACATCGTTGACACCGTCCATTTCCAACCGGAACACATTTCACTTTCAACTGAATGCATCGTACACATGCATGCCGCCTTGAGGGAGCTTTGGGTTGCATTGCTCTTTGTGTTGGGAGATAGCTCTAGTACCAGGGTGATGAGTGACACTGTGGTAGAAGCCGGGGGCAGAGGCCAACGCGGCGCGCGGCGCGGAGCCGGAGTCGGCCTCGGAGTCGGCCTCGGAGTCGGTCACGGGGCCGGGACCGGCCCCGGCCTACTATGCCACAGACTACCTAAATGGGTAGACTGTTAGGAGATCAGGGACAGCATAAAACCTACAGTGAAATTTCGAATAACTTCATTACCATAGATGACTGATACAATCGTTTGAAATCTTGGCCAACCTTGTTGATAATGTCTTCAAGTCCTGACGCGATGTTCAGAGCACAGCCGGTCGGCTCTGTGAAGCTCTATAGCATCTTGGCCGGAATTATGATAGCCACTTTCCTGATATCATTGGATGTCTCTATTATTGCTACTGTGAGTTAATTGATAGTCTCTCGGTTCTATTTGCTCGATTTTTTGTGGAACTAAAAGTTACCTCTCAAAGGCTATTCCTTCAATATCAACCCACTTCCATGCTACAACAGATATCGGCTGGTATGGAGCTACCTATCCACTCACGATGTGCGCTCTTCAACCTATCAGTGGCAAGCTCTCGTCATTGCTGTCGCTGCGATGGACATACCTCGGGTTCTACAGCATATTCCTTCTAGGATCTCTGATTTGCGGTGTGGCAAACAGTTCCGAAATGTTCATAATCGGAAGAGCAGTCGCTGGTGCTGGAGGCTCTGGGGTAGTGTCGGGTGGTCTCTCAGTCATTGCATTGATAACAACCCCTCAGCAGCGTCCACTGTTCACTGGGCTGATAACCTCTCTTTATGCCCTGGGAACTGTTGTCGCCCCAATCATCGGAGGTGCTTTGGCTGAATATACTTGGAGGTGGTGCTTTCTAATCAATCTTCCAGCAGGAGCAGTGACTGTGGTGACGTTGCTTTTATTTTTCCACCCACCCCAAAACACTGGGGCCCAACGTGTGTCCTTCCTAAAACAGCTCGACTTGATCGGATGTGCTCTCTTTATACCCTCTATCATTATGGTGATGTTGGCCTTACAATGGGGAGGTGGCGAACATCCCTGGGACTCAGCGACTGTGATCGGACTTTTTATTGGCTTTGCTGTGACGATGACAATCTTCATCTGCTGGGAGTGCTACATGGGCGATGAGGCCATGGTCCCCGTTGTACTTCTGTGGGGCAAGTCCACAATGTTTAGTATTGCGTTTGCCTTTTTGTTTCTGGGTTCATTCGTCATTCCGGTCTACTACCTACCGGAATGGTTTCAGATTGTCAAGTCAGCAAGCCCTATCCGCAGCGGAGTCATGCTTCTACCTTCGGTGTGCACTCAGGTTTTTGGTTCACTTGTCTGTGGAATTTCAGGTAAACACCGAATAATTTACTTCGTCTATGCACATTCTTTCTGACGCTTTATGACTATAGCCAAACACCTCAGATATTACAATCCGTGGCTCTTCGTTGGCTCTGTCTTTCTCTGCATCGCCAACGGTCTATATACGACATTCACTACATCTTCATCATCTGCATCTTGGATTGGTTATCAGATCTTTCAGGGCCTGGGCTGTGGATTTGCAGCACAGATTCCCTTGCTTACAGTTCAGCTTGTATTGAAGGACAGACCGCGGTACATTCCAGTTGGGATAGCTACTGTTCTTTTCACGCAATACTTCGGAAGTGCAGTAATGCAAAGTATAGGAGGCGCTATCTTCCAGAACGAGCTGAAGAAGCAGCTACAAGTTCAAGCGTCGTTGGATAATAAGCAGATCGAGATGCTTTTGAATGCTGGAACCCTAAGGGTACGGGAAGTTGCTGTGCAAGCATTTCCGGACCGTTTAGCCGATATTATTATTGCATACAATAAAGCCATCACAACTATCTTTGTGAGTTAATCTTCCAATCTTGTCACCTCCGTGTTAAGCTGGCGATGCTAACTCTACTAGTATCTTCCAATAGCTGGTAGCGCTCTAGCATTCATTTTATCCAGCGGAATTCCATGGGTCAATAGTCGCCCAACGCAGGAAGATGACGATATGCATTGTACAGAGCAAACTGATAACCTTCAGTCGGACAAGCAGGCCACTGTGTGAGGAATCAACGTTGCTGCCCATGGTTCATGGGGATGCCACTCCAAGCAGGAACATACTTTGTATCTTAGACCGTCTGGAACCTGGATTGGCGCCTGGACTAGACCTTAGATTGCATGGCTGCTGAAAAACAGATTGTTAGAGGTCCCCACTTGGTTCCAAGAGTACATTGCCTGTTAGACAAGAAGGAATAGCTGGTAATTTAATAAAATCTTAGAAACTTTGGAATTTTCTATATAAATAATAATTAATCAGCTAGCGGTAATAAGATTAGCTAGCTAAATTTTTTATAATATAGGTTTATTTTATTATATTATTTCTTTTCCCACTGAGTAAGATTTAATTAATATTTCTTTATCTTTTTCATTTGTCAGAAACATGCATAATAATTTTTTAAATTTTTATTTTTATAAATAAATATTAAAGTTTTAATCTTTATCTATTCTGTTTGTTATGGGACAGGTCCCTACTAGAGGACTCGGCTACCCAGCCTCGTTGTCACCCGCTGACTAGCCGCCACACACACAAAACCTTAGAGGCCCCGAGGCCCCCGTTCGAACACCAGCTATTCCTTCTTGTCCAACAGGCGACGTACTCTTGGAGCCAAAGGGTGACCCCTAACAAGAAGCCGCGAGGCTCAGCTGGGCGAATCGCAAAGTTGGCGCTGATTGGCTGGCCCGTCAATCACCTTCCGCCCGGGCGAAAAAATGTGCCCTAGATGTCTGGACATAACTAGAGATAAACTTATAAAAAGGTCAATGGCAAATAGAATAGAAAAGGGCATTACGACTTGATATCCCTGTGTATCCTCTCCCTTTTGCTTCTTCTCATTGCCCAGCGGCAAGATCGCTCTCACAATGCCAGCAAAGCCACACTAAGACTCATAGTTCTGTTTAGGATGCGGCTAAGCAGGGATGTACGGTAGAAACCGGTGACATTCAGTGTCGTCGCAGGAATCGCGCCGGTGCAGCACTCTCCCGAGCCCGATCACGAGCCCGAAATGGCCTCTTGCAAGCTATTAATTTGACTCACTTTTCGACTATAAGAAGCCTCTACTCCTATTGTTTAACAATCAACAGTTATATCCCCAACATGGCTGCATCCTCCATAGATGAGACAGGCATAACTACCAACTCAGGACAGGATGCTAATACTTCTACCCAAGGCCAGCATGCGGTCAGTAATGATGTCAACAATGAGGTGCCAGAGACAAACCCGAATGCGATGCACGGTTTCAACCTCTTTGCCATTTTTGGAGGCATATGCTTTGGCGCGTTTCTGATGTCTCTGGACATTTTCGTCATCGCCACTGTACTAATCCTACTCCCCTCATTTGTCTATCGGTATATCTAAACTTGCTTAGGCCATCCCATCTATCACAGCTGACTTTCACGATACCGCGCAATTAGCTTGGTATCCAGCTGCCTACTCGCTCACAACATGCGCATTGACTCCGTTAGCAGGAAAGCTCAGCTCAATGTTCCCGCTTCGCTGGATCTATGTATCATTTTTCTCCATTTTCTTAATCGGCAGCCTAGTGTGCGGCTTTGCACCAAATAGCAACACTTTTATCGCGGGTCGGGCTATTGCCGGTATCGGGGCATCCGGGGTTGCGAGTGGCGGCTTCGTTATTGTCCTCACTGTATCTCCCGAAAAATCCAAACCAGTGCTGCTCGGCATATGCAGCAGTTGCTTCGCCATGGGCCTTATTCTAGCACCCGTCATTGGTGGTGCATTTACGCAGTACGCTACATGGCGGTGGTGTTTTTGGGTTAATCTTCCCCCTGGTGCTCTGACGCTGCTTACCATGCTGTGCTTTTTCAGACCCCCATACATACAACGGGATCGGACGGCTGTCCAACGAATTATTGATCTGGATCTCATCGGTTGTGCCATTTTCATTCCATCTATTTTCATGTTACTGCTCGCTATGATGTGGGGTGGGACGAAAGAGTCATGGGACTCAGCAACAACTATCGGACTCTTTGTGGGCTCTGGTGTCATGCTTATGATCTTTGTCTCCTGGGAAGGCTACAAGGGCGAGGACGCAATGATACCGGGAAATATCGTCGCCAGAAGGACAATCACCTTCAGTATCTTGTTCTCCTTCTTTCACTTTGGGTCTGTTGGTATCTTGAACTACTATCTCCCTGAGTGGTTCCAGGTCGTGGAAGGCGCGAGCCCGTTGCAAAGTGGTACGCGAACATTGGCTTCGGTGCTGGCTCAAATAGTCGGAACTCTTTCTGCTGGCTTCTTTGGTGCGTTCAACATACTCAGACCCCGCTTATTCTCCGTATCAAGCTAGAGCACAATCTGACACAGCGTTGACAGCACGCAAAATTCACTACTACAACCCCTGGCTGTATATCGGCCCCCTCTTCATGTGCACAGCCGCGGCGCTATACACGCACTTCTCGACCTTCCATACCCCGTCCAGCCACTGGATCGGCTTCCAAGTTATTCAGGGTCTTGGTGTCGGCATGGCACAGCAAATGCCGTCGCTCATTATCCAGCACTCTGTTCGCGACAAGCCAGAGCTTATGCCTGCCGCGATTTCATTGAATCTATTCTTCCAGTACTTAGGGGCTACTATCACACAATCACTTGGTGGTATTGTGTTTCGCTCGATTCTACTTCCCGAACTAGCTGATCATGCTGGTTTGAATGCCGATCAGATTGCATTGGTGTCTGCTGCTGGGATGGCGGATGTGCGTGATACAGTCAAGCAGTATTTTCCGGATCTGCTGAATCTGGTTCTGGAGGCTTATAATCAGGCTATTACTTCGACCTTCGTGAGTGTTGCTTTTTGTTTCACTGGTACTGTTGTTATTTGGAACTAATCAGATGAGATTATAGTATGTCGCTGTCGGCACTACAGCTGCGGCGTTTTTCTTGGCTTTTGGGGTGAAGTGGGAGAGGATTACCGAGAAAGCGACAACTGGACCAGAGGATGCCGTAGTCGAAGAGAAGTAGATGTTTCCCTCATTGTGGGCGAATCTCTAGTGATTTACTTTTCGACCAATTCTGTGTATGATAAAGATAATAAAATTCTCATCTCATCTTCGACTTCCGCTTGTCCACAGGTACAACTGACCACTACTTATCAAACTTCAAGACCACACAGGCCTTTCGACTGCTGCCAAGTATGTCTCGCATGTCGAACTACAGCTTTTTACTAACATTGATAAGTAGTTGTAGGCGAAATTTGCTCGAGTCATTGAATTTCTGGGCAACAATCAGAATACCTGCTCAACTATGCTAGAGCAAAAACACAAGAAAGCATGAGGCTGCCTTACCTCTCACTCCCGTTACGCGCGCCAGTGTGTTGACGGAACATAATGTGGACTGATGCACACAGAAGCGGAGTATGGTCGAGCAATCACCGGCCAGGAGAACCCATTAAGCTAGATAATCAATCGGGCATCTCCCGAAGGATTTTTGTTGTGTACAGATCCACAGTGGATCAGAGAATGGATCCAGTTTTCTGACTGGCCGATCGGGACAATTATTAGAGGCTAATTTAGTGGTGCGATGGATTGTCTAGGCAGTGACTTAATGAGGCAGCTTACGGCGAACGGACCGTCCAAATGTTCTATGTAAGATTAGGCTTAAATGTCTAGAACGGATCTGTGACGATGAGATCCCTAATTGCAATATAACTGAATGCTGTGTTCTTTGACTTCGGAAATCTCGTGATATAAAGGGGCTAATTACAATGGGGGAATGTTCTTGGGCTTATATTGTGGACTCTTTTAGGGTTAGTTTTAGAGCTACTACAGACTGCTATGCCAATGGCTGTAAAGAGGAAATCTCACATTGGGTCATTTGGTGTGCGAAATAAGTAATGCCACAAAACTAAATGTCAGCCTTATCGAAAGTAGAGATAAATTAAGATACCGTGAACGTATATGCTTGGGTTCCAACCCGAGTAGTTTCATTAGCGTGGTATGTGGAGTCTCATGGGAACAGTACTAATCTCCTAACGATTAGACCAATAATGGTCAGTGAGTTGACAGGAAGACTTGGGCCTTTGCGCCATTCTAATGTCGGCTGGACCTGTTGATCACTGACATCACCAAGAATGTGATACGTTCTCTGACAGCGAAAAATGTGCCTCATGCTGACTGCCGTAGATATCTGCAGGTCGGTCGCCAGTGACAACCGTGTGATGAACTGTAACCTTCTCCACATTGTTCGAATTGGTGATAGCGATTGAAGTGTTCACAGCTCCTGCCAGTGGCTGGGACCCAAGCGTAAGCTCAAGGCCGGTTGTGGATTGCTCGGATTGCTCGGTGCGTGCAACTTTAAATACACTATTTGGCTGAATCTCAGCGACAGACAGTTCATTTGATTGACCTGGTATCGGCTCGAATCGGAAGCGAATGTCGGCTGCCTTGAGTCGGCATCCACGGTAGGAATGGAACTGGAACTCATACACCAACAGAGTGGCCAAGTCGCACGCGTCCTGGCCTCTCCCTCCCCACCTGCCATGGATCATAGCCTTTGCCTCACAGCTGACCTGGTAGGCAGACTTGCGTCGTCGCCCCATCTCAAAATTGGACACCATGGGTCTCTGTAGCTGGCCTGGTCTGTTGCGAGTCCGGAAGTCTATTGCCGTCCGTCCGCGTTACAGAGATGTCAGTCACACCAGGGAGTGAAATCGAATTCGAATAATGAAGCACGGATCTAACGAGAGAGTAGTATTTTCATTTGTTAGGAATTGACTTACCACCAGCAGGACCTTGGTATGTCAACTCCAAGGAAAATGACCGTGGATCTGTAAGCCCGCATTCGTCCTCTTCAGTCTGGTCGCTCAACCAGAGCTCGTCATCAAAGCCAAGACTCATTGTCTTGCAGTACTGTTTCGTGTGCTGCGTACTAGAATGATAGGTTGATTCGATGTCGAATTGCTAGAAGCCTCCGAGGGAGGACACATAGGGGAGATCCTTCTTATGACTACCCTACGCCTATGATTGACCCCTGGTGTGTTCCAAGGCAACACCGTGTGAGTGATACCCTAATGGAGTAAATGCCTAGGGTGTTTGATTAGCTCGCGAGGCTCGCATGTCCCTCTCTTGAAGGGTCCCCACCAATCGGATATTTTGTGTCCTATCGGGTATCCCTTCCCATGTTGCATGGTTGGAATCGGGCTATTGTGTATGCTAGGAAGTGAGACTGACCTGTAATATCTTTGGGTGGGTTTTCCCTCTCCAGTAATCTTAGGCTAATTTGGTTCGGGAAGAAAGGGTTACACGGACGCGACTTCCCGTCAGTTACAGATTGTCGTCCATGAATGACTCAGAGGCAACACATCCATAAATTGCTTGTTATCCTTCTTTCTTCTCCAACTAAAAATTTTATTATCCCTATGCGCCTCAGAGAATGATGGAGGAGTCATCGAAACACCCTGTTGCATTCAAGATAGGTCAGGCCTTCCACGGCCTCGAACTTTCCGAGCAACTACCAACATTTATACCTGAGGAGGCCAGCGAGGATGATACTTCATCAGAATATGTGGAGTAAGACAATTCCTTCAGCGATTTACGCCCTGCCTACTAAGATGCAATAAAACAGTATCGTGCACGTAATGGGAATCTCGCGGCCGGAACGTATGAGCTTGGAAGCCGTCTTCGGTGATCACTTCACCTCTCACGCGGAACGACGAGAGTTCGTATACCAAAGCAATGCAAGTCATTTTCTCTTAGGAGATCTGACTGGGTACTATGTGGAGAAAGAGGCACTGCAACTGTTAGCTGGGTTACTCCAGTTTCGACCGTCAAGCGTAGGGGTAGGTGTTCTAAGATTATCGGACTTATACGTATTCACTTCTCACAGAAGGGCAACATATACTGACAATACATGAAGAAGTCTAGTTACAGTCGATCTATCATCTTTATCGCTTATGAGCTGGGGGCCTTGGTTGTGGAAAGAGTTGGTTCTCCTCTGAAGCACACTTAGCAGTCCGCTGGTACCAGGCTATATTTCTGACAACAGGGATGTACAGGCTGTTGCGCTTTCTGGTTCTCATCAAACAATTTGGACCAGTATATTCACCGATACTGTGAGATTTGTGAGTTGATCATGGCGGTGTTTGACGAAACGCGAGCACTAGGTCTCATTTTGACATGGTGACAGATTTTCGCGGGCTGTTTCCACCGCAGGACGGATGCCCCCTCATTCGATGCCCGAATATGGAAGTTTCTAGAGACACACAAAACAGAAGAATGGGGCCATCTCATCAGTCCAACTTCAATCAGGGCGTTGGCGAATACCGCCATGGAATCAACCGGTCTGTTTCTCAGCTCCCGCATCACCTTGCGCACTCGGATAATTAGCATCTATGCCAATCAGGAGACACCGGGAAGGATCGATTCAGTGAGTGATCAAACACCATTATAGACAGGTCTATGTGAGGTATATTGTTTCTGACTTGAGGTCTGACTCTAGGTATTTGATGAATCCACCGCGATTCTAGGTATATGTACTGAGTTGGCTCTGCCCGAAGAACCCACCGGCGAAGCGCATAGCCCGCTCATCTCTAGGTTGTCTGACATGGTCTTCAATGGATCTTGCAGCTGGAATAGATCATCATTGCGCATCGCCATTGAACGATCTCTACTATCAATGGCCCTTCCGCACCGTCAGTTCCTGTCAACACGCGTCATAGACTCACATCCAATTTTTAGAAGCTCAGAATATAAATTGTGGAAGACATCCAGAGGCCCCCAGATATTGTATATCCACGGTGAAGACCAACGGTTGACTACCGAGGCAGCTGAGCAGGTTATTCTAGCATGGCAACGGGAGCGGTTTGATAAAAACCTAGATGACGCCGAAATACACTCTTTCTCTTTCTCCCGCCATGATCAAGCGCGTAACTCGATGGACGCCATGGTTAGTACCCTTCTGGTGTACAGCTTTTCGCGCCTCGTCGAAGGCGTGCCCAACTTCACTACCTGGCTCTTGGAAAACCAGAGTTTGCTGCAGCACGGGTGGACCGCCAAGGATCTGCAAGACATTTTGTGCCTAATGCTGCGAGATCACATAGAAAGTAGAGTGTTGTGCCTACAGAATGCTGACGATTGTGATACCGCCGAAAGTCGGAAGGGGTACTGGAAGGCCATTGCCAAAGCCTATGGCTTTACAGACATGCGTCCCAAGCTTCTCATAACTTCTAGGAGACCCGACGCTTTGAAGGAAGAGCTCCAGCTCAGTGCTCCTAACATGACCCTACACTGTTACCGAGTAGGATTGAACAAGCCGGATGACTGCGAACAGGAACACTGTCGCAGTGAAATGCTTATATCGCGTTTGTGTCCCTGTGGGCACGGAGAAGCTTACATGCAAGGCCGTTTAAGTGAGCTCGCATCGATGAATTATGATGTTCTCAGTACCATCATTAATATTATCTCGTCTTATACGGGATGGCCCCAAATACCATCATCACGGACATATATGCGATTTCATCAGTTCTTCAGCCGTCTATCTGTACACAGCACGGCTGCGAATGTCCTCGATGAGATTCTACGGGCTGTCCCAGATATCACTTGGCTTCGCTCAACACTCACATGGATCTTGTGTGGATATCGGCCACTGACATCCCAGGAATTGGCCATGTTCTGTCGCTATCACTCTGAGCCAGAAGCGAAACAGCCGGACATTAATGACGAATCCAGCACAGATCAGCCTGATATGATCACCTGGATAAGCGGGCTGCTGGAACCAGATCAGAACCCCGTTCGCATTCGTCAAGAGACCTTGGATGTTTTCGCACGCGATGGTGGTTACCTATGGACTGAGATCCGATCAGTGGGGCCTCAGTGGACCTGTAAGTTCTTGTATAGTTTTCTGACTTCGGCGAGGATTCAGAGGCAGCTCCTGAGCATCTACAATGAATATCAAGAGAGGGTCTACTCTTCCAAGGAGCATATCACTCCACCACTGATGTCAGATGGTCGGGATATAATCTATTATGCGACTGAATCGTTCCCATATCACCTATCGAAGGCCCCAGTAGCACTTCAAGAAATTGCACCAGTCCTGCTAGAGCCCGATGGACCGTTGAGCGCTTGGATGAAAGTTTATTGGGCCATGCAGAACCCTTTTTGTCGGCCGAAAGTGTGTGATCTGGACCCTGCAGGCGTGTCCCTTCAGACATTGGGGCTCCAGAGTTTTGGGCTCCACGAACTTCTAAGTCAAAGTGGACATGAACTGCCTGTCAGGGCAGGAGGGCTCTCTGAGGCCATGCGGGTAGGGGATGAAGATGCTGCTCTCTACTACCTGAACCAGTCCCATGATTCCTTATCCGTTTCGCTTCTATGGAGAGCAGTTTTTCTAGACATGGGACGCGTGGTGGATACCCTTTTGAAGTATGGGATGGACCCCAATCCTCCCCCGGATCCTAGCATCTTCGTTCCTTCCCCGCTGTACCTAGCATGCAGGTTGGACCATTACCAGATCGTACAGACCTTACTGAAAAGAGGTGCTGACGTTAATATTCTTAAGGATGGCCATGTTGGCATCATGTTCAATGCAGCTGCAGAAGGAGCTGATCACACCATCCGGTCAATTGCGGCTGTCCAACACGCACTCTTGGATGCGCCCCGACCATGCACACCCCTCTACGCGGCATGTTCCCGAGGTTTGTGGAAGACAGTGAAAACTCTGGTACAGCTCGGCGCCAGCGTAGACCTCCGATTTGATGGCAACGATGCTGAGCGAGGGTGGCAGCCTCTATGTATTGCTGCCTTATATGGCTATCCCAGAACTATTGAATCCCTCTTAGACAGTGAGGCTGATCCTAATCTGAGGGGCCCGGGTGCCAATATCACGGCTCTGTCGCTGGCTGTCTGCGAGTCTGGAGATCCAGAATGTGTTCGCTTGCTCCTCGACCACGGTGCGAATCCTAACCACGAGCTTCACCAACCTGCCTTTCCAGTGCTTCTGTCCCAGAAGACGACGCAACTGGATGCCAAGCTTGAGATCTTGGATGTTCTAGTTAACCACTCTAACCCGGTCGATGTCAATGCCGTCGACCACTGCTGGTACCGTGCTATGACACCTCTGATGTATGCTGCAGCATCTGGGGATTGCGATGTCGTCAGGTGGCTTTTGTCGCATGGCGCAAACATTGCCTTAGTTGATGAGAAAAAGCAGAATGCACTGTTTTATGCCGTGGAAGGGCATCATGACGCAGCCGCGCAACTCCTGCTCGAACAGGGCTCCCCACTCATAGAGAAGAACGCGCAGGGGACTACAATGCTTCAACTCGCCATCGAGGAAGCTCCAATTCTTCAGCTCCTCTTGGACGCGGGAGCCAATCCGGAACTAGAAGACAGCGATGGTTCGACCGCGATCAACAAGGCTGCCAGCCAAGGCCAAGTTGATTCTATCCGGGTGCTCATCAAGCGAGGTGTGAACATTCACCACCGGGACGAGGCGGGGTGGAGTCCACTCCTTGATGCTTGCGGAACGACTCCCAATGAAGAAGCTGTCCGCATCTTGATGGAATCTGGGGCTAGATCGACAGACACAACACCCGGAGGGCAAACACCTTTGCACCAGGCTGCAATTAAGGGGCGAATAGTCATTCTCAAGATATTGCTTGAATATCGCAATGTACTGGATATCGATGCACAAGATAATGAGAAGGACACTGCTCTTGCGGCCGCTGTCCGATGCAATGAACTTGAATGTGTTGCAACGCTCATTCGGGCCGGTGCTAACATCAACCTGGCGTCTGATAAAGGATGGACGGTCTTTCTCTATGCTTTGGTCTTGGAGCGACCACCAGAGCTCATTGATCTGCTTTTATCCCAGCCAGGCTTGAATATTCATAGCGTCACAGAGGGGTGGGGAGCCGCAATTCACATCGCCTGTCAACATCTGCAACTCGACACGGTTAAGGAATTGATATCCCGTGGAGCAGATGTCAACCAGCGAGTACCAGGGCCCAATTCTACCCCTTTGATTTCCATCTGCAACCCCCGACCCTCTGGAAAAATGAACCGCCAAGAAAATCTGGACCGACAGGAACACCTTGTCCGCGAACTGGTACAGCAGGGAGCCGACATCGCCGCGGAGCACGGCTTCATTGTCCACAATCCTCTTTCAGCTGCGTGTCTTGGGACAGGTGTTAGTATCATCAATTATCTGCTCTACAAGGGCGCCTCGCCTCAGCTTCGAGACCCACTGGGCCGTCTTGCAATTCATTTTGCTGCTACCAACGGGCTGGAAAATTTCAAGGCCGTACACCGCGCCGCTCCCAAGTTTCTGATGGCGCCAGATAAAGCCAAGAAAACCCCCCTTCATTGGGCAGCGCAGTTTGGCCGCGCACAAACCGTTGAGACAATTCTAAACTATGTGCACCTCCCGGCGGAACGGCGACGATATGTGAATGAGACCGATATTGATGGCTGGACTCCGCTCTGCTGGGCACTTCGGCCCACGGAGCTGTTCTGGGACCCTAATATGCCCTCCGAGCCGGCCAATTATGCAGAAACCGTTCGGTACTTGCTGGAAAACGGGGCGGATCCGACGGTACGCTGCCGGATGGGCAGTGAGCATGACTTGTATACGCCACACCAGCTAGCCCGTCTCCATGACGCCGGCGACGAAATCATCGAGCTTCTCCAAGAGGCTTTAGGCAATAGTATTTCTGACAGCCAGTACCCATCTAGCAAAGTATATAATCGACCTCATGGGTTTTTCTGTGGAATATGCTTCACGGTGAGTAACCTTCTACATTATTTGCACCATGCTTGTTTCTGGCCCAGTGGGTATACTAACCTGTCCGTCACTCCCTCTCCGACTCAAGTGTATCTATGGAATCGCCTACGACTGTTCCATTTGCCAGAACTTCCTGGCCTGTCGAAAGTGCTATGGTCAGATAGACATTTACTTGGGCGACCAGCCGGTCCCTGGACCTGACGCGCATGTTCACAAGTTCCAATTATGGGACAGCGGCGAGCCAGAATTTCAGGATACCTGGCCGACTTCGCCTTCTGACGTTAACGAGTGGTCGAGCCAAGGGCCGGACAATCACGCTGGCAGTGACGCGAATGATCTTATTTTAGAAGATCCTCCTGGGTCTGTCGGCAGTAGCACAGCATCTGGATCTAAGAATCACGATGATAGGTGGTATAATAGGGACGACAAGTAAATCCTTGCTTGGCGTACAGTTTAGTGTGACATATTATCTTGATGGAGACATGTTAGATGATATCGATAATATTTGGACACTTTGTTGTAGGAATGATTTCATAGCTTTAATGGCCCAGTCTGAATCATCATGACAGTCTAGGATGTCGCAGTCATCAACTACGCCCTTTCGAAGGTAGATAGGGTCAGACCCCAATGAACAAGCTGGATAGTTGGGAAGACATACAGCTTATCGTAGGCTGCAGGGTGTTTAATACATCATACATACACTTTCTCTCGAAACGTAGCGGAAAAGGTGGAGGGGAATAAGTGAGATATACATCAAGTAATGACATGGTCTGTATGTGCTAATATATAGAATTCTTCCCACAATCCGAAGCTGATATGACGAGACTCCCCGTATTCTTAAATCCATGCACATATGCAGGTGATGACCATCTCTCCTACCCCACAAGTCATTAGGGATATCCCACTGCAGCATTCATCACCAATAAACCCATGTCTCCATATGCTGGATAACAACCATGGAGCATAACAACAATACTAGTGCTTTCTTTTGGAGTTCTATCACAATCAGGCGGTTTTATCTCTTGGCATGCACGCATGGTGAATAGTCACTTCTATCGGTGTAAAGAATCTTACTTTGTGAGAAGATGGAGTACGACGCGGGCTATGCGTTGTCGGTTGACAGGTCTCTGTCAAGTGTACCCAGTATGGGTCAGGGCTAATGCAGGGTCTGCCAGCGGTTGGTTCTGGAGAACTGTATGTAAAGCTCAGGCACACAGGAGATGTGGCGCCGCAAATCTGCTCGAAGGACAGTGGGTATGATTGTACCTAACATAGGCTGCAACGCTTATCCAAAATACTTCCACGATGTCCGATCAATCATGGGACATGTGTACATCGAAGCGCATTACCCTCCAGGCCTCTCGTTCATTGCAGGCAATTCAGCCGGGTATCCTCCATCTGGTGGTACTTTATATTTCCCCGGCCCCGGCATGGGATAGTATGTATCAGCTGGCAATTCCGCCGTAAATTCTTGCTTACGACTCTGCCGATACGGCTGCGCAAATGCATGGGGCGTCTGTGAAGTCATCGACTCCGACCGTGAATACTCACTCGGCGACATGGGCACCTGGTATGACGATCGTCGTGACCGATCATCCGGCTGCATCATCACGGCTGTATGTGTTCGGTCCGCTGGGTTATACGTCCTGAGCACTCCGTCTTCCATAATACCATGCAAGACACCTGCGTCGAGGAGTTCGGCCTTCTTGATCAGGCGATCCACTAATACCTTGGATGCAGCGCGCAGCTGGCTCTTCACGAACGAAATCAGTGTTAAGTTGCATTCGATCTCGACGTCTTCGCGCAGACAGAGTCCTCCTTTATTATTGCCCACGGACTCTGTAACTGCGAGTTCAAGCGACGGGTCATTGATTGGGTCCTCCACAATGCGATATGTGTTGCGCAGATCAACGCCCATGGGTGCGTAGGTGTGGGTTTTCAGCCCCCAGGGTTCGTCGTGGAAGCAGCCTCTGAAGCTGATGGTGCCGGGGACGTAGCGCACTCGCTCGGTAATCTCGTACCATGTTGAGTAGTACTCATCTGCTGGGGCGTTGCGCGGTGCTTTGATGGGGTGGTGGGAGATAACGAGGGGGTTGAGTGAGATGATCTCGCCGTGGTTGTGGAGGATATCAATGGCTAGTTGACGGGGGATGTTGGAGGGGAGGGAGATGGTGTTAGTGTAGACTTCTTTCTTGCGAAGCATTCTGGTGAACTGCCGTCAGTTGGGGACTGTGGTCGTGGAGATGCAGGGGAAGATGGTAGGGAGGCGCGCAGACTATGGTGGTGGTGATGATGATGATGACGAGAAAGTTGTTGATGCCTGTGTGGGAGAAGAAGTGGGGGTCAGCCGACCTCGTATTCGGCAGCTCAACCCAGAGTTTATCATGACGGACCAATGTCAGCCATCAGAGCGGAGGCAGAGACAGAAGTAAGCAACAAGGTAATTGTTCGCCTAGCAGGTTGATCTTTGACTTAGTATACCTAGGATCAACCTAGTATATAAAGGGTAAGTACTTCGCGAGAGTGGATTCATTCAGCTCCTGGGCATTCAGTGACCGTGTAGCGCCGCCATGACAGTAAATAGTATGCTTTGGTATCATTTCAAAGGGCCATAGGCCATGTTCAATAAGGCATTGCAATAGGGGAAAGTCAATTGTTGTCTTTAAACTCCCAATGAACTATGGAATCAAATAACTCTAATGGGTTAGACTCAGAAGTGGGGGGCCTGGAAAATCACTTACCTAATCAAGATTCTGCCTTGCCGGTTTAATGTTCCTCCCTTCCGAAGGTATCCCTCTCTAGTTGATTCCTGGGGCACCAATGGTGATTACACCTCCACCAAAGAATAAACTTGTTCAAGCAGTAACTTCGAGCCTTCTAGCCCGTGCAGTCACTATTGCCCCTTATATATTGTCTTGCGATACTTCCTTGTCTTCATCCCGAGGGGGTCTGAAGCTTCTGTTGCGGTATATTAGTCCGTTGGATATACTAGCGAGGTATCGACTTACATACTCATAGTAGCAAATCCAGGTCTCATGAATCCTCCCAAGCTTAGCATCGGCTGTCTACACCGTCGTTGGGTTAGGTTTCGATAAGAAAGGAGAAGGGTTACGCATCGGAGACTAACAAGGCCATCAACAAATTCATCCATCATTCTTTGTTCACGTTCCAACCAATTCAGGTGAGATTGTTTGATCGACTCGGACATGAATGTCTGTGCGCGGTCGAAATCCATCCATAAGACTCTATCAGAGTTCATCTGAACCATCATGTTACGAGGATACGGATCCCCATGGTAAACACAAGCACGGTGAATCTCAAACAGTATCTGCCGGAGCTTATGGAGCCGTTTTGGAGAGTACTTCGATAGATCAATTGGGTGAACGTCTGGTATATACTCCATTAAAACTGCGTTCACAAACAAGGTATCCTCGATGAAGTCTTGAAGATATGGTAGATGTTGAACTGGGTTTATGTGTTCGATTAGACCATAGAAATCTGGGATATCTCCTCGGTCACAGAAGCCATGCTCTCGTAGTCGCATCAAGGCTGTGCTCTCGCACTTGAATGGATTGGTCTCGCGATTTCGCGGGCGAGTTCGACGTCCAACAGGTAATGGCTGTGGAGAGTGATACTACGTGTAATCAAAGGGTCAACAGCCGTGGCAAGGATACTAGGCCGACTGCTTCATGACACTTACCACTTTCAAGACACAATCTTTCCCGCACCATATCGTGCGGAAAATACAAGATACCGGTGACTTCCTGATCTGATCCACAAAGATCACCTCATGAAGGCTGATAGTTGTCATGGCTGCTGGTTCTGGTGGTGCAAAGGACATCGAAGTTCTATGGTGTCGGCAACCCCTTGGGTGACAAGCAATAAACGATAACTGCATTCGAGGCTGGGGCCTCCCATGCCTCCTCACATGACCTCCACATGATTCAAAATGTTCCCCGCAGCAATGCAGGAAGGAATTGACTCGCTGTAGGAAGTCAGCCAACCAGGATCGAGAAGGATTTAGTAGTTGAAGACAGAACTTAATACCGTATACACAGGCTGCCACTCCCGGATGGTATAGCAGCAGTGATGAATCCATCCACAGTAGATAATTCCTGACCTTCAGATTAACTAAGTCAATCTCATGCCCCATGGTTTTTGGCAGCTTCTGAACCAATAGTAGCTCCAGGCTCTCACTATCAGCCCTTTCAAACCGCCCGAGCCTCATATGGTCACGTCACAACAGTGATTGTGACTGATGGTTGACAATGACGGAGACTGTGGTATGGGGCAAGTGAAAATGTACAAGTGACTTTGACCTGCCCTGGCACCTTGCAGTTAATGTGCACAGACTTCTAGTGCTAGAGGCTACATTATAAGTAGTGGTTTGCCATTTGTGGTGGCATACTTCTCCCATTACTAGTACTACTCAGACATGCACCCTTCCCTTTCAGTCGGTCATAAAATATCATTTAGACTCATATATTATATTCCACTTACGTGATAAGTTGTCGTTATACTCCAGGTCATTGCTAGTATATATATCATCAAAATTAGCGTTGATTACCAATATCAGACCCTCTGCTCCAAGAATGGCCACGCAAGCCGTGGGCTTTCTTCATTATTCACAACATAGCCCACCACCACTACTCACCATTGACCAGGGCCAGAGCACAAAGAACACGGCAAGATAGATTTTCTTACAATGCCGAATATATCACTCATGTTGGTCGTTGGCCACAATTCAATTTTAGAGGGATCTTACCCCAGTATCAAGAACTGCTACGAAAACATTGCAATAAATGATGGCATATGTCACCGTCCTCAGATTCTATCTCCGCCAGATAGCGCGTTAGTATGGAGTAGAAGCAGGGGTCCCGAAAAGTGAATCTAGTGCTCTATGCGAAGTATCTTCGCTCATCTTGGGATGTACGATGATCTGTTTGATTTTAGTGTTGTGGATTTAGGAGATATCTAACTTGCACAGATAATCGGCTAGTACACGCGAGACACAGCATTTTATGATCCAGCTCAAGGTCCATCAACTTGATCATCTTGCCTTCCCGACAAGGTGAAGCCTTCATATAAGTGGCCGACTGCCTTGCAATATGGGCCCGCACCCCCGAACTATGTCCAATTCAGACAGATATTGTCACAACCCAACTGGTATAGAAAACGGAATAATACCCAGTATGGCTTCATAGTCATCGATTGTGAGCCGATTGCTATGAAGGGCATTTAATAACGCTGGCAGGTTGGAATTGTCAGAACCAGGTGACGAAGGCCGCTTCAAGCTTGCGGTGCTCCTTGCTCTCTGGTACCTGGGAACGCTAGCCATCAGCAACTGGCCGTGGGATGATGATTCTAGTTCTGACATTCTCTTCTTTGAGAATGAATCAATCACCTTGCTGATACAGCTTTATATGATAGCTATATGATCTTTTATACTCGGGCAACGGAGTAGTCGGAGGGACGGAGTTTCAAAGTCCATGTGATCTTCAATCATCATTAACAGCAAAACTAGCCCATCATCCTCAAAGTCCAGCTGAGCGTCTAGTACCTCGCTATGGTCCTCAGTCAATATCTCCTGGCAAATCAGATTACGCGGCTTGGGAAGCATTTAAACTATCCTGACATCCATGGGAAACCCAGAATCATCCCTGTAATCGTGACCTTCGGGATGGCGCCGATGACCATATATTATGCTCTAATGGTAGTAGCAATGCCGTGGTATGTTTTTATATTGAGAATTTGATTTAAAGAAGGCCAGCCTATCTATTTGACGTCCGGTATATAGAAGACAGACAGAATGGCGTCAAAGGGCTTCAAATCATCAGTTCAAGAGTTCATGACAGGATTTGTCCTTCCTAGGCGATTTGCGCTGCTGATAGGTTCTCATTCGACAGAGTGGTACTATCTGCAGGCCCAGTATTTGGTAGGCTCAGTGATATGATGATTCTTCAGGAAGCTTACGACCCTCAAGATACCATTTTGACCGTGCCAGAATTTTTAGTACACAAGACGCCAGTGAGGCTAGTATGATTGTTCCGATACATGTCAACTCTGGTAATAGCATGCCCACTGTGTATATAGCCTCCGGTGTAGTTGAGCATGTCAATTGTAGGTTATTGCTATCAGATCAATTGAACCCTTCTAACGTAGACAGCAATGCCGTATCATACATAAATCAAGTATTCTCCTCGGCCTGGAGAAATCAACGCTGTAGAAGCCTTGAAGTTCGGTTGATACATCAAAGCTGGAAGTCAATAACATTATTCTTAACGCACAGCCTCAAAATATCAGTGATCAGCACTTGTCCAGTCCATTTGAGATTTGAAACGCATCCTGGACTGGTTACACCGCATCATCCATGATAGCCTACACTATGCTATAACTCACTGATCTTATAGTGGATTACATCAGAACCGTAGTGATAATGGATCTCAAGTACTCCTGCTCGCCGCTATACCCACGTCACTGCTCCCTACTGGGGATGCCAGTGTTGTCACCATTCTCCAGTACCCTTGTTTCACCAGTCTCTCTGTTTCCTGGTTCCTTGCTTTCTTCTACCTTCTTGTCCTGTCCATGGTTATCTTGTAGCACACTATGCTCCCCGCTAATATTCTGCTCTGTGCTGTCCTGCTGTTCGCTATCTTGTTCACCGAATTCCTGCTCTCCACTGCCGTTTCCCTGGCTGCTATCTTCCTCATTATTCCATTCCTCTTGATCATGTTCGCCATTATTCTGCGCGTTACTGCTCTGCTGGTCACTGCTCTGCTGGTCACTGCTCTGCTGGTCACTGCTCTGCT